ATGCACACAGTGATCAAATGGTTTATTTAAACATTTGTAGATGAAAGCAAGTGCTTAAAAGTATCCAGAACACTTTTATTTCCGAATTAAATATTTCAAAGAATAAATTAATTAGGACAGCATTATAGTATCCATCCACATGTATTCTTGTTATTTCTTTTGTATCTTACTACTGTCCCTCCCGGCCATATCTAGTGCCACACTCAACTCTACAAATGGCTACCCGCGTTACTTCGCGTCAATACTTATTGCTAAATTTGCAACTACACCTGCTAATGAAACAACTTATAGACACTTCTACACTCCATCATTATATCCTTTTAAACCCTATCTTTGTCCCATTACTTCACCAGCACTCCTTCCAAACTTCATTCTGCTCTTAAAAATAACACCATCTGCGAGCTGCTGCTATTCGTCCAAGGTTCGTCGCTCTTCATCCTTTCACAGAAAATACCTGTGCAAACTATTAATTCTACTTTTCTTATTTCTGGGTGGTATTGAGCTTCATCCTGGACCAAATGTAAAGAACTCATATAATTCTGTAGATTTTTCTGGCAGAAAAGGTGTTGGTGTTCTACATGTCAACATCAGAGGGCTTTTGATTAAATTAAGTCAACTAAAACTAGAAGTAGCAAATCTTGACCCGGACATATTTTGCCTAACAGAAACATTTCTCACTCCTGCCGTCAATGACTTGCAGATTACGATTGACAACTACAATCTTTTTCGGCTTGACCGAGGATCTAAAGGAGGTGGAATTGCCATCTATGTTCGTAATACTATTGCATGTTCACCAGCTCACTCCTTGTTTAAAAAATGTTGCTTTGAAGGTCTGGCTCTCAGAATAACTCTCCCTAATAATCAACACATATTGGTAGTGTGCTGCTATAGACCGCCTAGTGGGAAGGATGTTGAAGCTGCATCTGCACTGAGAGAGCTTCTTGGGGGCCTCCCTAAAGGTGAAATAGTTTTAGTGGGTGATCTAAATTGGAATTGGCTAAACCCGCCGGCCGTGGCCACAAATTTTGCAGATGAATTTAACCTGTTTCAATTAATAAATGTCCCCACAAGACCCAACCTAAAAAATCCGGGACAGTCATCTCTGCTTGACGTCCTATTGACAAATGCCCCTCACAATTTCGCACTGACTGGTGTTCTAGGTAATAACCTTAGTGATCACTCCTTCATTTTTGGGGTGAGATCATCAGCCAGACCCAAAGCCCCCCCTAAATTGGTTGAGAAGCACTCCATGAGACACTTCAGCACTCAGGCATTTACTAATGATGTGCTTCACTCGGATATTGACAAGGTCTGTGATATTCCAAACCTGACTACGGCTTGGGAGACCTTCAGGTACACGTTTCTCCAAATTCTTAACAAACATGCTCCGTTGGTTAAATTTAAAACTAAAGGCAACCGTCCACCATGGTTTGATCCTGTGATTACAAAGCTCATGAAAACTAGGGACAAGGCTTGGGCATGTGCTCAGAAAAGTAATTTGGTCAATGACTGGCTAGAATACAGGATTTTAAGGAATAGATGCGTCAAAAAAATACGGCATGCAAAAAATAACTACTTCTCTTCCACTCTCCTTGAATCTCATGGAAATGCCAGGATTTTCTGGAAAACAATCAAATGTATCGAAAAGGCATCCAAAACAGATCATCTGCCCGTTCAGCTTAACCGAAATGGGGAATATTTTTCAGATCCCCAAAAAATAGTTGACAATTTTAACCTTCATTTTTCTGAAGCTGGTACCCTATTTGATAATGTATTGGGAGTCACCCCTGCTCATGCAAATTCCTACACTCCTGTCCAAACATTAAGCGAATTTAGTTTTCAGCCAATCCACGAAAGTAATGTTCTGAAACAACTGTCCTACCTCAAAGGGTCCTCCTCTACCGGAGCAGATAATATTCCCGTCTTTGCTCTACTAACTGTTGGTCACCTAATATACAAACCTATAGCCCATATTTTCAACCTGTCCATCAAAGAAGCATCAGTTCCTCTAGAATGGAAACATTCCTATGTTCGTCCACTTCACAAAGGGGGCCCTAAAGATGATCCAAATAACTACCGACCTATCTCAATTTTGTCCCCGTTGATGAAAATTTTTGAAAAATTATTGACCTACCAAATTAGCAGTTTCCTGTCCGCCAACAATCTATTACATCTAAAACAATCTGGGTTCCGAAAAAAATACAGCACCACATCTGCTGCATTAGACTCTCTGAATCACATTTACAGTAGCCTTGATAATAAGCAGTACTGCGCCTGTCTTTTTCTTGACTTGTCCAAAGCTTTTGATACAGTAGACCACAACATCCTGCTTAGTAAAATAAGTTGCCTCGGTTTTTCCGAAAACACAGTAAAATGGTTAAAAAATTACCTCTTTTCTCGCACCCAAACTGTATTCACAGATGGTTGGAGGTCAAACAGTGTTAAGATAACAAAAGGGGTTCCACAGGGTTCCATTCTCGGCCCCCTCTTGTTTTCTCTTCATGTAAATGACTTGGGCACTGAACTGGATTATTCCAGGGTAAATCTTTTTGCAGATGACACGGTACTAATTACTGCTGGCCGCTCTCCGGATGACGTGATTGCTAAGCTCCAGAGTGATTTCAACAAACTACAACATCAGCTAGTTGCTCTTAAACTAGTCCTAAATCCTGCCAAAACCAAGGTGCTATGCTTCTCACCAGGACTAAAGCGGGAAGTTATTTTTCCCCAATTACATACCTTAAATAATGATCAAATAGAGCAAGTCAAGATCTATAAGTATCTTGGGGTCATCCTGGATTCCAAACTGAATTTTGAAGATCACATTGATTATATTGGGAAAAAGACAAAAATTAAAATTGGTTTTCTATATCGACACAAGCACTGCTTCCCTCCTATGTTCCGTTTGGAATTGATTAAAGCTACCGTACTGCCTCTACTTGATTACTGTGACATTGTGTATAAATCAGCCCCAAGTACTGTACTGAAGAAGCTTGACTCAATGTATCACTCGGCCTTAAGATTTGCATTGAACTGCCCATATAGGACTCACCACTGTGATCTCTACATTGGGTCAAACTTAACATCTCTGAATGTTCGACGGCTTGTGCACCAGATCTTATTTATTCATGATGTACTTGCAAAAAAATCTGCAGATTACCTGCTGGATCTCGTCTCTGTTTCAAAGAACAAATTTGACCTAAGGTCTACACTCATTTACCAGCTTAATATTCCCTATTGCCGTACATATACTGGAGGAAGGGCCTTTGCTATTGATGCCCCCAGGGTCTGGAATGCTGTTGCAAATAAATTGAAACTTGAGTCACTACCTATGAGATCTTCACTCAAAACTGCTTTAGAGGAGTTGTACACCCCTAGATGCCAGTGCTATTCAGTGACCTAAAATAAAATGTTTCGCTCCGGATGATCGCTACAAAGTATGACCTGTGTTTTGATTTAGTGTGCTGATCTTAAAGGTGCATTGAAAAATTACAATACTCCGATTGATGCTCCTGCTGTTGTGGAGTGACTCATGCAGCCAGCTATGGCTGCAGGGTTTTGGTAGTACATGTTGTTTATGCCATTTATTGTGAAAATTCCGTCAGTTCCTATGATTGCTTTTTTATTGCCTTCATGGCTTTATTTTGGTGATTTCGAAAAGTGTATTGGTTTAGCCATGTTTGTGTTGTTGTAGTACAGAGTTAGACTGATGGCCTTAATCTAAGTTGTCTTGTGGTTGTTGTTTGACTTGCATCCCACTGGGATTTTTGCACACAGCGTTGGTGTACGGTGTTTTTTCAGCAATATTTTTGCTGTCTTTTCTTGGATTTTCTGTTTGCACTTAGTCACATATTCACTTTAAGATGTTTTTTTGTTCATGTTTTTGTTTTTTGTTTGTTGCGGTTGCACCCGATTCAAGAGCTGAATGGCTCACAGGGCTACACCTAATAAATGAACTTGAACTTGAACTTGATGTGTCCAGGGCCCAAGGCCAACAGCAGAGTGAGTGGGGTGACAAGGGAGAGGAAGAAGCTGATGACGAAGTTTCACCCCGTACCGAGGTGGAACTGCGCCCCGGTAGAACCAGAATGGGGATGTAGCTCAGTGGTAGAGCGCATGCTTCGCATGTGTGAGGCCCCGGGGTCAATCCCCGGCATCTCCATGTTGGATCTGGAATCCATGTTGGAAGTTTTTTTAAAATTTATGTTTCCAACAAAGGTTGATTTTCAAAATCATTTGGCTGTGTCCATGTCCCTGTAATCGGGGTGCACATGAACTCTCGTAAACATATTCCTGCGGAGGGAGCTGAAAGGAACGTTGGTTTTCTCGGTCAATGGCCAGGGTCAACGGCGGCGTGGTGTATTCCGCAAATATGGCCAACTGTGAGGTTGGGCACAAGCCGGCGTGAGTCGGTTAAACGTTGAGTTTTATAAAGGCACCACGGGGTGACCAGCCCTTCCCCACCCTCCCCCACCCAGCCCCTCCCTTACCCACCCTCCCCTCTCCACCCAGCCCCACCCCTCCCATTTTTTGGATTCACGACGGATGGACGGACACAATAATCCCCTGTGGGCTGGTGGAACCAGGTGCTTCCTACCAGTATAACCCTATATGAACGATACCTGACGGTGAATTTGTGTTGATTTCAGGAACTTGCTATTTGTATAACTAGCGATGCACACAGTGATCAAATTGTTTACTTAAAAATTTGGAGATGAAAACCAGTGCTTAAAAGTATCCAAAACACTTTTTTTATTTCTGAATTAAATATTTCCAATAATAAATAAATTTGGAAAGCATCATAATATCCATCCACATGTATGCTTGTTATTTCTATTTCTTTCAAATAAAAAAAAATTTGCTTGAACTCTGTGCAGACTTGATGTGTACAGGGCCCAGGGCCAACAGGAGAGTGAGTGGGGTGACGAGGGAGAGGAAGAAGCTGATGACGAAGTTTCACCCCGTATCGAGGTGGAACTGCGCCCAGGTCGAACCAGAATGGGGATGTAGCTCAGTGGTAGAGCGCACGCTTCGCATGTGTGAGGCCCCGGGGTCAATCCCCCGGCATCTCCACGAGGTGATATTTTTCCAGTGGACAATTTTACTCAAAGGAATATGCGTGGCTTGTTTTCATTCGTTATGGTTGCTGAGCACAGATCCAGAAGACCAACATGTCAGCAATGAACAGCACTACAATCAAAGTTGCAGTCGATAAGAGTTAACATGTTTATGGCATTCATATTCTCACGTCGAAGGGAAATAATAAAAACAATAAAATTCTCACGTTTCGATTGCAACACAAGCAATCGTCATCAAGTGTGAAATCAAAATATGGAAATTACCAAGATAATTAGACTTGAAACCATAGGATGGACTTCCAAATTTGAGCAGTGCGTGGAGGAAGCCGAGAGAAAAGTGTTGTGACCTGCCGAGTGGTGGTCGAACGGAGGAGGTGAGAAGAAAATCAGTCTGGAGTCCTCATCGCTGAAGGATAACTCAACGAGTGGAATTATACAGGTAGGAACAAGTTTCACACTGCCCACCAGGGATTATTTGTCTGTCGTGCATCGCCCCTCCCAAACATGTATGTTCAGGGATTGGTTGAAGTGCATCACGTGACCGCGAGCTTTCTGTCGTGCACGAATGTGCTGTCCAACCCAACTTCCTACCTGCCCACTCCGAAGGAAAGTGTTTTTTTGCGGTAAAGTAACGATTTAATTGATTTTTTATGATCTTTTTTACCTACGTGACTTTACCGAAAAAACCAAAGAGTATGGATCCCTTGCAGTCACGAAAACTTTAAATCTAGAAATATTGATGTGACTGGCTGAGATGTAATAGTGGATGAATGCGGGCTAGATCTGACACCACACTGCAATCAACAGATCTTGTGTTTTATTATTTTTTTTATTTCATTCACAAATGCCTCACGGGTGATCGTTTTATTACAAATGTTTGTTTGCTGCTCAAATAAAGGGGGGGGGGGAGGGTGAGATACACCAACAATGTAATAATTTACACCGAAGCTGGAAATGATGAGATTCGAATGCATGTGCAGCATTTATTGTCATTCATCAGCACAAGTGTCACAAGAGCTAGCCCACTTGGGCGCATATTTATACAACACAGGGTGGCTGAATCACCTAGACCAGGGATAGATAGCCCTAACCTGCAGTCCCTTCGAGCCACATACCCCACGCTCCACATGGCCACAAGACCCGGGGTGGCCACCTGGGGCCGGTTGGCTCGCGCTGGTTAGCTGTTGAGTTTTTAATTTAGAAATCTGCGGAAGCGCCCTGGGAGTACTCATGCCAAGGATCGATTGGCAAGGGGGCAGAGTGCCCCGGACCCTTCTCGCTTCTGCAGATGTTTTTTCTTGTTCCAAATAAAATTATTATGAAAACTTAAAAAACGTATCTTTGTCTCTAAATGAGCGGGGCCTGAACCACACATGTTTGCGGCTAAACTAGACATTTACATCTCACCAACACGGATTTACACAGATCACGCGTCTTACAAACGCAATGGGTGGGCATGACATCGCTACGATGAGTATCACACACACAGACAAGCACTTCTCAAAGGCCAGAACTAGTGTCAAAATTCTCGAAGTAAACATGTCTAAACGTGCGGCCGCAATCTTCACTAAGCAATCGTGGTCATGCAAAGTACCTGACGTTTGGCGTTTAAGGCAATCTTTAAGAGACCTTGATAAAAATCCAATTGGGAAAGATAAAAAGCCCACATCTTCTGTTGGCTGATATAATTAGATATATATTTTTAAAACGTCCTCTCCCACCAGTATTCATAATGGGCCACATAAACATCAGCCCATGTATTTTCTTTACACCTCTTCAGACACCTAAGAAAACCCTGAAAACATTTGGAAGAAAACACATCAGTGCACCAGTGTGCCTGCGCAGGTTGCATAAAATTAGGATTTTTCTGAATAATAACTTTTCAGTGATACTCTTTTGGCATTACAGAAAATAATAAAACTCATGTATACTCTGCCACTGAAAGGATTCTCCACCTCAATTTCCCACATGTTCCTCTAAATAACTTCCACCAGCCTCATTGCTGGGGGCATTACACATTGCAATGTCAAGGTGACGAACTTAAGTGCTAAAACCAACAAAATGTTTTAAATTACAAAATCCACAGTTAATGCGACATTTCAGAAAGCCACACCCGACAGGCATTCCACAAAAAAACCCAAACCCCCGGAAATTTAGGCAGCAAAACCTGGCCATAAACATAACAGTCCAATTATTTGGCTCCATAAACAACTTTGCTAAAGTCACGTTGAAAGAAAAAAATAGAATACGACGTTTCGATTGCAACACAAGCAATCGTCATCAGGTAGAACTAAATTTGAGAGAGACAAAACAGACACACACAGACAAACACAACACAGAGACACAAATTTAGTTCTACCTGATGACGATTTCTTGTGTTGCAATCGAAACGTCGTATTCTATTATTAAATTTATTTTCTTTATACGTGACTTTACCGAAAGAACCAAAGAGTAATTCCTGCAGTCACGAAAGCTTGAAATCAAGTTTGAACTTTGCTAAATTTATTTTATTGACTCACTGCCCAGTCATGTAGAGCCGGGGGGGGGGGGGGGGGGGGGCTTTGGGTGTGTTTTTCCTCTCTTCCTGTTGTAAACTTAAAAATAAACTATTAACGCATGGCACTGGCACTGAAAGGCAGCATGGGGGAAGGGAGCTCCCGTTTGTAAATTGGGACTTGCAACTACAAGCACACACGAGACGAACGCTCAGAGCCTCTACGGGGTTGAACGCGGCAACAACCAACGAATGCAAACGCACGAGGCAACATACCCTCCCCCATTGCATGGGATATTCAAACAATTATGTACATCGCTTATATACACAACAAAATAAATAGTTTACTCCACCTTTGGAGGCAAGTGCGCGAACACTGTGGCTTTACATTTTCAATGCGGGTGCATTCAACGTGTTCCAATTTAGTTTTACAATTATTGCAGGTTTTTTTTTTAAGGTGAAATCTTTCGGCAATTTGGATTCAACGAGCTAGGACCGGGTGTCAACTGCATGTTTAGTTATAGTTTGATACATTGCTTTCATTGTTTTCACCAGATTGTTCAGCCTAACGTTTAGAATGTGGAACACAGCTGGCTCAATGCAAATTCTCCAATGTGAAAAATGTTACCGTGGCGATTTTCCCCACAATGAAGAAATGCATAAGAACGTTTAGCCCCGCTGTTTTCAATATTTGCGAATGCACATGACGATGCATGCGGTTCAAAGCACAGGACAGTGAGGGAGCTAAGCCGGCAAAAGTTTGAATATGCACCGACCCCCACCCAGCGCATCATCCCTCGACAAAACACGTGGTAGATTCCAAACCACCTTGCACAGTGACATTTGCCAATATACAAGAGCATGCGATGATGACGACGGTGATGGTCACAACATTTGGGGCATTCCATTTTTCTGTAGAATATGGGGGATGTGGAACACGGACATTCAATCCTCCTCTCCGCGGCCCTGGTTATATTTAACCAGGCCTCGCTGTGGACACAGCAACCGCTCTTGTGTGTGTGGGAGTGCGTCCCGTGGTTTCGTTTACCCACTTGAAAAATCGACGAGTGGTGGCGCAAAAAATAACCGCGCTCGGCGGTGCCAATACAGTGCAGGGGGAACTTGTCAAACAACGTGCGTATCGTAGTGCACATTGTGCTGGTGTCAAAGCCAAAATGTTATATTTATATATTAAAAAAATTGTTCCAATACAATTGGGCATGCAATAATTCTCTCCTCCAGAAATGTTATGAATGACCATGAGTCTTAGTGAAAGAATCGATATTTCCTTCGATTTTGCCGTCCTGCTGGGAACGTTTCTCATCACGTCTCGTTTTTACAGTTTTGCTCGCTCCAATTATTGCTACATGTGAAATTTAGCATGTAATTTACATGAATTGCAGGTAATAGATTATCACATGTGCGATTCGATACACGTGCCATGAACAGAAAAGAATAAATTATAATCAACAAATCGGTCCATCATGACAAGTCTGATAATTATAGAAATATTTTTGATAGAGCTTGTTAGCTTCATGGGCCTTACCCGAAACAAACTGACTGAACTAGGGATACACATGTCACCCTTGAAAAAGACTTAATGAAGTTCAATGTTCTGTAACCTGCTCAAACTAAGACCATCAGTCAACCTGGTTTAGTTGGCACTAACAACTGGGAGCACAAACTTTGCACTGCACTGGATAATTTTGCTCCACAACCGTTGAGTTCACAGACGCATCATAACACGTAGCAGGACAAAGCGAACGCATTTTAAAACAACATTTCTGTACACGACACTGAAATTCAAGTTAACAATGTATTTAACTTAAAAGGATGATTTATTTTTTAACGATGCCAAAGTAGTTTTTTTGTTACTGCTGTGGACAAAATACTACAAGAGGCAGGCGTTTATTTGATAGGCGGTGATCCATTTATGGATGTCCCACTCAAATATTAGGGCGAAAATATATAGGCAGAAGTCAACTTTTCTATTTAAAGCCTCCACATTTTTATCACCCTCCTGATACACTTTGCCCAACACAGCTTTCACAATATTCAATAACCTGTTGGAATTGGTTCACCCTGTATTTTGGGCAATAAAGTCACCACTGTATTAAGTGTAACTAGTAATATTTTAGACACCTTTATTCCAACGTGCAAAACCAAACCAAATTACTTTCAAAACATTCTTAGACATCTTAAGTACACCACAGACATTAAATGGAGACTCCATAAAAGAGAGAAAGCAAGCAGCCAACCGCCCCTAATGAATCTTGAACTCGCACAAATATTTTAAGCCAAATCCATCTTAACCCAGTTGAAGCCGGGTATAATCACACCTTTTGTAAGTGCTAATTATTTGGTGATACTGCCTTGGCAGTAGTGCACACATCGCAAATACAAAAACCCTCCACATGTTCGTTAATCGTACTGCCTTAAAAAATAACAAAGTACATCACAGGCGATGTGTCTGGCAAATGGTCCTTCTTGACATCATGTAGCAAGGTGGGGACGGCACTTGCAAGGCCCCACGGTATGCAAAGTTTGGTCTCCAATACGCTCTCCCCGTCTGGGCCATGTGCTGTCAAGGGCATTTGCACGAAACATTGCATAACATATAAACTTTATTTTTAAGGCAGTGTTACTGACGAATTAGTTTTTTATTTTATAGTAGTCTTCATATATGCAACACGTGCTTATATTAAACTGGTTGGGGGGGGGGGGGGCGCAACGGGAAACTTCTGATAGAAGCACACGTTGGTCTTGCTCCAAAGAGGTAGGCTTATATACAGCGTCCACTGTACAGAGATTCAAAATGTATTATTTTCACAACTAGGTAGATTTCCATTACCAATAATATTGCCTTTTGGAGGGATCGATTGCTTATGTTCTCTGAAGATGCACAAAACAATCCAGAAGAGACCCGTTACAGTAGTTGACAAGACAAGACAACTCAACTAATTCTCACCACCTCAATGTTTACCTAGTGGCAACACATTTAATGAACGCATGCGCGTGAATCTTTAGAGTCGGCAAATTAAAGTTAACTAAGCCGTTGCAGTCGTATATGCCATAACCGGCATATTTTACGTTGTGTATTTTAGATAGCTGAAAAGCAACACGTTAAGAGAGCAATATGTACTGACATGGTAGTCAAACTATAACACATTCACTCATCTGGTACACCAAAAGTTATATATAATACACAGCTGACTCCAAACAAATAAACGTGGAGTCCAGGGAAGTGACGATACATTTCACATGACTAAGTGCAAATTCGTTGACCTTGCATATTTAAATTATAATGTAGATTTTCATTTGTAGATCTCAAAACCAGCAAAAAAAATGGCCTTCTCAAGCCATTGCACAAAATCTATTAATTTGGTTTTCAAAATTACACCAGATGTGCAAAATATCCTAAGCCGTTACTACTCAAAATGGATTATCACACCAAATTTGTAAATACACAAATCTGATGTTTGGCTACGCTACTGTGTTGCAAAATGCCACGCACTGCTGTGCTAAATTTAAAATATAGCATAACGTGATGTCATTGCATATCATGCATTTGCAATACAATCTATAAAACTGCCAATGGTATAGCAATGACTGTACACCTACCAACATCTTAATGGGATCATTCGTTCATTAAAATAATGTATTTGTTTTATATCACACTTTGTTAAATATTAAAAACTCTGCAGATAACTTCAGTCTTCCGTTAGTGAAGTGAGGATTAAAATTAGCCTGCTTTAGGATGTGGCTTTTTCACTGCAAAGCATGTTAAAGCTCAATCTTTTGACCCACAATGCCTCTTCCACCAGGTACACAACCAAAACATTGTAGATGCAAACCGAGAAATGTATAAAACATTACTTAGCTTGTTTACCCAGAAAGCCTCACCGAGTCTCAATATCTTTCTCAGGAGGGTCCTACTAGGTTTTCGCAGTAGCGGGCAATGTTACTACGGGACACCTGTGAAGAAGAGCTTTATAGCTGATCAAATTCCTCCAGTATAAATACATATTCTGATTCTGCTGTGTGTAATCCCAATTGAGTAATTTGCAGGTGACTTTTCAACACTTGGATACTTGGCCAATTCTAGTTACGCTGTATGTGTTTATGTTAGCTATTGGAGAAATCCCATTCATAGCAGTGGAGACCGTACAAACTCCACGTGGAAAGCAGCCCGAGTCGGGAATCACACTTAGGCCTCTTCTTGGTGCGAGGCACGAGTGTTTCCACTGTGCCTCTTTGCCGCCCATGACAAAGCACGTCGCCATCCTCCCGTTGCCCACCAACCTGTTATGTCCGTGAAGCCAAAAAAACAACAATGTATTCATTCGTTCGCTCCATTCGTTTCTCCAAATTGCAGTATAAAACAAACAACTGCATAGGTGATGTCAAAATAAAGTTTGTTATCAATACTAATTTTATGTCGACTGATCAATTGAAAGTTTCCCAATGGCAATGTTATAGATCACTTCGGATGGCAATTCCAACATACACATACATCAATAATAAATATATTTACAAAAAGAAACCCCACTTAACAAATGCAATACTTAAAATTCACATTGGCGCTTTAACTCAAACTTTCGGAGTCCGGTGGCAGTCATCTGACTGCGAGATTATCAGGCAGACTTCATTTCCAACAGGTGGATTTGACTCAACATTTGCCGCTCCTTAAGTCGCACGCGTTGTTAAGAAGCGATGGAAGCTCTTGGAAAGCACAGATGTTCTTGGCACAAGAAGCGAATGTTTGCCTACAAAGTTGTGCCGCGTTATTTGCTGTTGTTAGCAATCGTTGTGATTTCATAACTTAATCTCGCCCCAATTTCTCATCACTAGCTCATTTGGCATGGCTGTCTTTGACGAAAAAAAACCCTGATTGTAATGACGTGCTGCTCTTGTCAGAAAAAAAATCAACAACAACAACAAGAGGAAGAGAGTAATCCGTTTGTTCAACCTCGAAAAACACACGGGAAAACAACGGCAAAGCAAATTCAGCAATAAGAGTTTTCCATAGTTTTCTTTTACATACATTAATGCCAAAAAAAAACTGGCTCGTCATTCAATCACTTCCAATGCACCGCAGAGAAATGTGGTTTTGTAAAACGGACGCTCGTGTACACGCCGTGGGTTTGTACTGCAGCTCCACGCGGTATTCGGAGGCGTTGGACGGATGTGGCGGAGCAGATCACCCACCGACCCGACCGCCCCCTCCCCTCACTCCCCACAGCGTGCACCGTCGTCAGTCTCTGTGCATCCGCCGTTCGTTATTCTCTGCGCGCAACCTGGGAAGATTGACACGCCAACACACCTGGGTCATGCGCCTGCCACCGAATCGCACCCTCGCAACAAAAGATGCCCCGTGTAGCCTTAACAGTCTGCTGGGGCAAGTGCTGTTAGCGAGCAGCACCTATGGAGGTCGGTACAGCATTTGAGGGGGTGGGGTGGCCAGCACCACGTCCGACCGCCTTTGTCTCCCTCATGGCGATGTTTGCACATCGGACCGGTTACTCATATGAGGCTGAGTCGACCTAGGGGATGCCCAGAACCGGCTTAGATAATCGCCACTGATGTTGTGGCCATGAGCAGGAATCGAACTCGGGTCGCCGGGTTCCTATCGCAGTGCGCTAACTGCTGCGCCACCGCTCCCCTTACCCTCACAACAACAATTGTCATTCGCCACTAAGTAGCGGTGACGTCACCACGGCGCTTGTACCAGGCGACGTGTACTTTAAGGCAAAATGCACACGTGCCCACACATAACCTACAACTGTTAAAAAAAACTGTCTGCATACAAGGAGGAGCAGGAGACATTTGCCTATTTATTAAATAATGAAATCAGGAATTAATTTGGAATTTGCGCCATGATATTAGCCTGAGGCTTTCATGATGGCGCTTCATTTCCCAGAAGAGTATTGCTTGCAGTAGTAGTGTAACAGGAAGTGGCGATGTTGCTCAGCGGTTTTCCTCATTTACAGTTCACCCTAAGTTGGATGGCTATATGCACATCTCATATAACTGCACTTCTTATGAAAGAAACATATCCTTACATCACACTGGTGGGGGGGGGAAGCAAAGGGTAACTTTAATACAAGTACACTTTGGACATAAGCACATCTGGCCTTGCTTCCAAAGGGTGCGCTGAAACCCAGATTCAAATATATTACATGGACACGTATAAGCAATCGCACTGTGTGGCTATTGGTAATCAAATGTACTTGGATTTCAATCTAATGGGCTTAAGCTGCATTGCTTTTAGTTAGATCTGGGAGTGGTGGGGCACACCTGTAATCTAGCCATTGGGAGGTGGGGTAATATATTTGACTTATTTCTAAAGTTCATCTTTATATAAAAAATAATTTTCATTATTTATAGTCCTTTGTCAATCCTCTGCTGAGATGAAGGATTCACCACACGGTGTCGTTCATGGAGGTTGTTGTTTAACCGTAGTTCACCATGCTGGTCAGTCCAGGATGATGAAGGGTGGGAAATCCCAGGACAGAACTTGGGCAACTGATGTTAGCGATGGCTCAGAATAAAACATGGGTTCATAGCTCAGTGCGCAGGCACTTTTGTACTCCAGAAGAAGCTGTGTATATAAACACACCCCTTGGGATTAAGCCAATGTGCACTTATATTCAAAGTGTGCTTGTATTAGAAGTTACCTTTCGACTTTCTCCCACCAGTATTCCATATCACAAGTGTGCTTATATAATGTGTGCTATATTAATCTTCTACCGTATGACCGGTTCTGGATTTAAAATAAGGCGTTATAGTGGCAACCAGCTATACAGAGGTTGGGGAGAAACCGATGGTCAAATGGAGATCCAAGTGTTTTGCTAGCGAGCAGTTGGAATTAGCTCTGAGGTTTGTGTGCTCAGCTGCCTGTGCTGGGTTTTGTATAGTTTCAATCCCATCAGTGTAGTCGAATGCATTTCAAGTCCTCAGTTTTTGCAGAGGGAAAATGGAAGAACTATTCAAATAAATAAATGCAGATTTTCTTTTTTGAATTTGTAATCATGTGGTTATACAGAATACTAAACAGTGCATGCTGTATCATTTGATTCATGAGAACAATGATTAACGAATTAACTTTTTGTGGTATTAAATCTGTTTTCAACCTTCAGGAAAACAGTTTTGGAACTAAATGCAAAAAAAACGTACTCAACACAATAATACTTTGTGTTCATTACAGAATTATTTTATGGTTCTTACACAAACAATTTAAATAATTAACATTCAACCAAAGGTATTGTTGGCAACAGGTCATCGCTAAAAAAGATACTTCTCACTCTGTTAAAGGCATTAACAGCTAAACGTGCACAGTAACGATTCTTTTAGCAAGTTAAAGCTCTCACCAGTCATTGGTCGTCTGGCCATCTGGAATCGGGGGATCTGGAACAGAGCCTGCAGAGACAATCACACAGCATTAATCGCATTACCCATAACACTTACTCGCTCGCGAACTCATTTATTCATTCATCTCGGGCAGTTTAGTTGATTGCCTTCAAAAGTGAGCTCAGCAAATCGGTTTATATCATAAAAGTCCTTGGCATAATCATGCCAAGGACTTTTAAAACATAACTTTCATTACTCTGCAAATCCACTCTCATTACCAAGATGAGCCGTCACAGGGGGTGCTTCATGATATGTGAAGGTTAAAGGTGCAGGCCCTGCAACGTCGTGAGAAATTTATTTTATTGTGTTTTATTATTATTATTTTATTATTTCCCTTTTACGTGACTTACCGAAATAACCAAGAAGATGAATCCCTGCAGTCACGAAAGCTTTAAATCGAAATTCAACTACTTTGTTTCATCAAACCCTCTATGTATTATTAACATTATACATTTGTTTACGATAGAGAACCAAAGGGGTGCAAGGCTGCAGTAAAGGATAAGAACCACTGCTTTAGAGGATGTATTTGGCCTACCCGTGTTATGACGGGTATTTTTTTTACAAGTGGGACCTATAGTATAAACAAAAAAAAGCTCGGTAAAAATTGTATAAGCAAAGAAGCTGAATGCAAAACAACAATATTGGTGAGATGTGTAATTATTTCTGTGATGCAACTCGTGATATAAATTGCAATAATTATAGTCATTTATAGCCCTTTCTAAATATCCTGATGGATGATCATGATGCATATTTCAGTAATCACTTGTGAACAACATGTACCTTTGGACACAGAAACAGAGTTTTGCTTACACATGCCTTGAACCGTAATGCTCCACAAAGCATCTTGAGTAAGTACACATTTCTTGTTTTGGGATTGTACAGGAACCCATAGTTTGGATGGAATGATCTTGCCAATAACATCTGCTAACGCTGAAACTTTGGTTTAACAAGTCTCACTGCTGATGAGATCCTGCAAGTCAAAACCGGTTCAAAGCTTGCTTGAATAAACAGGTACTGCCAACTAGTATTGGTCTCGAAAGCCACTAAGCCAATTGGTCAGAACATATATTTTATTCATTTGTTGAGACAAAGTGCTGAATTTGTGGTTATAAATGTTTTTACCCAAATGCTCCACAGAAATGAACAATGCGTTAGTACACGATTAAATTTTGTAATGCTCAGTTTGACACATACACACACAGGAATGAAGTTTGCTGTGAAAACCATCACAGGTCTCACTTACTTGGCTAATCAGTTGTAATCAGTTGTTGGCAAAGAATTGGGAGGGGCTTTACATTTCCTGCCCTAATTACATCAACAAAGACCTGCAAATCCTCCAGGCATCCTGAGAATGTCTTGCTTAAATCACATGCTGCAACAGTGTTGTAAAACTATCAATACTAAATATTGTTTTACTAATTCGATAATAATCAGATTATTTGATTGTTTTGTTATATAATACAAACATATTTAACATGATCTTTAGGAATAGAATTCCACACATCATGTTAGAAGTAAAAATAGCCATACAGAATAACAATTAACTGCCACAGTGAGTTGATGTCACGTTTAAAGGTTGCGATTTGATTCTTCAACCAAATTTGTCGTCACGTTTATTTTGTCTCGTACTTTTTGTTTGTTTAATTAGCCTAAAAAACACAAATGACCAAAAACAGATGAGGACAACATATTTTATCTCAAGAATTTAGTTTAATCACTGAATCCGCATAAGCTCAAATCGGTTGCTTTTGGGATATCAGCGACTGTGAAAGTGATTATATTTTATTGGAAACACTCGTTTGGCATGGCGGTAAGGGCACAAGGTCATTAATTCAAGATAGATGTACACTCAAGAGTGCGTGTAATGTTACAAAAACATTTTTTTTTCATAATATGTTCACCTTCACGATCAATGCAATAACAGTCTCAGAAGCGATGTGCTGTATACAGCTAAATGTTAAGGATTTATTGCCACATTAAGCTGTCAAACGGGTCCCATTATATATTTATTTGAATGAAAAAGGAGTATTTCTAATTATATTAAGCAACACACGCAATCTCCAAAATGCACTATCCATTTGGATTGCCAACAAAGGAAACTCTACGGCCAAAGTCCATCCAATATTCCAGTGCCTGCTGCATTTTATTTAGCAACACAACTCTGTTCATCATGTTCTGCATTGAATTTGCTTTTACGTAAGAGACATTAGGACTGTTATAGGGACATCCGATTGCAACAGAGTTTGCCGGGTTCCATCCGCCTGTGCGGCAAGCAAATCAATGGTGCAAGTTTCTTAAACTCCCCCCCCTCTCCATCCACAAGGTAGCGTGAATGGGTACATCGCAGTTGATTTGATCAGCAGCACACGTGTGGCAGAGTAAAGTGTGAGTAAGACAAATACCCTCTACACGGGTTCTCTAGAGGTCCATCGAGTTAAAGACCTTCTGCCAGCAGTAGTGTGAGCAAATACTATTGCTGCACGATTACCTTTTACCACCATCTATTATGCCTTCTTACACTCTTAATTATACGTTTTCGTTGTACAATAAAACATGTTAAATTGTCCATCCTTGCTTTGTTGGTATTATTTAAAACTGAGGTCCATTTACAAATGGAAAATTTAAGCAATTAACAAAATGAACAAATAAAATCCCCTACTCTGAAACAAAGTGAGAGCTTATTGAGGCAAAGCGTCGCAAGTGTCTTGCAAAGCTAAATGAATGTCAGCGTAATTAAACAATAAAACGTAGTGCATTGGTTAGTGAACTGTGCTAGAAACCCAGGTTCCATTCCGGGCCATGGCTGAATTAGTCCTGGGCCCCCTTACTTCACCAACCCACAATGACCAGTGTGGTGAAGTATGGTCAAATAATACCCATGACTGACACGGCGTGGGGAGAAAATTCTCCCAGCAGTGGATTAACACGGGGCTGAACAAGTTCAAATATTGTTTTGACACTTGAGCGACAGGATGGCGCACAGGTAACATTTGCGGCTCACGGCAAGATTTCTCCAGGATAAATAAACATTCTGATTCTGATGAGTCTGATTGTGAAGAAGGCCCAGGGTTTGATTCCTGACCCGGGCACCTTTTTGTACGGAGTTTATGCATTCTCCTCATTCAGCTTGGGTTTCCAATGGGCTCTCAGTGTTCCTCACACAGCTAAAGAAACGCACAGCGTAACCGATATTAGCCAAAATATCACAATTCTGAAAAATTGCCTGTTAATTGCTTCCATTGGGATTACACATAGCAACATTGACCCCGACTGTGAAAAAAAATACCTGGCAGAAACCTCATGAAAAGAGTACAGTATTGAGATTCAGTGAGGCTTTCCTGATTAAACAAGCATAATCATAGAATAATTATGAATGTCATAGAGCTTCTGCTACTTGCTTTCCTTCATGTAACCCAGTAGGCAGCAATAGGCTGCAACACCGCTGTCGACATAAAAGTTGAGGGTCTCAAGAGTTGATCATTGCTAAGCCAGGAACAGTAAAGGCATGACCAGCTGGTTGAACTCCCACTCACCCAGTATTTACATTGATTGACAGATCGATGCCACCCATCTGCTCAAAAGTGCTCAATACCAATTTAATCTAAAAGCGACAAATCTTGTTAGATCTGGAAGTACTTGGATGGGAGACTGGATGGGAAACTGTCTGGGAATACCAAGCGTTGTAGGGTTTGGGCTGTTAGGTGCCCAAGAGATGGCTGTACAGGTATAACAATGTGTTAAAAAAAATCTAGCTGTGTGGCGCTGAGTGGTACACCTTGATTTGAAGCTTTCGTGACTGCAGGAATCCATACTCTCTGGATACTTCGGTAAAGGCACGTAGATAGAAAAAATAATAAAAGAAAACACAACGTTTCGGTCGCAACACCATAGGGCCCGTTGCATCTCCGACCAGCACCACCTAGCCAGTGAGCTTGAACACGTATGCCAGGCTCTCAGGATTAAAGGATATTCTGACCGCACAATCCGCAAATCTGCATCCACAACCATGGGTAGAGAACCATCTGAGGACCTCCAATCAAAACCATCACCTTACCATACATAGCAGGGGTTACCAAAAGGATTGCCAAAATCTTAAACAAACACAAGATCAAAGTTCGGTTCAATACAGGACAAAAAATCCGTGATTTGATCCCATCGGTGAAGGATGCGATTCCGGACATGCAATAAGCTGAGTTGTGTCTGCGGCAACAGTTACATTGGTGAAACAAAGCGACGTGTCTCAGACCGGGGTCGCGAACACAAAGCAGATTTGAAACACGGCGGAACCAACACCTCGGCAGTGGCGGATCATTGTTTCAACGCTGTGGGCACACTTGACGTTGTTTTCTCCGAGACCAAGGTGCTTCTGCAAACCCTCGGGCCACCATCAGAGATTTGTTCACGAAGCCATCCAGATATACAAACACAGAAAACACTTTAATCGAGTAGATGGATTCAGATTGAGCAATCATAGGAAGGATGTGATAAACCACGTTAAGTTTTAACTGCTATGATTTTCACTCACCCACCCGTGTGTCTTGTTGAACGATTACTACAAGTCCATTTACTTGCCAATTTCTCCAGCCCAACTGTCCATGCACGCCACAAAACCTCCCCCCTCTCCCCTGTGAACCCCTACAGCCAAACTTCTCCCCCCCCCCCCCGTGTCTAACCCCTACAGCCAAACTCCTCCTCCCCCCCGTGCCTATATAAAGCCACAACAGCAGATAATATTTTTCATCTACGTGACTTTACCGAAAGAACCAGAGAGTATGTTACACCTTCATATGCATTAACACCATATTCTACTCCGCTTACAACTGTCAACCTAGTCAATGTCCTCTAATAGGCCATATTTTACTGCACTGTAGGTCTCTCGTAATCTCTATCATGTAACTATCTACCCTCTACCATGCCCTTTCATCTCTGTCAAGCAGCGGCTGGCTGCTCATCCTCCTCTGCTGGTCACGGCTTTAAGGCTCTCTCCCTCTGAGCTGTCTGGACTGCTGAATCCGTTCTTCTCTTCTAAGGATTTATCCTTCCTCCTCCCCTCCTTCACTTGTAACCATCTCTCCACTTCAAATGTCGTACATGCTGGTCACGTCACGCAGTGTAAACGTACACAGACCGTCGTCAATCCACTGCTGGTGGATGAAAGCTTCCCCCATCGTGTCATATCAATCGTGGGGATTGTTTGACCGTACTTCACCACGCTGGTCAGTAATGGTTAAAAATACCACGGAATTGCGTCTTACCCCCCCCCCCCCCCACTGGCTTCTGATCTCAGATCCCTCTTACCGGCTCTCACGCTCACCCAGTGGGTAGGAACATCAACCCCCCCTCACCCCATCATCAGGCATGGACAATCCACTGCTGGATGATGGCCTCCCCAATCCCTATACAAATCATAATACGGGACTGTGTTGGCAGGAGCGTACAATCACTCAGGACGAATAAAACATCCTAACGAACTTTGTCACGAATACTGAATTACAACACAATGTTACACAATTACCTAATAAGCGTGCCTCTCCGATCCAACCCGGTCTCTTGGCGGACTTGGATAGATTCCCCTGCCGGCTTCCCCCCATCGAAGTCGGTAGACACGGGTAGGCCGCACCGCCCGACTCCGAGGTAAATAACCACAAACCCAGCGTGACCGGACCCAACCTGAGATAACCACTTCCAAACTTACTCACCATTATGATTATCGCAGGTATATCAATTGTTCACTTAAACCGCCGGGAACAGATGAGCGAGAGATGTAGGGGCCAAGCGATCACTTGGGCATGAATGATTTAGGAAAGCGTTCTCTACCAACATCGATAACATCACAAAAGCTATAGGAGGATCAACCAGTTTCTGGAAAAGACGATTTCAAGTAAAAAATAGCGACCCCACTCCCAAGCCATATCGAGAACACACTCAAATAATCAAACAACGCCACCAAAGTACGCGATGGATAACGAAGCAATATGTTACATTGAGAGTGTTAAATAAAATAATCAAAGCCACGTCTTTCATATGGCTTTGCAACGCGTGCTTAAATGCCTCGGTAACTCAAAGCGCATCACAACTCATCTCAAAGTGGTCTAGCCAAGAGTGGTGGTGGTGGGGGGCACCCCCGGTGGCAGCTGTCTCTACGCGACACAAGGTGCACGTAACACAGCACCGTGCCCAGTCTCGGCTTTTGAAACTAACGCAGGCCGATTAAACCAACCCCTGGATATTGACCGAGATCTCCCAACCTTAAGGCCCACGACGATGAGGACGAGGCCTTTGACCGTCCCAAGCAGTCCTTCACCCCCCCAGCCGCCCCAACTCCCCGGCTGTGAAGCCATCACTCGCCTTGTGCCCGCTCCATGTCGTAGATGGTGGGCCCGTAGAACCACCAGGCGACGTTGATGAGCACGAGGCTCAGCAGGAGCCACGCGGCCGCCACCTTGAAGAGCAACGCTTGCTGCTCGTTGGCCAGCCACGACTCGGCGAAGTCGGCCGCGAATTCCGAGGCGAACTCGGCGGCGCTGCGTAGCGCGTCCACCTCCAGTAACCTCTCCATCGCTGCTGCTGCTGCTGCTTCTGCCAGCGCACGGCCGCATGCATCAGTGCCGGACAAACACCGCCGCCTCCTCCTCCTCGCTCCTTCTCCTCCTTCTTCTTCACCTTCTCCTCTCTCCTCTCGTCTCACACTGCGCGCTCTCTGTCCTCTCTCTCTGCCCACCGGTCGTGTTGTGATGACGGGGGGGGGGGGGTGAGCGTGCGTGATGACGTCACGGCACCGCGGGTCTAGACGTGCGAGGTACGCGCGTGTGGTGACGTCATGACGCAAGCTTGCGTCGTGACGTCACTCGCGGACCCGGCTCTCCAACGCCACACCCCCGGTTCGCGCTGCTACGGGGGCGACGTCACAACGCAGACGTTTCGTCGTTACGTCACTCGCGAACAACTCACGCTGCTGTGACGCGATGACGTCACGCGCACGCCACCGAGAGTGACGTCCGCTCAATCATGCGAACGTCGCTCGAGCGGCGTGGGTGACGTCACGCGCACGGCTACGTAATGACGTCACCTAAAAATCTTGCCGATGCAACGTCACGCGCACGGCTACGTAATGACGTCACCTGAACAATCTTGCCAATGCGACGTCACGCGCACGGCAACGTAATGACGTCACATAAAAATATTGCTGATGCGATCGTACTCTTTGGTTTTTTCAGTAAATCACGTAGGTAAAAAATAATAAATAAAATAATAATAAATAAAAATAAATCAATTAAATCACGACGTTTCGGAGGCAACACAGGTCGGACCGTCACAGCTAAATTAACTTGATACAGTAAATTATTTTTTACCTACGTGACTTTACCTAAAAAAAACCTAAGAGTATGAATCCTTGCAGTCACGAAAGCTTCAAATCTAGAATCGATGCGATCGTCTCGAGAGCGGGCGTGGGTGACGTCACGCGCACGCCGGCGTAATGACGTCACGCGCACGCCGTTGTAAAGACGTCAACGCGCACGCCGGCGTAATGACGTCACGCGCACGCCGTTGTAAAGACGTCAACGCGCACGCCGGCGTAATGACGTCACGCGCACGCCGGCGTAATGACGTCAACGCGCACGTCGACGTAATGACGTCACGCGCACGCCGGCGTAATGACGTCACGGAAAAAAGAAGTCACATCGCAACAAAAAAAAGCGCCGCCCGAGGTGACGGAGCGGCGATGAATAATCGCGGGAATCGACTCCGACTCCGTCCCCGCCGCAGCAGCAGCAGCTGATGACGACGGACATGGCCCTGTCGCAGCGCGGCAGCAAGGCCGGCGTGCGCGACAAAGTGACGGAGTACGAAGCGTTCATCAACGAAGTGCTGAAGAGAGACCTGCAGTGAGCATTGCGTTTGTTGTTGCTGCTGCTGTGGTGGTTGTTGTTGATGTGATGGTTGTTGTTGTTGCTTCTGTGGCCGCTCCTCGCCCCCTCGCTTCGTGGTTCACAACGGCCGTGGGTTTTCCCCCAAACCACCCATTGCCACCTTGCGTCGTCGTCAAGCGAAGTCGATTCATTGTTGCAGCTGCCCACCTCCAGTTCGATCGCCTCCTCGTTAGTTTATTGTCCTTCCCCGCACCTCCACATTGGCACGGTCGGCTAAGTGCGGTGCGAAAGAAGTTCAACATGTTGCACAAAACATGTAAACAACCATTGCATCGATGCACATGGTGGAGATAATCTCCTCCTAGGGTTGCAAACTTTGACTGAAGCTGATTTGGGGAGATTTTTTAAATTACATTTAGTAAAAAAAATCCTATTAAAGCTCATCTCTCAGATTACTTTAGACAGTTACCAGCCATTCCGGGAGGGTTTGCAACCCTACATCATCTAACAAGGCAAGCCTGACTGCTGATGAGGCACCGAATGTCGAAACCGGTGCCGAGTTTTATTGTGTTCAACGAACAGCTGGTGGGAACGTCCCCTCATTAAAGGCCGTGTGTTGCTGGTGGGATGTGTGTGAAAATCAAATGCTTTTATGGTTTTTTTTTGGAGAGACACGTGGGAAACTGTTTAACAACATTATTTTGTACTCGCATGTATATTTTATTAAATTACTTCACCTGGGAAATTCCTTGGGTTTGAACATCTTCCACTCTGCAAGGGTGTCCAGTTCAATTGCATAGCAAACGCGTAATGACCACGAATATACAAACATTTTAACAGCGTCTATAACTTATGCATTGTGCATTTTTTTAACAATGATCATCGAGCCCAGTTAAATGCTTATTAAATATCTAACTAGATGATGCATCTCTTATTCTTGGTTCTTTCGGTAAAGTCACGTAGAAGGGAAATAATAAAATAATATAAATATAAAACAATAAAAATTCTCACGACGTTTCGACTGCAACACAAGCAATCATCATCAGGTGTGAAATCCACAGCAAGAAAATTTTTGCAGTCGTGAGAATTTTTCTTGTTTTATATTTATATTATTTTATTGTTTTCCTTCTACGTGACTTTACCGAAAGAGCCAAGAATATTAATCCCTGCAGTCACGAAAGCTTTAAATCAAGATGCATCTCTTATTTGGCAATACTTGACGCTGGTGCAACCGGACTCGACGTTGTTTAGCTTCTGAGATATGACGAGATGCAGGTGTTTTTTTGTTGTAATGGACTAGTGTGGAAATAGTTCAGCAATGTTGAATGTATTCTATTTGCCATTCGGATATCTTTGCAGTTGTATTGTATCGTACGTAACAATAAGTATACAACTTAACCTTATTGAGAAAATAAATTTACTTTGTGTGTGCCATACCTAAAGTAGATCAACTATAACAAACATTCCAAGTAATTTGCAATGAAGTTAACACACTTCCAACTGAAATATCACACACGTGGTGTTCGCTGTCACTGTGCTCCCCTTCAGGAAAGTGTTGGAGGAAAGAGATAAGATTTATGAGAAAACGGCGCAGTATCTGCAGCTCAAGCATGTCATCGAACGACTACAGGTACCACGAGTTATTGAGTGCCCCAAGACCTGGAAGGATACTTCCACTGATATCAGCTGTAGCTGGGAATTTAAACTAGCGCAGTGCACTAACCACTGCGTCACCGCTCCACCCCACAATACTGAAATGTACAAAATGTATTGTGCGCTGTCTTGATTGTGAGTGATACATAATAATTTGAAGGGATAGGTTTTGCACCATTAACATTAAAAAAAAAAATTAACTTAGAACGATTAGTTTAAAGTGTATTTTGTATAGCTAGGCGAGAACTCAAGAGGCCAGGATAGTCTCATTTGCAAGATTGACCTGGCTCACCAACACGACAAAATCAAAACAAAAGAAAGTAAGATATAACAATGAAGCAAATAAAAACCTTAGCCAAAATAACTGATACTAGCATTGGCTTGCGGGCCAAATAATGTCATATGTTTGTATACTTTGTTTCAACACATTGACGCACGAAACATTGCCTCTTATGCAACGCCGACCTAAGTTGTACGTCAACATGACTTTTTAATATCTTAGCGTTTAATCTTCCTTACATCTCGTGAAACCATTACCTCTGTCGACAGCTGTTGCATCTCTCGTGTAGCTCCTTGACCTCACTGAAATGGTCACTTCTCAGCGAGCCATATTTCATGGCTGGCCACAGCGTGGCAGGTTACTCCCCGAACCTTTGTGGCACACATGTGGGTCGATCGCTGCCAGTGTGAAAAACCCTGGCCCAAGGGATGCCGTAATTTAACTCGTGGCTATTTGAGTTGAAATTTCCTACAGTTTATATGATAGCGCTGACATAGTTCTAAGTAATTAATGTATTCTTGTAAATGTGTTTGATGGTGTGCCATGGGTTGGTTGCAGGAGACAGGGTGCCCAGGGGAAGAGCTGAAGACACAGGTTGACCTTGGTTGCAACTTCTACGTCAACGCTAAAGTGTCAGTGCTCGTGTCTTTGTTCAGTAGCCAAACACAACTATAAAATTAACAACCGTGCGATAATGGCCTTGGGAAAATTGTAATGGTATTTAATAGTGATTTTCACAGCTCCATAGTAGGGTACTGTGTCCTTGTTAATTATGCATTCATTTAACATTGGGTTTTTATTTTGATTCCTATTTAATGAATTGTTGTATTTATTTTCCTTTTGTTATTATGGTAACCCGGGTCACTCTTGCAAACGAGACTATCATGGTCTCTTTGAGTTTTAACTTGGTTAAACAAAGTAAACTTGAATCGAAAAATATTTGCTACTTTGTAGTAAGAAAAAAAGTCACAACTAATTTGATAATTTTGAATCCTTTCCATTACTATTTAAAGGTAATTATCTAATATAAGGAATATATGGATGGTGTACTACTGCATGTCAAAGCTCATTGGAAATGTTTTGTCTTTGTAGGCCAGATGCAAGTCACATATTTGTATCTGTGGGCTATGGATTTTTTGTGGAATTCACGCTCCCGGAAGCGCTTAAGTTCATTGACAAGAAAACCACGCAGATGAACGAGTAAGCAAACCTCGGGCAGTTACGTGACGTTGTTAACACGTTTCCGATTAATACGTGAACGCAATGATCGCACAATGCTGAGATCCTAGGTTGAATCTGGACAGCCACCACCTGTAAACACATTCCTGTGGAGGGAGCTGGTAGGAACGTTGGGTTGCTCGGTCAATGGCCAGGGTCAACAGCGGCATGGTGTATTCCGCAAATATGCCTAACTGTGAGGGCGGGCACAAGCCGGCGTGAGTAGGTTAAACGTTGAGTTTTATAAGGGCACCACGGGGTGACCAGCCCCTCCCCACCCAGCCCCACCCCTCCACCCCCCATCCAGCCCCACCCTCCCCACCCAGCTCCTCCTCACCCTCCCCACCCTCCCCACCCAGCCCCTCTCCACCCAGCCCCTCCCCACCCAGCCCCACCCTCCCCACCTAGCCCCTCTCCACCCTCCCCTCTCCACCCAGCCCCTCCCTCCCCACCCAGCCCCTCCCTGCACAATAGACACAATAATCCCGTGGGCTGGTGTAACCAGGAGGTTCCTACCAGTATAAAACCCAGGTTCTCCAGTGTAGAGAGTTGATAGTTCCAGCCTGGTAACCAGTAAGTGCACACAAAACTTCCCATCATTTAATTTGGGTTTTCACTTCATTTAGAAAAAATGACAGATTTGATAATTAAGAATTTTCATGGCATATATACGTGACCATCGTGTGGGGAAAAAAGAAGCCGGTTGAAGTTGACTTCAGAATTAGTTCTGTGCCATCAACTTCTGAGGCCGTTCTATCCAGGCTCGATACGCTGCTGAGCTTCTGAGATCTGACGAGATTGGGAACAATCTGGAAGATATGTTCAAAGGCAAGAAAATGTGGAACAGGTGGAGGAGTTTATTATTATTTTAAGGGATTTGCTGTGTTGTTGCCAGGTACAGTGAAAAGCTCACCAAGGATTCAGCCAAAATCAAGGCGAACATCAAGATGGTTTTGGAGGTGATGTTTTTTTTTATGTACTGTGGAAATTTCATGGATTTAGAATTTGGTGTTGTGGGTTAGTAGTTCGGCTGCCACAATATGGAGACAATACGATATAACATGACAAAAGATCCATGATAATTGTATGGTATGTTTTGAAAAATATGATTGTCATGGTTATCATTGGAAATTTAACATTAGTTAAATAATATGAAATAGTACTTTACTTAAATTAATAGTAATACACATTTTAAAAAATATGACTGTATGCATTAAATTAGTGCTGGAGTAATTGTAACATTTCCTGGAGTAATTTATGGTGTCTTTGTAGCTAATTTAATAATTTAATTGTTTTCTGCATGACTGACAGCATGTGCGTTATAGGTTGTAAAGTGGCATCGATCAAATGAATAACATCAGCCTTAGGTTGCATAAGCTGCAGCTGAATATATTTTAAATAAATTATACAGCATTGCACAAGCTTGGTTTCCTCCCTTCACACCGCCTCTTCACTTCCCTACTAAACTAAAACACAGAGCATACTTGCTCATGTACCTAACTTCTTGTGGCTTTTGCTCCCACATGTTTGCACTAATTTTTTTCGATTTGTTTGTTTATGTCGTCACTGTTAGACTGAATTATAGAACTTACATGGACCTGTACCGAACTTTTTCATATTACACTTGCACTGTTTTTGACTCGGTTTCGTTTACAACCGTTAGATACCTCAGTTGTTGTGCAATATTCCTTCAGGACCCTGTACTCGTTCTCTGCAATATTGATGTTGTTGGTGTGCTCACGTACCACGGATCTCCCTTGTAAAACAGCCAGGCAACTGTCTTACAAGGGATGACGTATGCAGTGGCGGCTCGTGACATTTCCACTAGGAGGGGCTGTTGTGAGTGAGCTCTGAAGATATGGTGTTCTAACTTGATTTGAAGCTTTCGTGACTGCAGGAATTCATACTCTTTGGTTCTTTCGGTAAAGTCACGTAGGTAGAAAATAAAATAAATCACTGATATTTTATACCTACGTGACTTTACCGAAAGAACCAAAGAATATGGTGTTCTAATTAAGAAAAACCTCGTCGTGTTATTTGCCATGCCGTGAAAGTGATATAACTCTCTTATCTACCAACAGTAGGCATTTATAAACAATATACGAAAAAAAAATCCAATGCTGTCGCCATGACCCTCAAGTCGATTGATCAGGACCCAGTTGCTTGACATTCAACTTCTGCATAGAAATCCTTTCAAATGGAATATTTAGGAGTGACCCCACGGTGTTCGTTGCTAATTCTTAGTTTAATGCACCTGCTGCCATCGCCATTGCTGTTGTTTTTTCCTAGAGCGTGTAGGCCGTGACCTGCTATATTTTCACAGTGAAACTTAGCATTGTGATATAGTAATTACAGCCGTAGGTGCCTTTTTCACCACCTTGAATTGGGTCTCAAACGACGTGGCTAAAATGCGAAGCTCATCGCAATTAATGAAGGGATATTTCTCACTAGCACGCCTTCACAGCCGCCCGAGACCTTCCCAAGGCACAAATCAGACGGTGGTATTGCAACTTAAAATGTTATCTTCATTAGGCAATTCGCGTTGAAATAATAATATTTCTATGTTTTTTTAAACAAACAATTTATTGAAAAGTATTTTTTATTAGAGAAATAATTGATCATCTCCAGCTGCTTGGTGGTATGGCTCCCCATCGCCCCTAGTGGACGAACCGCGTTCGGACGTATGCATAACAAAGTAAGCTTAAATACAATGTAAAATACAATCGCAAAACGAAGGGAAACTGATAACGTGATTTGTCATGTCGTGCAAATAAAAACCGTATTATATTGTGAAAAGGATCACGGCAAACTTTGCAAGTCGTTTATCTTCACGGAGTATTTACATTTTTTTTACAGGGCTTGCGAGAACTGCAGGGACTTAAGGAGTTGCCAGTGGAGAGGACGAGAGAAGTCTGGTGATTGGACCTGCACTGCTTTGGGATCAGCTGGGAATCATTTCATTGCGTTCCCATTGCTTGTTTATTACAGGGATAGCTCCATAGAGCTGAGTGCCACTCATATTCAGCGAGCCCTTGTACTTTATTGACATCACAGCTTTAATTAGTGTTTTTACTGTAGCTATGGTCCTCCAGTTTCATGTCTGTATTTCATTATAAATGCAATCCACATGCTTTTCTTTTATGTCCTTACACATTTGCAATGGGGAGGTGTTCTGGTTTAAAGTAACTGCCACTCCGATTTGGTTTGTGAGGATGTACATAACTCTGTGTAACGATTTAATGTCACGGTATTTATTTTGGGAATTAAATCGATTTCAAGTTTCCACTTTTAAAAACAAGTGTTTTTCCTCTCTATTAAACTGGTTTTGTATCTTTTTGAAATTTCTGCACGTTGTTTACAAGAGTTAAAAGGTAGCTTCTGTTTACATTTGATTCACATGAATGCCAATATCGAGCAGCAGATTAAAAAGGGTCTGCGTTAGAATGTTATGTTTGGCCAATTCCATTTCCTTCAGCCCACCGGCCAGTGTGGTGGACATACAAGTTTAGTGAAATAATCCCTACTACCCACCTGGTGTATGTAAGGAGGCCCACATCCAACGTTGACAGAAGGGCTGCACATGACCTACACTCACTGGTCGCACCTAATGGTCAGGCTGCGGTATGGATACAGTGCAGGAAGAATTGCTAATAAAGGGCTTCGCCTCTTGGAGGCCGATTGTGTGTCACGTATATGACACTCAATTGGAGATTGAGTTGCATATGGAGTTCATTAGAGGGATATCATAACACGTGTGGTTCTGTGTGCAACCAGTGTCACTTGTGTGCAGTGTCATTTCTAGAATTTAGAGATGAATGCCTGAAACTAGGGCCCTGCATTGGGTCGGGTGCCCGTATGTTATCTGTGGCAGTTTGACTGAACGAAGACATTTGCAATTAAGTACATTTGCAGTTAATTGCAAATGTCTTTGTTCAGTCAAACTGCCACAGATAAATAAGTTAAACTGCATTTGCAGTTTAACTTATTTCATTTGGGTAAATTTTGACCATGCCAGGCACAGCATGGCCTACTCCTGCTAATGACGTCATGGGATATTTAATGTCCACTGAGTGAAGCAGATAGCAGGTCGTGTTGCTTTGGATATCACCGCAGTATTAATCGGGGTGGCCTGTGGATTCGACCCGCGAACCTTTGCCACAAGCGGCAAACGCACTACCGCTAGACCACGTCACCGCCCAAAAAACAGATACGGCACAGTACAAATGTAGTGACTGACTTGGAGACGCCAGGAGTAGGAGGCACTCTATTTATTAACAGCCTTCACAGTTCTATGGGAACCTCATTTGCCAGTAAAAAATATGATAATTGGATTTTTACCCTTCTATCTGGCAACAAAACTGACACCTTTTTACAAGGAGTCATGTTTGTATAGACCGCAATACCTGCAGTCATAATACAAACAAAATACATAACTCTGATAATGTGCACTGTCCTTGAAGTTGATTGGTCCACACCCGAGACAGCTTTCCTTAGAGCCTAGTCTCACATGGGTTGGACCATCTGGTCCATCTGGTCCAACCCATGCGAGACTAGGCTCTAAGGAAAGCTGTCTCGGGTGTGGACCAATCAACTTCAAGGACAGTGCACATTATCAGAGTTATGTATTTTGTTTGTATTATGACTGCAGGTATTGCGGTCTATACAAACATGACTCCTTGTAAAAAGGTGTCAGTTTTGTTGCCAGATAGAAGGGTAAAAATCCAATTATCAGCCTTCACAGTTCACAAGAAGTAACTACAGCTCCCAGTCAGGACAGCTGGCAGACTGATGGCGACGAAGACTCCGGCAGCACGACGGGATCCCACTCCAGGCAACAGCCCCGAGCCTCCGCTCGGGGTCCCCTTTTATCCTCCCGGCGTGGCCTCGCTCCGCCCCGGCCACGCCCCCCTTCTAGAACCACCTAGCGGGTTTCTGAACTTCACTCACATGCCCCCTCTGTAACCTTTCCCCTACATCCCTCGCTCTGGCTTATCACGTGACCTGCTGTCAGACAGGGTTGCTACAACTGCAGATCCCCTTATCTGCCAGCGCTATGCTACGTAGTCACCAATTCCATGTCACTCCACATGTAAACACCACTGGCACACCTCTTCCACACAACAATAATATATGCAAGAGGTGTGTAAGTGGGCGATATTGCGTTGACTGGTGCACGAGCGCAAACAACAACAAAACTCAACACCTTGGTCACAGGGTTAGGGTTATGTGCTGCAAAGAAGGGCTATTACCCGAAATGTCTTTTAAAAAAAAATCACTTAAGGGTTACTGGTTTCTAAATAAAAAAACGCGTTTCCGAGTGGGAGGGTGGTGGTGGTGGTGGGGGGGATTTGGCCGCGCATGCTTGCCGTAGTCAGCTGATCCCGCACCGGATGTGGATTTGGTGGTTGAACGCGGGTGGCGGGAAACGCTGATCGGCTCCTCTCGCCCTCTCCTCGCCCTCTCCCTCTCCTCACCCTCTCCTCACCACTCGTACCGTCTTGCAACAATACCCCAGGCGCTTTTACAAACGTCTGCGCAGACGTCGCAGAGATAGTTGCCTGCGTCTCGCTTGCTGGATGCCCTCACGGCGGCGCGAGCGAGTTCAAGGTACGCGAGTGCTACCTGTGCAGTGGTTTTTGTTAAATAAAGTGCAGCATGTTATGAACTTTTATGATTCTAGCCGTGAGATATCCACTGCTGGATGAACGCTGCCCCCACCCCCGCCCTGCTGTCACAGTCTCTCGCATTAGTTAGATCCAAAACAAGAGTTCCTGCACACAGGCTGATTTCACCGCTCCGTCTCCATGGATGTTGACGTCTCTTGGACGCATTCTCCCCCCCCCCTCTCCTTTGGCTGCGATTCCGTCGTTAAGTCTTCATCACCTCCAATATATCTCCCTGCTAGCGACGTGTCCTGCACAAGCCTCGTTCTTTGAACAGCCAGTACAGTTTACTGTATTCACGTGTGTCCTCGACTATTAGTGGGGAGCGGTGGCGCTGTGGTTAGCGCGCTGCGACACTAAAACTAAACGATATATACTTTTATTTTACCAGGTAAAGCACACTAAAGCTACATAGCTCACGGCCGGCCACAAACGAGAGTTCAACTAAGTGGCTTATCGCGTGGCAATGTATAGCAGCCACATACTGTCCTCTATAAGCTGATTCTGATATCGGCTGTTAGGGTACAGCGCAGCAAACTCCGTTATTGAACAATACTGTACTGTACTTCTGTGCTCCCACGTTGATGTCCCTCAACCTCACTGACCAAAGAACAACAACAACCTACTCCAGCAAATAGAAGAGGAGGCCAAACTGTCCTCTGGTGGAGGCCCTTCCGCCAGCAGTGTCGCGAGCAACAATTGGAGTGCTGCTTTGCCCCTTTTACCCTGCAGAGTTTAGTTGATTAGTTTTGCTCGATCTAACCTACTTGCCCCACATACACACGCGCATTTTACTTTGTGATGATCTTTGTTTACAGAAGATGGGGAGACAGCGGCCGCCGTTCGACTCTAACAACGCAGCCAGTACATCTAAAAGTAAGACGAGTGTGAATTTATTATTTTTGTATTATTATTTCCCTTCTACGGGACTTTACCGAAAGAACCAAGAATATGAATCCCTGCAGTCACGAAAGCTTTAAGTCGAATTGTAAGAGTGTGAATTTGTCATCGGAGCGCGCACGTGAGGTGTGACATGGACGCGACACTGACGGACAGCAACGACGGCTCTCAAACTCAGTGCGGCTCAGTGTTGTTGTGCGGTTGGCATAACCCGTCAACCCATACGGGTTGCCCCTTATTATTGTACAGGGAAATTAAGTTTTCAGGTCCATACGGCGTACAGCCGTTTCAATACGGGCAACAACAGAAATTGTCTATTTTTGTTTGTGCTTCTCCCTTGTGGTGATGGGACTTTGTAGGATGAACGTTGAGATGTATGAGGGCACGGGGTGACCAATAAGGTCTGAAATGGTCTGTAATAAGTTAGGCACTGATAAGGCGTTGACAGGTATACATACAAAAAATATAAATACATTTGCGAGTAATCAAAATTAAGTGCTTATTGGTTCTTTGACAATTTTTAGCGGATTTTTTTTACTTGCGCTGGCGAGCCACGTGATGTCATCATCACATGTTGGTTCCGGGTCTTTCACTTCTCTGTATTTGGTTTTCATCTTTTTTTTTCTCTTGTCTACATCTCTCTCTAATCTCTCGATATCTCGTTCTTCTAACTAACCAGTATTTCTTTTGTGTACCTCGTTATGTTTTGGTGAGCTATTTCTCGACGGGCCACTCCAAAGGCATTCGAGGGCCACCCGGTAGCGTAACGAGTGTATGGGCAGGGGGTGCCTTGCCCCCACTGGTGGCCAAAACTACGAGCTGGGGCCCCTCCTTGAATACCACCATGAGATGTGTTTTTAACAAAAGTGTAAAAGTACAATAACTTATTTAAAACGCGGTTCAAATTTTTTTTGTTTATGAAAATGCTTTCATTTCGCAGTGGCTGAATTTTGCGAAGATGGAGTGCCCCTACGGCGTTTAACGTTCTAGACCGTGTGTGTAACGATGTGCTTAGGCATGAGGGGCCACGATATAGAATTAACCTGGATGTGACCGTGCGAGACGAATCAAATATTGGGGCCCCACCTGACCTATTGCCTGCACCCCCTGAGCTGATAATGGAGTCACTGCGCCACTGAGGGCCACGTTTGGCCCACTGTTCATCGGATGAAGACTCCTTGTGTGCATGACGTTATTATAATCACCATGTGGAGTCGGCATTAAAGACGTGTCCCTCACTCTTGCAGAATTGAAAAAGGACAAGCCGTTCGCGAAGGGGGCAGTGAAGTCCTCAGCAGGTGGAGGTGCGGGTGATGCGAACAGAAGCTCGCTGTTTGTGGAGATCATCAGCAAGGCTGGGATGACACTGAAGCTAGATGAAGCTCACAACCAACTGTGTGAGTCATTCAAAGACTCATCCTGATCTCCTGAGTTCTCAGCTGGGTCAACAAAATAAACTTGATGAATCGGAAAAAAAACCCTGCACACGCGATTGTCTGCATGCATCATGAGCTAACTGATGAGAATTGATTAAAAAAATTCGTAATTATACCTTTAATCAGTTGGTTAATTCGTTGACTATTGATCGTACAGACGGGTATCGAGGATTACACTTTATCCTGAACTCTATAAAGCAGGATCACTTCACTATGTCAGTGGAAATCACTAAGTTGAATTATTTAATTAAGATACTATCATGGTCAGAATTTCATATCTGAGAATGTCTATTGACTTACATATTTAGATTAGCAGGAAGGCCTTTGTGGTATGTATTGGACGTAGTAAACCTCTCGCACGAATTAAGAAAAGCAAGACCGAATGTTTGTAAAATTAGTTTAATTTGATTTCTGTGAAATTAGTGCCAAAATATGTCAAAATATGTTCATATAATACATTCACAAACTTTCAGTCATGTCCATTACAGTATCCACCAGACCGTGGTGTTTCTGCCGTGGTCGTTCCACTGCCCACCACTCAGGTCGCCGTTACACTCAATAGACGACGGCCTACGGCGAGAACTACGTACAGCAGAAGTTTAGAGGCGCATGCCACTGGACAAAATGCCAAACGAATCGTAGCAGCATTTAGCAAGCTCATGATGCATGAGCTTGCTAAGTGAAATGTCGAGCTATTTTATTACGTCATACATATTGCAATAATTGCATTTTTTAGCTGCGCTAATGTTTCTGCCATTGTGTGTGTGTTCTTCCACAGCGGTTGATGATGCTATTTTCCAAAAGAATGTGACTCAGGGTCTGCGCAAGCATGCCAGCTATCCCAAGGTAACACATTTTTTCCCATTGCATGCTGTTTATTGTCATAATGAGGTGCATCAGCCAGCTGATATTGGTAATTTGTTGATACTGGTGTTAATTCAATCATATTTTAAAACTTTTTTAGTCTTAGTCTCATCGAAAGACAACATGTAGATGTTCGCCAAGTGTTAGTCTAGATGACTAAAACAGTGAAACCTTTAGTTCACTTTTAGTTATTCAATGTTAAACAGATGCACAAATTCCCCCACCCGCAATAATAAAAAAAAGCAACACATTCAACAGTAATATTATTTCTATATTCTTTGGGTCTTTCGGTAAAGTCACGTAGATAGGTTCAAAGAAAATAACAAAAAACTACGGCGTTTCGATGGCAACACAAGCAGTCGTCATCAGGAAAAGGGTGGGGCGGGGTGGGGGGGGGGCTGCATAGAAACGTATATATAAAGGCCAATGTTTCGGGCAACTCTCCTTACAGGACGTATTATGAGTGTCAGTCAATGAGTAAATCAGTTTTATACACCCAAATAGTCCGACCATAACTTTGGATCTTTATCGGTGCGCTGCAGTCTCTATTAACATCATCGAACGATGTTAGTGCGTTGGCTTCGCTCAAGCTCATTACTACCGTCTCGTCATCGTTAATCACGCTGGGGTCTTCAGGGAACGGGGGGCAGCAGTTATAGTCATATCTATGGGACCTTTTTGCCAGTATCAAAAATGATGAAAAATAAGAATGGGTTTCACCCTTTTCTGGCAATAAAAGTATGCCGCAAGTATGTGTAGTTAATGCAGACTTAATTGCCTTGCAAAATGTATCTATTTGGTGTTTGGAGATCCAAACATGTGCTTTATTTAACACGTAGGCTTTCACAACCAATATTGATAATACAGTTTTTTTTGGGGTTAGATTACGTAAATATATTAATGTGTCGTTAAATCTGCCACCACCCAACACAGCCATTTAGTAAGGTTTGTCACGTAAAGAAGAACATGCCAATTCATTACTAGTACAGCACACCAGTGTGTTAGAGAGTAAACCCATAACGTGTTCTATTACACTGGGTTAACTCGACGCCATCACATATATTTACGCGATCTAACCCAGAACAAAAACCTGTATTTATGGACGTGCTTTATTGCCAGAAAGGGTAAAACCTATTCTTATTTTTAATCAGTCGTAGTCATCGTTGCGCTTAACGATATTCGTCGACTCGTTGCTGTCGTTGGCTACAACAAAGCACGCTTTGTTTTACAAATTATTGTTTTAATTAAATTTTCGTCACTAATTCTGTGAACAGGTGGTGGATGACTTCATAAGCAGCCTGCAGGAGTATGTGGAGGGCCGTGAGGCGTTGAAGACTTGCCTGCTACCGTGCCGGTCCTGCCAGGATTCTGATGCCAGGTAGGCTTCTGCGCAAGCTGCCAAATTTCGTTCGAATAATAATGGAGCTTGCCGGCCGTCACATCACAAGATGCCAGTACACGAGGGTGCTTGTGTAATGTGGAGGCCCTTTTGTCAGTCCACTGCTGGATGAGGGCCTCCCCCCACACACACCGTGCTAGTCATGGGACGTTTTTTCACGCCATATTTTGCACTCTTCAGTGCGGGTTGGTGAATGTGGGAGAGCATAAACATGGGGGCATGGAAGTGTAGTGTCAACGATTCAGAGACAAGAGTTTCTAGGAGTCACTTTCTTTATTAACAACTTTCACGGTCTCGTCCGTACACTCCACAGTAGCTCAGCCTAGCCTGTACATTACACTAGCTGTCTAACACTGATGGCGCTGACTGAGATAGCCAACTACTATCCTTCGTAGCGCAATATCTAGCGGAGACGTTTAGCGACGACGGCGACGAGACGACAGAACCGGCAGCCTCAAGCTACTGCTCTTGGCTCTTTTTATGCTCCCAGCGTGGCCTGGCTCCGCCCTGACCACGCCTCCCTTCTTGAACCCGCTAGCAGGCTCCAGGAGCCTCCAGACAGGGTCCTCCGTGCACGCCCTCACCAGCGTTTGTACTATCTGTCCACAGTTGCCGCTGCTGTCCACCAGCCGGCGCTATTACACTACAGAAGTACTGTTCAACTTGATATTTCTGCACTGCCTTCTTGTGAACACCACGTAGCCCCACAGCCTACAACATCTATTATGTGTGGTGGCTACGCTACCTAGCACTGTACGAGCTCCTGTTCACTTTGAATGAAGGGCTTCTTTATGCACATTAATATTTTACTTTTCATTATTAAGTAATTTTTTTCCCAAAACCTTCCAACCCGCTGTGGTTGACCTATTTATCGCATTATTTTGATGTCGGTTTACTGAGGTATATCAACGCTATAGATCTATGTATGTGTGTAGGCAGGTGATGGTCTTGGCCCAGTCACCAATGATTTACACGAGTCCTCATGTTGCATGAGCCATCATGTAACATATGGTTGAGTCTCATGTGAGAAATTCTCTTAACAGGGCATATAAAAAGGGGCACCACCTGGTATCAATACGAGGCCTATTTTAGCGACTTCAGAAGTAGTCGTGTGAAGTCATTTTCTGGGCACCTCGATAACTGATGAGGACGATGGAAATTATGACGACATTGATGATGATCATTAATGATGGTCAGATTAGCGCGGCTGGCTACGTACGGTGTGAAACAAGTTCAACATACTCTCTGGTGTCTTTTATAATTGTGCGGCCAGTGTAGGTTATTCTTCAGTGTGTGCTTTTGCAATAATGAATAAGGAAGCATCAAGGAACTCTGTGAAATATTTCTTGTTTATCTTTATTTCATGTTCCAGTACAAAGGCTTCACGTGAAAGTTTGATCAAGCTTCTCCTTGGAGTAAATATTTTGCAGGTACTCCCATCTCGTTCATACTGCACTGTAAATGTCTCAAAATATATTCCCTTTATCACCGGCATGCATTATTGTTATTAATACTTCCTCTGGCTGTTGTGTTTAATGTATGATACGAATAGCAAGCGTGGTTGTATTTGCTCGCTCTTTCTCTCTCACTCACTCGCTCTAGACTCCTTTAATGAATGCGCTCTTGGAAAAGCTCCCCGAGTTCATGGAAGACGGGTACATTGCACACTCCGCTCACTGTTGATGAAAATATTTGGATGCCATATCCCTTATTGGATATTATGGCCACTTTTGGCGTCGATTGGCCTGGAATTAGAATGTCGTGACAAGTTCATCAAGAAACTAACCTTGACTTGTTATTACAGTAGAATACAGCGATGACGTAAGAGACTGGTGCCAGAAAGATGTGCACTTTTTGAACATATTGGCACGCGACAGAGGAAAGTGGAAACATGAAATGTGAAGTGGACACCTACTGGCCATCTGCCCATGGATTGTGATGATGATGACAGTACAACATTACATATCCAACTCACTAGGGACTCGGGTTTAGGTGGATATGTAAAATAGTCAGATATGTGAACATCGATATATGGTCGATGACAGCTTTGCTCCACCGTGCAGGCATACTGCGCTGGTTAAGAATGGTTAACCGGTCAAGGTGGATATGTGACGGTTGGACATGTGATGTACTCTAGTCTCCTTTTTCGGCTTGAAGGCTAATTACGCGCATACTGTTATCACATGATGCATTTTTCTTTGCAACGAAGCCATAATAAACATACTCAAGTTTTTGGGCGATACTGTGTTGCGCATTGCCATTGCTGACTCTGTTTTGTTGTTGTATTCGTGAAGGAATTCGGAGGATGGCGTGAACATCCCTCGTTTGACCATCAGTCATTTTAAGTGGCTGGATCGCATTTATGACTCAACGGTAAATGAAGCAGAAACATCCGGCCAAGATACTGTTGAGAACGATCACTAAAACCTTCGGTTCTTTGGCTCTCTTCTGAAACACTTTGAGCAGATGGCCCATATAAAACGAACCACACATTCTCGGAGCAGCCAAATGAGTTGGCTCGGGTTTTCAAACCGTTTTGTTTTGTGCGGCCATAAAAGTCACATGAGCTGTAAACACTGACTTTCCAATGGGTTTTCGGATTGTACCACTTGTTGTGAGCTTCACTTATTTCATTCCATCACGTGGAGCGAACGTCGCACGTCGTGCCAAACAACGTGTGGTACGACCCAAAAACACATCTGACAGCTGCACAGCACAATCGCGAAAACCTACACGGTAGGATAATGCTAATACATTTCAATTCTGTTTTGCCATGGCTTACACAGATGATGTGCTTTTGTAAAATCTTGGCCAATGTATTTTGACTGGGATGGATACGATGACTTGTAAGTGGTGTATAGATTAATTGATTAATTTCGAATATTAAGCTTATGATACACCCTCTAATTTGAGTAAGACTAGATGGGTTTACACCATTGGAACCTCCTTTGCCAGTAGCAAAATATGATAATTGTTTTTTTACCCTTTTATCTGGCAATGGTGTAAATGCTTACCCCGAGCTCTCATACTCTGATGGTGCATTGTCTTTTGAGTTGTGCGCCTTTTGGCGTCATCTGGTCCAAAACCATGTGAGACTAGGCTCTAAGGAAAGCTGTCTAGGGTGTGGCCCAATCAATTTCAAGGACAGTACATACATTATCAGAGTTATGTTTTTTGTTTGCATTCCGACTGCAGGTATTGTGCTCAATGCAAACATGACTCCTTGTAAAAAAGGTGTCAGTTTTGTTGCCAGATAAAAAAACAATTATACTAGATGGGTTTTTTATTTGTATATGTTGTACTAGCATAAGTACCCGGCGTTGTCCGGGTGAAAAATATATTTCTTAATAACCTTACATATATACACAGATGGGCTGCTACCCCTGCCCCCCCCCCCCCCCCAGCCACGATCTCCTCGGCCGCTGTGCAGTAATATGTACGGCCTATAGTGTGGTGGGGTGTCGAGGCCTAGTACCGTGCAGAGCCTCCGGCCTCGCCTAAATTGCCCACCCGGCTGAGGCTGGGTACCGGGGCCGTTACCCCCCCCCCCCCCCCCGCGCTACAATAATACTGTCTAATCGCTATAATTTAATTATCTACCGACCCTATAATAGTAATTGCACACATTGGGGTGGCGGGGGAGTGAAGAGGACGTGAAACTTTGATGAATTTACCTCAGAGTCGCGTGTTAATGCGTGCGCCTATTTTTAAGGGGAATTAAAAATGGCGTCCACCCCGTGGCGAATGCGTCGCTACCCGTTGCCAGGGGCAACCGCCGGACCAATCGTGTGTCGCAAATCCCTGACATTTCGTCCAATGAAACTGCGTATGGTCCGATACACAGACACACACACAGACAGACAGACAGATTTGCGATTTTATATATATAGATAGTGACATAGAATTAGCTATGTAGCAGCACAGTGCTGGCTGCTGGCGGGAAAAGGGATCTGCAGCGTACAGCAGCCTTGACAGCATCAGGCCACGTGATACACCAGAGGGGGATCGAGGGGAAAGGTCACGGAAGGGACACACCAGGAACCCGCGGGTAGGTTCTAGAAAGGGGGCGTGGCCGGGGGTGGAGCCAGGCTACGCTGACAGCATGAGAGGGGCCCCGAGAGGGGACCTCGGGGCTGTCGTTTGGAGTGAGATCCCCATCATGCTGATGGAGTCTTTACAGTCGTCTCTGTCTTCACCATCTTGGCGTCAGAGTGTTAAAGAAAATCAAGAGAAATATATTCGGTCACGACAGTTGTATGCAATGGCTTCACGTGACCCATGCTGCCAGTATTCCCCGCTGCATTCACAGCACTTCTATAATTGTTCTGCTCTCTGTCAATCCACTGATGGATGAAGGCCTCTGCACACCACTTTGTAGAAGTTGTTTGGGCCATACTTCCCCCATATTGATCAGAGTGGGTTGGTGAAGGCGGGCTTGGGACAGCACGACCAGGTCTGCTATCACTTGCCACTCTTCTTTTGTTAGCCATGACCTGGAATTTAACTCAGGTCTGGGTTCCTCGCATAGTGCAATACCCATGGTGCCACTGCTACCCTTTACCATAATGCAATCTTATTTCCCTCTCTGGCCTGTAGAATTATAACCATCATTCCCTGTTACAAACAAAACATAAAATGCCTGGGCATGTTGACTCTATTTTTATGACATCTTGAGATATGATCACATTTAGGTAAGCTAAAAAAACTAAGGCCCACTGAACTATATAGCTCTTTTTCAGAAGCTACCTGGCCACAAATGATAACCCAATGATGTGGCTTATCATGTGGAAATTTATAGTAGCAGACAAATACCCTAAACGCATGTTGATTCTAAATATGGAAAGTAAAACCAGAGGACCTGCATAAAAATCCACGCGACCGTGGGGAAAACATGCTAACTCCAAGTATAGAAGGCTGTCCGGAATCGCGATTGAAGCCACAACCTGTATACCAGGCGAGGAAGTTAACATTTCACTGTCGTGTGAACCCTTGGCAATGTGGTATAACTTGTGTTTGAATGGCGCCTGATCCCAGAGCCTCACCGATCGCATTCTGGAGCTGCTCACCGTCGCTCCTCTCGACGTGCAGCGTGACATTATCACCTGCCTGCCGGAGATCATCGAGGACGCCCAACACACGCGGGTGGCTAACGAGCTCAGGTGAGTGAGTGCCTGTCTCTGCTCACCCTGATTATATAATACGCATTCCCTTTGTTTTCCTAAAAGCTTTGTTTAATCAGGAGATGAAGTAACCCATTGAAATGCGTGAAAATAACATTATTTCTGTAACAAGTGTGACCTGGGTTACATCAAGAATAATTGAACATACATTTTTTTGAACAAATATCTTCCACAATGTTACAACAATATTTTCCGTTTAACATGTAGGCTTTCACGACCAATATCCATAATACAGGTTTTTTGGGTTAGATTCGCGTAAATATTGATACGATATTTTCCACTTATACATCCATACCAATGCCAGCACGGGGCACTAATCACATGGCTTTCCATACTCGTCATATCGTTATAAACTCGAACTGTTGCCTCTTAAATGCCATGCTAACTGAAAGAAAGAATGAAAGAGCGGAGTAGGCGGTGCAAATATGGATTCACGCCTTGTCCTTGTTTCACTTCCCGCAGTGCCCTTGATGCAGCAGAACACGCAACTGACGGTGGTTGTTCTTGATGTCCTCTCCAACATCAACCTGTCCTCTGACCTCCTGGCGGAGGTAAGGAATCGCTTCTTCCTCGTGTCAAGCTGTACATTTTATTTTGGGTCCGCGCTGACTTCATACACACCTTCGAATTGAGCAACCTGTTTGATTATACGGCATCGGCAGTGGTGCATGCCACGCCACACGTCGCGAGCTTGAGAATCGATATTCGTCGATGAGTTCGATTCCCGTTTCAGGTGCGTGGCTCGGTGATGCTTACCCTTGCGTCGGTGGAGCTCGATGACCTTCCCGTGGTTGTCAAGTTCATCTTGCACTCCATCACTGCCACGGATGCCTACGAGGTACCATTTGTGTTCTTTGTGGTCATGTTAGTATATGGATGTTGAACTTGTTCAGCAGCGTACGTAGCCAACCGCGCTAATTGGATCATCATTAATGATCGTCATCGATGTTATTCTCATCATTACCATCGTCATCATCAGTTATCGAGGTGCCCGGAAGATGACTTCACACGACTACTTCAGAAGTCGCTAAAATAAGCCTCGTATCGATACCAAATGGTGCACCTTATTTTTTCCCTATTCAGAGTTTATCACATGAGCCTCAACCAAAATGTTACATTACTGCAATCGTTGGTGACTCGGCCAAGACCATCACCTTGCTACACTTAATAATATTTATTGAGAGCCCAGTTAAATCACGTGCAGCTTATACTTGGATTCTAACCCAGGGTCTCAGCTGTGCCGGCTCGGTGTGTTTGTCATAGTATTCGACCACTTGAGCAATACAGCCATGTTTAACCCCACTCACGAGCACCCCCATATTTCCTGAGCAGTTTTCTTGTCGCGTCTTCCAACAGTGTTGTGGAGAAGCGTAGCACGGCGCGCGTTGCGTGTGTCTGGCTGTGTCCGTGGCTCTCAGGTGATTGCCGAGCTGAGAACCAAGTTGGACTTCCAGCTGTGCCTCCCTCCTGCCAGCCTCAGCGTCACACAAGGCGGGCGCAGGGCGGCAACTTGCGTGTAAGAGAACTCGATGCGGGCGAACGAAAGTGCCCGCTGATAAATCAGCCTGCGCTGAGGAACGCGCTCGGGGCTTGCCGGGGGAAAATTCACGATCACGTGCGGTTGCGCGGCGTAAACTGTAATATCATCATCATCAGTAATTAACCCTTTTTCGTTCCGAGACGTCTACAAGTTGCAGGCTGGGTGTACCGTTCACCGCTGAATCTTGAAACGCGCAAGCGGCTCAGCTTTAATTTTATTTAGAGAGGCGTAGCAACCTTGTATTTAAAGACATTGTACTCACCGCAGAGAACTGTAGCGACACGACCGCACTCTACGAGAGCTGGTGCCAAACTGTGGCACACGCCTTCTCGCATGGTCTTCTGGAAGCCTCGGTACTGATAAAGTATTTTATTTCAGTTTTTCTTCCGGTTTCGTTTTGATGACTCGTACACTTGCGTAATCGACACGGGAAAGGGTTAAATACATCCGGATTAATTCTAAATGACGCATGATTTTTCCCCCTCGCCTCTCGGTGTGTTCCCTTGTGTGTGGGATTGGGGTTGCTGCGCCTGCATGCTGCGTCGACGCCGACGCGTGTCGCTTGCAGGCCTTCGCAAGTGGCTCCTGACAAACGTGACTGCAAAGCACTGGTGCTCGACGCCATTGCATCGGCTGTGCGCTTCCAAAAGACCACAGCTGAGGCTTGGATTAAGGTGTCTGACTCCTTCTCTTTGTGTTGCTGTGTCCATCTCTTTGAGCTTGCGTTGGTAAAATAGAGTGACCTGCTCATGCCTCTTTAGAGAGCTCTAGAGTAGCCCCTCTTCGAGAGGGTACTTGGCCTACTCTTCCACTCTGGCCAGACCTCTTGGAAGAGGTGGGAGTACCCTACATTCTACCCCAACACACGCGACCTGCCGATAGACTAACACCGGTGAACCAGTTTAGCCTACTGGGTGGACAGAGGTGGCAGTGGGGACTTAAGAAACTTGCATCAGTCGTTTAAACTGCTGCGCCAGGGAGATTAAATCGAACTGGCAACCTCTACATGGCAAGTCCAGTCTTTGATGATTACACCACGGTAGGGACATGTTAACTACCTCGTCCTGGTATACAGGGAGGGTTGTGGGTTTGATCCCGTGCCTGACGCCTGTATATTTGGAGTTTGCGCGTCTCTCTCGTGTTCACGTGGATTTTTCCCCAGTTCCTTGGGTTTTTCCCTCCACATTTACAATCAACATGCATTTAGAGTATTTGACTGTTATACATTTCCAGATGATAGGCCACTTCGTTGAGCTATCATTTGTGGCCAGGTCGCTTCCGAAACAGCTTTGTAGCTCAGTGGGCCTTGGTAAAAAATATATTATAATATCTGTGGATGTTTAAAACATGCAAAGCATACTTAAATTGTCATTGCTGTTATGCCATGTTAATTTCATTTGATTTACCTTTTTAAGGCGATTGAAAGTGTGCGCTCTGAGTCGGAACACAAGGTAAGATGCTCGTTATTCGCTACATGAACATTCACTGCACAGGACTGTATCACTGCCAGTAGATTCACAAGCACACTTTATTGCAGCATGCTGATTGTAGTTTTACTTTGGTCTCAAGCATGAAATCACATGCGTAAATGCGTACGAGTTGTAATGTAAATTGTCATTGAAGAAGCAGCAGCAGCAGCACAGATCCACGCTAAAAGCATCGCTTTAAAGCATCGCTTGAAAGCATCACCGTTTCATCACATTGTGGACTTTAAAATCAATTTGCAGCTCTCGCTTGCAGTGGTTTGAGCTTGCGGTGTTTGTTGTGCATAGGTTCGTTCGGTCGAGCGTTGCCCCATGCCACGAAGATTCGTGACAGGCTTTCAGCCAGAGGAAGGAACGAGTTTAAGAGGATGATTGTCACGGAGATGGATCCATCAGATGAATTTATAGGGGCGCCACGGTGGCGAGATGTTAACTACCTCACCTGTTATACAGGAGATTATGGGTTCGATCCTGACCCTGGCGGCTATATATTTGAAGTTTACGTGTTCTCTCCATGATCACGTGGATTTTTCTGCAGGTCTTTCGGTTTTTGCCTCCACATTTAAAAACATGCGTTTATAGTGTTTGGCTGCTATCCATTCCACATGATAAGCTACTTCATTGGGTGATAATTTGTGGCCAGGTCGCTTCTAAACAGAGGTTCAAAGCTCAGTGTGGGCCTTTACCTGGGAAAACAAAATAGTTTCAAATAATTTACGTACAGGAGTGTGATGGATTGTGGCTTGGCATGACCGTGGCAAATGACAACGGCTTGGGGAGGCCCTCACACAGCAGTGGATAGTCAATGACAATAAGGATGATGATGGACAGCGTTTGTCCCTAGTGGGGGTCTGTGAGGCCACACTGAGAGATCAACGTCTTTATGCTTGCGTTGCCATTGCGTCCCCAGGTCATCGACTTCCTGGTGCTGCTCATCCTTCACATCAACCACCACAAGGCCGTGGAGAGCCTCGTGCAGGCCAAGGTGCGCGCGGGTCGCCTCGGCGACAAGCTGCTGCAGGCTGCCTTCAGCGGGCACACCCCGGTGAGCTCGCGCAGCCGCGGTCACTGAAGGAACGACACGCTGGAGCGGACGTATGTTTGTCCGTGCGTACGTATGTTTGTTGAATTTCTTTCGCAACGTGCGTAGCCGACCCGTGCTAATCGGAGGTGCGGGTGAGCAATACCCCCATTGCTCTATCCAGCCAGCAGATAAATTTGTACTTGGTTGTATATCCGCTCATGCAATATATCAACATATGAAATACAGTGGTGTGTTCTTTTCGATTGTGTATGTTCTTGACTACTTATCTGCCAGCCTGGCTGTTTGTGTCTCTACTTACCTGGCTACTTGCTAGTCTATCTCGCCTAAAGTCTGACCGCTGGCACATCAGTGCGGGGCCGTCACGGTACGGTGGTTTTTCCACTGGCTATTTGCCTGAGCTAAGCCCGAAATCAAACCTTGAAACTGGCATCATGAGGCATCGGAATCTGGCTCTGGGGTCAAGCAGCGAGAGGTGCAGGGTTAATAGTTTCCGATAATACTTTGTGTTAGTTGATGATCATTGCGTGTGGTGTCAGCGGCACTGCTCACGCTCTGAAGTGGAAAAACCAACCTGGCGGAGTTTGAGCCGTGTTGTACTGACTAAGCATGGCCAGTACGACACGGTTCGGGTCTGTGGTGAATTTTTTTTTTTTACCCCAGACGGACTTTGCGATGTTCCCCATTGTGCACGCACACACACACCGTGCGCCGTGTGCAGGTGATGTGCGAGTATTTTCCGTCCATTTTGGCGCTGGCGCAGACGCTGCTACGGTCGCCAGGATCCGGTGGTCGCGTCGTTCGCCGGCCGCGTGTACTGCCACGTATTCTTCTGCTTTGAACCGTACTACCAGCAGGTCAGTCTGCACTCCACCCACCCACCCACTCATTACACATAAAGTGCTTGCCACAAATGAACAACAGTACCTTGCTGATCTCGTTAAGGAGCATAAACTATTACATGAAACTCTGGCCATCCTCGCAGCGGCTTTTGGCTAGCCATCGAATAAAGACGGTCGCTGCAGCCATCTGGAACGGTTTTCCTTCCGATATTAGGAAAATACTGGAGCCATGCACTTCTAAATTTATATTGAAAACTACATTTTCTTTGTTTAATTTGTTGTCCTTCCCCCGCACCTCCGATTAGCACGGTTGGCTACATATGGTGCGAAAGTTCAACATACATACATACATCGCATCGTTGCATACCTAACAGATGTGTAACGATGTATAAACTAATATAAATTATCATTATTATTGTGCAAAAGATGTTCAATATACATACATACTCCCACGCCACCGTCACTACCCCCCCTGGTATCACCTTCCCCGCTGTAATTTCTCGCAACGCTTCGAAACCGCGGCATCTGTCTACCGACAGTGTGATGAGGTTATTTTCGGTTTCTGATCGCCAATGTCGACCACCCCCTCCCCCACCGATGACTTACTTGAGGCTGAGGTGGCCTAATAAAGGCCCAGAAGAGATGAAATATGCGAGTGGGTCTCCTGGATAGGAGTACGCACAGAGGGTTCGCGAATAATAGAGCAGTCTGAGAACCACTGCGTTCGGGTGTCAGTGGTGTGATGTACTTCTCTGTCGCGGCTGGCTGTGGTGACTGTGTATGCTGAAGAGGTGCGCTCCAATCCCCACCAATCCCCACTAATCCCCCGTGTCAGTCCGCGGTCGTTTCACTTGACGGCTGTGGACAAGCGGCGACGTCCCATGTAAACGTCTCATCGCCGACTCGACCACTGAACCCCGTAGATTGGATCTGCCTTGAAAACAATCGCGCACGCTCAACTTCAACCGAATAACCCATGGCACCCATGGCAGATGCCACGATGGTGAGATGTTAACTACCTCGCTTGGTTTACAGGAGGTCGTGGGTTCGATCCCGACCCTGTTTTCAGTTTGCATGTTCTCCCCATGGTCGCGTGGCTTTTTCTCCAAGTCCTCTGGTTTTTCCCGCCACATTTAGAAACGTACGTTTAGAGTATTTGTCTGCTATACATTTCCACATAATAAGCCTCTTTGTTGAGCAATCATTTGTGGCTAGGTCGCTTCTGAAAAAGTGCTATATAGCTCAGTGGGCCTTACCTGGTAAAATAAAAATGGTTTAGTTTATTTTTTAATTTATGTGCGTCCTCCGATGCAAGTCAGAAAGAGCCTGGTGGCAATAATTGGGTTGCATCTCAGTTGATCGGCAAGTCACGTGTGGTCGGATAAAGTGTGACTACTGTCAAATCTTTGAAGACATCTAGCGAGTGTGGCTCTCTAGATCTCCAACTAGTGCAGACCCGACTACCAGCAGTGGCTCAATGTGCCCTTGCATTTTCTATAACGACAACAGATGTAACTTAAGTCTGGCTCATTTCTCTTTCCTGTCTCCCCGTGCAGGAGGTGGTGGGGTCGCTGGTCACCTTCGTGTGTAACGGCTACACAGCCGAGGCGGATACGGCGCTGCAAGTCCTGCATGAGCTGGTGCAGCAGCGCACAGCCTCGCTGGCCTCCTATGCGGTCTTCATCAAGGCAAGGGCCAGCCCTGACCTAGGCAGTGTCTCTGTATATAAGGGCCAGCCCTCAGCTAAGCCGTGTCTATGTACATAAGGGCCAGCCCTTACTTAGGCCGTATCTTTGTATTTAAGGGCCAGCCCTCAGCTAGGCCATTTGCTGATAAGGACCAGCCGTCATTATGTATGTTGTGTTTTATACATATGTTTTTGAAGATTTATAGCTTAAAACACTTGGAAATTAGGATTTTTAAGAATGATTTCAGAATTTTTCTCAGTTTAGATTTTCTGATCACTTACATGATGTAATGATTTAACATCATGTGATATCATCTGATATCCTGTCACACCATATTTGTTTGAAAATTGTGGCTTTTAAGTACACTTTATTTTTTACCAAGAGTACAGCAAAGCACAAACAACAATACATTAACACTGTGAAATACGATTATAAAGCTAAGGGAAACTGATATTGCGAGAATTATCATGACACCATTGGAACGTCCTTTGCCAGTAGCAGAATACGATAATTGTTTTTTTTACCCTTTTATCTGGCAACAAAACTGACACATTTTTTTACAAGGAGTCATGTTTGCATTGACCACAATACCTGCGGTCGGAATGAAAACAAAAAACACAACTCTGATAATGTATGCACTGTCCTTGAAATTGATTTGTCCACACCCGAGACAGCTTTTTTAGATCCTGGTCTCACATGGTGTTGGACCAGATGACGCCAAAAGCGCACAACTCAAAGACAATGCACCATCAGAGTATGAGCGCTCGGGGTAAGCATTTACACCATTGGAACCTCCTTTGTCCAGTATCTGGTCCAACACCGTGTGAGACTAGGCTCTAAGAAAAGCTGTCTCGGGTGTGGACCAATCAATTTCAAGGACAGTGCATACATTAACAGAGTTGTGTTTTTTGTGCAGGTATTGTGGTCAATGCAAACATTACTCCTTGTAAAAAAGGTGTCAGTTTTGTTGCCAGATAAAAGGGTAAAAAAACAATGATCAATTACAATGGTCAACACACTTTTTCTGGCATAAGGTATGCCAACGGTTTTAAGGTAATTTTGGGGTGCTGATTTCAAATCTGGCATCAGTTTTTGTCTATCACATCAGGTTTTTGAGATATCAAATATTGCATTTTCAATAAAAACCGCGGAAGAAAAATATTAAATAAATGTGGACATCTACATCAAATTATATTATAAACACACTATCCTAAAAATACAGCACCATATTTTAACACTAAAGCAGTCACTGACTCGCAACAACTTGCAATCATAAGTGACAGAGTTAATTTCGGGTAAATCAATGAAAATGGGGTATGCCGATAGCATAAAAATTATGTGATAGAGCAAATCTGAGATCAGATTTGGAATCAGCACCCTGAAATTAGTCTAAAACAGCTGCAAAAGTTTATTTGAGTTGTACGCCTTTTGGTGTCACCTGGTCCAACACCAATGGAGACTAGGCTCTAAGGAAAGCTGTCTTGGGTGTGGACCAATCAACTTCAAGGACAGTGCATATCATTATCATCATCAGAGTTGTTTCTTTTTGTTTGCATTTTGACTACTTGTGTTGTGGTTATTGCAAACATGATGCCTTGTATAAAGGTGTCAGTTTTGTACTAGTTTAAAGGGTAAAAACCTACTACTACTGTTTTTTTTTTTGACCAGCGTTATCATGACCTGAAATGTGATATCGTTTCTATAACATCATGATAAATACAGTGGCAATCATAGTTAATAGCCTTGGGCAGTATTTATGTGTGGGGTTCCGTTTGACTCAAGCCTGTCTGTGGATGTGTGCAGGGTATCTTGGACTATCTGGAGAATCTCTCTTTCACGCAGATCCGAAAGCTTTTCTTCATCCTCAGCACCCTGGCCTTCAGTGGGGGCACCCAGGGAAGTTACATCCAGGTGAGGAACAGCAAACTGAAGGTTTATAGTCCATAAGCCCAGATGAGGTGTTTTACTTATAACTAAACTTTGTTTTACCAGGTAAGGCCCACTGAGTTATATAGCTCTTTTTTAGAAACGACCTGGCCACAAATGATAGCCCAATGAAGTGGCTTATCATGTGAACATTTATAGCAGCCACATACTCAATGCATGTTTCTAAATGTGGAGGGAAAAACCGGAAAACCGGAGAAAATTCCGTGTGACCACGGGGAGAACATGCAAACTCCAAATATGCAGGTGTCAGGACTGGGATCGAACCCACGACCTCCTGTATACTAGGCGAGGTAGTTAATATCTCGTCACCTGAGGTGGCATGACTTTAGCGGTTCCAATTTTTTTGTGTGACCAACAACAGTGAAGGATGCGATAAGCGTGTTAAATAATTTGTGTTCATCTCGTGATTCGCTCTTAGCAGCTGCGTAAATAAATTGGTACGACTGAATACATGCTATCTCGGGTGGTAGCAATTTCTGCTCTGGCCCATGGACTGTCTTGATGTTCTTTAGTCCGTTAACATGACCCGGCTGTTTAATTTCAGCCTGATTTGTGATCAATCGCAGAAGGGTGGCTTATGGATCACCACTGATCCGGCACGGCTGAGATTTTGTGTTATGATTGTTCTGATCAGTAACCCCAGTCACTCGTGCAAATGAGACGATCGTCTCTTGAGATGTAGTTGCCTGGTTGAGGAATATTTACTTTAAACTTAAATGTGTAACTTTAACAGCATTCCACCCCATCACCATCCCCCCCACATCCTCCCTTTATACCCCCCCCCCCCTACCCTTGCAAATGAGGCTTTCCATCTCAAGGGATTATCCAGGTGAAACATTTAACGTGAAAATATGTAAAAAATCTCTTTCTAATAATATCGGGTGCATTGCGGGTGATTTGGGGTTGTTGTAACCTTGCGCCTGCGTTCGTGTGGCGCTGCAAATTAAAACGTGTGGCGCTTGCCAACTAAGGTGAACTTGGCGTGGAACCAACAGTGTGACCATCGACCACCAATACCCGCCATTGCCCCACCATCGCCCCTCCATCGCACACCATCACCTCACCATCGCTCACCGTCACCCAACACCGCTCTACATCGTCCCACCATCGCCCACCATCGCCCACCATCGCCCACCATCGCCCACCATCGCTCACCATCCCCCCACCATCGCCCCACTATTGCCCCTCTGTCTGCAGGGCGACATGCACATCGTGGTGCGCAAGCAGCTGTCAAGCACGGTGCTCAAATATAAGCGCATCGGCATCGTTGGCGCCATCGCGCTGGTGGGGAGCATGGCCACTCGCGGGTAACGCGCAGCCCTCCCCTTCCCCACCACTGTCTCCGCTACCGCTACCGCCACCGTCACCACCACCGCCACTACCACCGTCACCGTCGACACCACTGCCACCACCCCTGCCACCGCCACTACCACTGCCACCGGTTGCCGTACTGCGGCAACCCCGGAGCTATCGCACCACCACAAGGATCGTAACGACTCCAGTGGATTAGCAAAGAAGCGCACGTGTTATTTTACACACATGTTTATTTTGTATGTAATGGCTTGTCACGATGACCAATCACATTGGAATGCGCTGTGCGGTTTGAAAATTCTCGCCTGTGCCAATGGAATTAATTGTTATTCAAATTGAACTGAAGTCAATTATTGATTCTGTGACTTCTGGAAGTGATAATGGATTTCCTGAATGATTATTGTAAAATTGATAAGCAATTAACCCGAGAGTCCAATAATCGATTGCAGCTGTTTCATACGCTCATGATGGAGGAATACAATATTATGCTAAGTATTTGTGAATGTTCCATTGATGATAATGGAGTGAAACAAAACGACAGGCAAGACCGAATAAAAAAAAATCGATTTTAAAATAAGATGAAATGATTGGTTATGGAATTCGATCACGACTCAAAATTGATTTCAACAGTTTATCAAAGTGATGGGGGTGTGATTGTTACCAGAGTACAGGGACTACTGAACATTCGACTTAGAAACTGTCCATTTGTCCAGTTGCCTGTTCAGACCGAGTCATAAGTTCAATCGCCAAGCAATAGATGGCGGTGGTGGCATCTACATCTGCAGAACATGAAGAACCAGTGGCATCTACATCTACAGGAGATTCTCCAACTTTTAAAGCGATTCTTTGTGTTTAGTGTACATGCCATGCAACATGTTTGGAATCGACAGGATTAAACTTGGACTTGCGAACAAATTGACTTACGAACAGACCTCTGGAACCTAACTAACTCGTTCGTAAGTAGAGGAGTTCCTCTACCTGATATTCATAATGACTAACACTCTCATAATGATTATAATAATCGGCATTATGTGATGAATATTGGTTATGATTTAGCGATTACAATTTGTTTCGAGAATAGTGTTTTTATTCATTATTTACTCTGTGTTGCTCATTCTGTCAGCCCCAATGTAACCTTAGTAGTACATTAGTGCTTCTTTGAACCGTGTGTCGTGATCTTAAGAATGTATTCTAATGGCCTAACCAACGAATGCTTGCACTGCTATAATGACACGCTGTTGTGATCCTTTTGTCACGATGATTTTTTTCTCTGTCGTGCAGAGATCTTGCTGCCCCCCTGCCAACACTGGACATCTGTGAAAACGAGTTTCATAGCTCATCGGATTTATAATTCAAGATTCTGATTCTGAATACTTACACGCCGAATAACGATCTGTCACACCTCTCTGGCCTCTATATACGTGCCATGAAGAAGGTTCATTGCTCAAAACGTCATCCATTATATCGGAACCATAATCTTTATCGTGGAGAATTCTGATGAGCTATGAAGGGCAATGTGTTATGGATGAATGTGAGTTTGTCAGCACTTTCAGGTGTAAGCTGATGTTTGACATCTCCTGTAGCTGAGTGTTTAATGGGCGTGCAAAGCCAGTATGATCGTGTGTGTGTGTGTCTGTGTGCGCGTGCGTGTGTGTTTTCCCCTTTTCTTGTACTAGGAAAAGTGAAGCGACAGTCGCATCTGCTTCCCAGGCATCTCCGCTCAGCAGCAATGTCTTCAAACAGGTTATTGTGGCAACAGGTCGAGACTTGCGCACGTAAAAAATAAACAACTTCGTTTAACTCATGGTCGAGAAGTCCGTCAATGGCGCCTGAGATACGCGGCGCCTGCGTTTTGTGCGAGCCGATTCCACAGTTTAGGGACCGCGGCGTTTTTGACATACACACACATATATAAATAAAGTAGCGAATTAATTGATTTATTGATGCCGATTTTGATACAGGCATGCATTGTCACCGGATCTGATCACGTGGGCAAAATGTGGAATTGATTGGACAACAGGAAGTGGACAAAATTTTGATTACAAGATTTGACCACGACAAACAAGAATCAAGTGAAGTAAAACCGTTGAAAAAAGGTCTTGCCCAGAGCCTTCAACGGACTATTTGTGAAAGTGCTTAGTGAGCACCTGTTGAGACCGGCACTGCACGAAGTGGCGTTGTGATCAGCGCCACGCTCGGCCACCTTTGTGCCTCCCCACTGCTGATGTTTTTTACACGCACTGCACCAGGTGCTCATTTAAGGCTGAGTTGACCTGAGGATGCCCCTGCGACAGGTTCTGATATCAATTTGCCACAGATGTTAGCCGTGGCCGGGAGTCAAACTCTCGTTGCCGTTTTTGTTGTGCCGTGTGCTCGCCACTGTGCCACCACACTTCACACACATGCACGCATACACACAAACACTAGCAGTGCCCAATGCTGCCACACACTACTGCTGCTCCTTCAATTGCTACTGATGCTTTGCAGTACTGCTGCTACCACTGCTGCTGCTGCTTCCACTACTGTTGCTGCTACTGTCACTGCTGATGCTACAACTGCTACTGCTGGTTCCAATACTGCTGTTGCTGCTGTCACTGAGCTGTTGCTGTTACCACTGCTGCTGCTTCCACTACTGCTGCGGGTTCCACTATTGCTGATGCTACCATTGCTGCTGCTTCCACTGCTGCTACTGCTCTTGCTGCTGCCACTGCTGTTGCCTTCAACTTCTGTGTCTGTGCTACGGGGGCGGGGTGTGGCAGGTGACGACCCTGGTGGAACTGGTGCGTGACTGCTGCGACGGCTCGGCCGAAGGCACGGCGCTGTACTGCGACGAGCTGGCGACGCTCATCCACACGGGGGCTCTGCACCCTAAAGTTCAGGTCAGCTCTCTCGTGTCACGCATCCCGTATCCAGCGTCCCACGTCGTTGTGCAGTTTTAACTCCCGCCAATCCGCGTGCGCATGCAACGCGCCGCTTTTGGCGAGATATTAACTCCCTTGCCTTTGTATGTAGGAGGTCGTGGGTTTGATCCTGACCCTGATGATGCCTGTATAATTGAGGTTTGCATGTTCTGCCCGTGGTTATATGGATTTTTATCGAAATAAATGAGTTTTCAATCTAGATTTAAAAGTACATAGCTCAAGTGGCTTCCTAATATCGGAAGGAAGAGCGTTCCAGACAGCCGCAGAAGCGCATCTGAAAGCGCGTGACACGGTGACCGTTTTTGTTCGATGGCTAGCCAAAAGCCGCTTGGAGGATGATCGGAGTTGGCGTGATGGTTTTTAAGCTCCTTTACTTAGATCAGCAAGGTTTTGCTGTTCATTTGTGGCAAAAACTTGGTGCGTAATGCGTGTGACCTTCTAATGTATTCTAAGCTGATGCAGCTCAGCGAGCACTGGACAGGCATGGTCCGATCTTGCAGTACCCGTCACGACACGCGCCAGAGAAATTTGCAAATGCTGCAGTATACACGTGTGGGTGTGTGTGATGTACGTGGTCTTCTCAGCGAGGTCGTAGATGTTATTTGCGTGTTCCGTGTCCTGCGTGTGCGTGTGTGTGTGACAGGCGTGGATTGGAGAGAACATATTGACTGACTTTCAGGACGATTATGTGGTTGACGTACAGCCGGGGAAAGAGCCGTCAGGGTACGTGGGAGCAGTGTGACATTTGCTTTGATTTTAAATATATGAAGCTATTTATTCATCCTCGTATGAATACAAGATGCACTCGGCCCTAATCCTGGCCGATATACTTCTTTGGAGATATCCACTGCGATTATTATTGGTGTCACTTAATTATAATGTATCAATAATAGAGGTATGGAGTAAAAATATTAAGAAAAAAAAGGTACAAATAAAGGTGGGAATTAAATCTCATCGCCCAGTTGCTCGACTTAACAGCAGTACACTCGGGGCAGGAAATAACAACTGCCATCATGCCTTGCATGCGTGTTACATGACAAGCCACATTGCATGTTAGAATGCTCTCAGCCTTGTCTTAAACGTTCGACAGAGCTGGCAGCCGTACATAAAATTAATATTGAATAAAGGTGATCAGCAAAACTGTCGCAAATTGTTGCACGTGGGCGAGCCTAAGTTGAACCCAACGCTTCCCCTCCCCGTCCGCGCGTCTGCACCCTGCTGCTGCTACTGCTGTTGGTGCTGGTGCTGTTGGTGTTGGTGCTGTTGGTGTTGGTGCTGTTGGTGTTGTTGGTGCTGTTGGTGCTGCTGCTGGTGTTGGTGCTGCTGTTGGTGTTGGTGCTGTTGGTGTTGTTGGTGCTGTTGGTGCTGCTGCTGTTGTTGGTGTTGCTGTTGGTGCTGTTGGTGTTGGTGCTGCTGCTGTTGGTGTTGGTGCTGTTGGTGTTGGTGCTGCTGCTGTTGGTGTTGCTGCTGGTGTTGGTGCTGCTGCTGTGGTGTGGTGCTGTTGGTGTTGGTGCTGGTGTTGTTGGTGTTGGTGCTGCTCCTGTTGGTGGTGTTGTTGGTGCTGTTGGTGCTGCTGTTGGTGTTGGTGCTGTTGGTGTTGGTGCTGGTGTTGTTGGTGTTGGTGCTGCTCTTGTTGGTGTTGTTGGTGCTGCTGTTGGTGTTGGTGCTGCTGCTGTTGGTAGTTGGTGCTGTTGGTGTTGGTGTTGGTGCTGCTGCTGTTGGTGTTGGTGCTGTTGGTGTTGGTGCTGCTGCTGCTGGTGTTGGTGCTGCTGCTGTTGGTGTTGTTGGTGCTGCTGCTGGTTGGTGCTGCTGTTGGTGTTGGTGCTATTGGTGTTGGTGTTGGTGCTGCTGCTGTTGGTGTTGGTGCTGCTGCTGGTGTTGGTGCTGCTGCTGGTGTTGGTGCTGCTGCTGTTGGTGCTGTTGGTGTTGGTGTTGGTGCTGCTGCTGGTGTTGGTGCTGTGGGTGTTGGTGTTGCTGCTGGTGTTGGTGCTGCTGCTGGTGTTGGTGCTGCTGCTGTTGGTGTTGGTGCTGCTGCTGGTGTTGGTGCTGCTGCTGTTGGTGTTGGTGCTGTGGGTGTTGGTGTTGGTGCTGCTGCTGTTGGTGTTGGTGCTGCTCCTGTTGGTGTTGTTGGTGTTGGTGCTGCTCTGGTATTGGTGCTGTTGGTGTTGGTGCTGCTGGTGTTGGTGCTGCTGCTGTTGGTGTTGGTGCTGTTGGTGTTTGTACTGCTGTTGGTGTTGCTGCTGCTGCCGTTGGTGCTGTTGCTGCTATTGGTGCTGCTGTTTGTGTTGCTGCTGCTACAGAGACGATTGTGTACTGCCCATGCGCCTCTGCTACAACTTGGAGGAGGACGAGGACAGCGAGGGCAGCATCGCCATCAACCTGCTGCCGCTGCTGGCGAACAATGTCCTCGCCCGCAAGGCGCAGCCCGGGGGTCCTGACAACAGCAAGAGGTGCGCGTGTTCTCCCACGTTCCGGCCACCTTGGTAGAGGCTATCCACAGCGCCGAGCGTCGCTGTGGATAGCAGACACGTGACGACGCTTCGGCTGTAAAGGACTCCCTGTTGTCACCACGTGGGTGCGTACCGATTGTATGTGGGAAGCGGTGGGGGTAGCGGTCAGTGCGCTGAGCTACGAACCTGGCGGCACGAGTTACATTCCCTCTCATGGCCAACACACTGGTGACGTTTATCTAAACCGGTCCTGGGCCTCCCCCGAGGTCGACTTAAATGAGTACCTGGTGCGGTGCTATAAACGTCGCCCCTGGGAAGACAAAGGCGGCCGGGCATGGTGTTGGCCACCCACTCCCTCGTGTGCCACAGTGCCGGCCTTCATAAGTGATTGCTAACAGCACTTTCCCCAACTGTGTTAAGGTTATACTGGGGATCTTTGCCTTTGTACGACCTGTGAAAATGCTGCTTACAAGTGATTTCCCGTCCTGGTGCACGCGACCGTGCGGGCGGCGGTTCGTGCGACGGTTTGCGTGACTGTGAGCGTGACCGTGACGGTTCGTGTGTGCTGTGCCCGCTTGTTCGCCGATGGCGTTACCGCAGGCTGGTGTCCCACGTGTGCCTGGCGTCTCACTTCCGGCTGCTGCGGCTCGGCGAGGAAGCTCTCAACGACGGCAACCTGGAGGGCATCGACTGCGCTCCTGGGTTTGTCGCCCTGCTCCCTCTTCCCCACCCCGCTCGTCAACGCAAACGACGCGAACAATACCGCATGTACGTCGCCCGCTGCTGTGCTCCCACGTGGTGTGAGCGCGCCTGCCGTTGCAACCCCCCCCCCCCCCCCCGCAGGCTGTCCCTTGTACGTGGCCGACCCGGAGCTCGTGGAGAAGCTGGAGTCGCTGTCGCGGCAGGAGCGCGAGTGGCTCTGCACCGTGCTCTTTCTCACCCTCAACTGGTTTCGCGAGGTGGGACTTGCCGCCCACAAATGGCTGGCAAATATTGATGAACTCCGGTTTTCTCCCACAAGCAAAACTCTGCGGAAAAGGCATTGGCAAAGAAATTGAAATGTATCGTAACGCAAATATACCAATATGCATAAAAATGTATTACAAGCATTGTAATGCATGGTAATGCAAGTGCCCCTATGAAATAGAAAGGTTGAGACATGGCGAGGCATACCTGGTTTAATGTTAAATATGTTTATTTCTAAACCATGTCCACGAGTGCAGATTTAAAGACTCACAAACAGCAGGTGAAGCCTAATTGTGCTTTGGGCTGTGTAAGAGCACCAGGTTTTACGTTGAAACTAGGAAAGTCGGAGACTTGTTCTGCACTTACGGCAGCGTGAGTCAGGAGCAGTGAGAGCACGAATGACAGGCTGAGTTAGACGTGTGTGGGTGTCTTTGTGTGTGTCTGTGTGTGTGTCTTTGTATGTATGTGTGTGTCTGTGCATGTGTGTTACGGCTACGCGAACAGGTGGTGAACGCGTTCTGCAGGCAGTCGGACGCGGAGATGAAAGGGAAGGTTTTACGCCGCCTGGAAAACATAACACAGGTGCAGGGTCTTCTGGAGAGGTGTCTGGCAGGTAAACATAGGTGTTCATAGCAAATACACTGGTATACTTATACCATCAAAACATAGGTGGTGGTAGCAAATACACCGGTACACTTATACCATTTACTACTATAATGAGCCAAGAATGTCTGTGTGTCCCGCGCGTGATCTCACTCCACGTCAGCCAGCCTCCCTCAATAATCATGAGCAGGTGACGTAACACCACATCGAACAGCCCCCCACAATAATCATGAAGAGGTGACGTCTTCCAAATGGATAACCTCCCTCAATTAATATTCATTAGCGGGTGACGTCACTCCACATGGGGGGGCGAGGCGCCTCCTCCCCCCTCCTCAGCGTCAACTTACAACCCTCACTACAAAGGCAGAACCCTCACGTCACGCGATCTCCGTGACGCTATTGAGACATAGTAGTAAAAAGGATGTCATGATGAACAAGGGATTATAACCTTCAAATGAAATAAGTCTGTGTCACCGCGGCCTTACAAACTGCACACGTATTGATGCAATGAATATCACGTCACGGTTTGCTTTTCGCTTGCAAGTTTCAGATTTACTGAAATACAACCCGTCCTTGGGCAGGCAAAAGCTAGTCAAAACATCGGTGTTCGCAGCAAATACACCGGTATTGACAATTTTGCAATACCAGTGTATTTGCTACGAACATAATATTGCCAATACTAGTGTATTTGCTACAAACACCGATGTTTTGATGTTGACGTGATTAATACATTAAATCATATGTTGTTTTACAAATTATGCAAACAACGTGCACATCACACGGCCCAATGGAACCAATGAGAGGACAAATGGGACGAGAAGTACGAAACAAAAACAGGACAACGAGCGATCGTTTCTTAAATCGACACCGCACTGCAACGGTTCAGCCTATCAACTCCTACACTTGCTGAAATAGCAGCAGCGGCAACAACATCGGCATCATGTGCCCTTTCAGATGCGCCTCTGCGGCCATCTGGGACGCTCTTCCTTCCGATATTAGGAAGCCACTGGAGCTATGCACTTTTAAATCATCTTGATTAGAAACAGTTTTTTTTGTGTTTAGTTGTTGTCCATCCCCCGCAACCTCCGATTATCACGGTTGGCTATTTATGGTGTGCAAGTTCAACATGCATAGATACATCGCGGGGGACCTGAGTTGTTGCATGGCTAATGATGCATAAAGTAAAATAAATTATTATCATTATTTTGTGGTTATGACATAACTCATGAGAAATTAACTACAACCATGTTTTTTTTATAAATACACATTCAGAGTTTAGTTATAATGGCCTGTCAGCATTTCCTTGATCACGGGAACAAACCTCACCTCTATCACCATTGGCCACTTTATCGCCAATTATATCAAGCATTTCATGCACATACTGAGTTTATGTAAAAGCAAGCTGCTCAAAGCTACGATGTTATCATCACTAGCGTTGGGACAGTGCACACATAGCGGCTGTTACATTCGCCACAGCGTTAAGAAGAATCAATTCTTGGATAGAACTGTGACCCTGAATTGTGACAATTCTTTGAATCATTGCGAAGTGCGGAAAGCAGGTGATGAATCATTACACCTCTAATGCCTGATATTTCTAAAAAACGTTTAAAATGCTCGTGTAAAGAGACTTTTTGTTGGAAACATTTTACATCAGATCGATTATCGACTGGAATCGTGACCCTGAATTTGGAGAGCATCTATGAATCTGCAGGAGGGGTGGGGGTTTGGAGGTGGGGGGGCGGACGAACGAGGACGGATCAATGTGCCTCGAATGGTGAATAAATAAAAACGTTAAAAACATATGGAGTTCAGCAAAAGAGGTTTTTGTTGTGTGTATTTTTCATGATAATTCAGTTATGCGAGATCACCAAAAAACTGACCTCTGACACACGGAGATTAATTAATGTGCAGCGTTATGGGTGGTGCTAACAGGATGCAATTACGCAAGATAACATTTAAGTGTTATTATTGTATTATTTCGATTTAAAGCTTTCGTTACTGCAGGGATTCATATTCTTGGTTCTTTCGGTAAAGTCACGTAGAAGGGAGATAATAAAATAATAAAAATAAAACAATACAATTCTCACGACGTTTCTATTGCAACACAAGCAATCATCATCAGGTGTGAAACCCACAGCAAGAAAATTTGAAAAAAGTGGCGGTTTTTTCTGCTTGTGTTGCAATCGAAACGAGAATTTTATTGTTTTATTTTTATTATTTTATTATTTCCCTTCTACGTGACTTTACCGAAAGAACCCAGAAGATTGTATTATTGTTGTAATCCGGAAGGGAGACCTCGCCTCACGGATTACGGCGTTTGCACAAGCGGCTCCGTGGTGCCGGTACGAACCCGAGTGTTTTGTTTTTGGTTGTATTTTTGTAAACAATCGTACTTCTTGTTTGTAGCCACACCGGGATACAAACCGCCCACGGCAAACTTTGACAGTGAAGGGTCGGAGAGCGGCGCTCCTACGGCAAATTCCTCGGCTCAGCCCAAGAAAAAAAACAAAGGTTTGTCGGTCCAAATTGAGCTGGGGTGGCATCTTAAAGTTTCTAAACTGTAGCGCTTTTGCCCACTTCAGCAATTGTTTCTTGCTGTAGTTGTCCCACCTGATGACGGATGCTTGTGTTGCGCCCGAAACGTCGTGATTTAATTTATTTTATTTTATACCTACGTGACTTTACCGAAAGAACCAAAGAATATATAAACTGTAATTTTTTTTTTATTTTACCCAGTAAGGCCCACATATAGCTCTTTTTCAGATGTTATCTACCTCGCCTGGTATAGAGGAGGACATGGGTTCAATCCCGACCCTGACGTCTGCATGTTTGCAGTTTGCATGTTCTCCCCGTGGTCGTGTGGATTTGTCTCTGGGTCCTCTGTTTTTTTTACCTCCGCATTTGGAAACATGCATTTAGAGTATTTGCCTTACCTGGTAACATAACATTGTGATAATTAATAGAGACGATGTGATCAAGGTACAATGAACCAAAACGCTCTTCCGATATTAGGAAGCCACTGGAGCTATGTGCTTTTAAATCTGGATTAAAAACTAATTTCTTTACAACTGCTTTTTGCCTTTTAAGTTTGTTGTCCTTCCCACGCACCTCCGATTAGCACGGTTGGCTACGTACTTTGTGAAAGAAGTTCAACGTACATATAATATAAAAACAATTGCGCAGGAAATCACTGAAATTTTGACCTGCGATGGAGCGGTTGGGAGCACCTCTGTTCGCTCGTCCGATCGTTCACCATCAACGCCATCCCCCGCTGTTCAGGCAAGAAGAGGAAGGCGGATGGCGCAGAGAACACGTCGACAGAGAGTCTGCAGGGAGACGAGACGATGGGCGACACGCTGGCGCCGGCAGAGCGCACCCAGGATGACAAAGTAACGACGCCGTGCAGTGTTGCCACTTGCCCGGGCGCAGTGGTGACACTGACTTTTCTGGCAATGCCAGTGCACTGTGACATCGCAGCGGAAGGTCGTTCGTTACCGAATGCATTTATAGAATGCTTTTCTGATTGTGTCTTTGTTGTCGTCGTTGTCATTTTCTCCTACAATTTCGTCCCAATTGTGCTTTCGGTTAACATGTCAATATTTCTGTCGCTACCACCGCGGTTAACTGTTTCCATGAATCTTGACTTCAAGATATCGTGACTGCAGGAATTCATATTTTTTGGGTCTTTTGGTAAAGCCACGTAAATATAAAAAATAATCAAAATAATAACAATATCACGACGTTTCGATCGCAACACAAGCAATTTGTTTCTATCAATGTGGCTTTACCAAAAGACCCAAAGAAAATGTTTCCATAAAATTCGCTCATCGATTTCTTCCACCACTCGTGTGGAGGACTCGTACTCCAAAACGGACTGTTTCGTCTCTCATCGCACACTGTGTTCAACCACCACACTGCAGGTCACAACAGTATGCTCACTCACCCACTTACTCGGCCAACCAATCACTCACCCACTCGTTCATCACATTGCAGGCCACAACAACACTCACTCACTCACTGAAATAATCACTCATCACTCTGGAGATCACATCAGCACACTCACTCATGCACTCACTCAACTAATCACTCACCACACTGTAGGTCACAACAACACACCCACTCACTGAAACAGTCACTCATTCACCCACCACACTGCCGGTTACAACAACACGCTCACTCACTCACCCACTCACTCACCCATTATTATTTCCCTTCTACGTGACTTTACCGAAAGAACCAAGAATATATATACTCACCCACTCGTTCATCACACTGTAGACCACAACAACACACTCACTCAATGAACCAATTTCTCACTCACTGAGCACACTGCAGGTCAGAACAACAAATTCACTCACCTACTCATTCATTCAAGCAGTCAACCAATCACTTACTCGCCACACAGCCGGTCAGAACAACACATTCGCCCACCCACTTGCTCTGCAAGAGACAGCTCAATGGATACTGCATCTGATCATGGGACGTCGATAGCACAATCAGGATACACCCAGAGGGGGTCAGGTTGTGGGTGGGCTATAATAACAAGTAAACTGGCATATACCATCCAGTACATGTTTGGGCATGTGTATTAGTTGCATACAAATGTTTGGTATGGGTGTCCTACGGGGCAGCTCAATCTAAAACGATTGCCTTGTTTGGCGAGTTATCAGCAGCTCAATATAAACCCACGCTAGGCCGGGAATGGAAGTAATTGTGAAGTTGGCTGATGGGGGTGCCCGTGCTATGTTGTGCGTGTCCGTGCGGCAGCAGGAGGCAGCGGAGGAGCGGCCGCAGGTGAGCCTGGCAAGCTACCGCGCATACATGCGTGAGCTCGACATCCACGTGTTTGGCATCCTGCAGATGGGGCTGCTTACCAAGTCCCTGCTGGACTCGCACATGAACACCAAGGTGCAGCACGCACGCACCCACGCACGCACCCACCCACGCATCTACCCACGCATCCACCCACGCATCCACGCAAGCACCCACCCACGAACCCACGCACGATAGACTGTGGTGGTAGTGGCGCGGCAGGCAGATTGTTCCCACCATTACAATTGACCCCAACAACACGTGACCTCCCGAGTTCAATCGGGGCCGCCACCTTTTGAGTCACGAGCGTGGGCAAGCGACGTGCCGCTGCATTGCTGCGGAAAAATGTTCTTGTCCTCCGTGATCGAACAGTTCTTGAGTTGTTTTGCCACCCCAAACTGGTGATCTGAATTCCATGTTGCTATGGCAGTAACTCGACTGTCTGTATGATAACCAATGTTAACTTGTTACCGAGCGGTGTAACCTCACCAGAGGATGCTCATTTTACGTGACCTCAGAGAGGAGACCAGACCTCAGAGGAGACGATGATGGTGATGGGGCTAAGTCAACCCTGGTCAGGATTTAAACTCGTGATCTCATAGCCGGGAGCCCTTACCACCTCCACCAATCGAGCTTTATCCCAGCATTTTACGTTGTGTATCAATTCAGTGAAAGCGTAGTTTAAAAATGGCTCGCAGTGCAATGCCCCATCCACAAAAACGAAGGAGACGTCGCCGCGACGCACTCTGCTGCTCCTGACGTGGTTATCTGGCTTGACTACCTGAAAGCATCAGCCCGTATGAAAGAAGAAGACGCACAGCACAGCGCCTGTTGTACAGACGAAACATGATGGGAGTCTACGAAGTGGCTGCGTTATTGATTTTATGAGTATTGTTTGGGCTGTTTTTCAGGTCACGGAAGTGGTGCAGCTGGGACCAGCTCAGCTCATGTTTCTGTTGGACGATCTCGCCCAAAAGCTTGATCATGTCCTTACCACGTCGAAGCGGACCATGTTCCTGAAGGTGGTGAGTGAAGAGTTTTAATGCTCACCAATGACGGTTCAAAGTATTGATGCATGTGCAAATATGTTGATGGTCCTGCGGTGATGATAATGAAAATAATAATGATAATTAGAGTGCCTACGACGATCTTCCGGAACCGATTTGCGCTGTGGGGAATTTAATATTTAGCATTGATTTAACATCGATTCATATTTGCTATTGATGTTCTGTCCCTCGCGCGGTGGTGTGTTAGTTTTTGTTTTGATTGTTCTTGACTCGCAGTGGCCTTTGGCTGCCCATCGAACAAAGAAGGTCACTGCATCGTGCACTTTCGGATGGGCTTCTGCGTCCGTCTGGAACGCTCTTCCTTTCAATATTAGGAAGCCACTGGAGCTATGCACTGAAAAATCATCGAAATTAAAAACTAATTTCCTTAGAACTGTTTTTAGTATTTAGTTTGTCCTTCCCCCACACCTCCGATTAGCGCGGTTGGCTACGTACAGTGCGAAAGACGTTCAACAAACATACAAAATATACATACGTACACAAAGACAAAGATTCTGGGTGTAGCCTTAACAGACTTGTTGGGCAAGTGCTGTTAACGAGCATCTATGAAGGCCAGCATGGCACACGAGGGGGTGGGTTGGCCAGCACCATGCCTGGCCGCCTTTGTTTCCCCAGAGGCGAGGTTTACTCACCGCACCTCGTATTCATTTAAGGCTGAGTCGACCTAGGGGAGGCCCAGGACCGGTTCAGATATTTGTCACCGATGTTGGTCATGAGCAGGAATTGAATTCGGGTCGCCGGGTTTGTATTGCTGCGCGGCTACACTACCGCTCCCCACGTACATACACAACATACATACACAACATACATACACAACAAACATACACAACATACATCCACTTCATCGCCGTACTGTCGTTTGTTTTTTTACTGCTCGTGCTGTTTTTCGGTGACGCTCTGTGTCCTGGCTTCTTGGGTTGCCGGGTTGGTTTAACAAAACAAAAAAACAAACTAGCCACATGATCAGAGTTCTTCATTTGCAAGGCCCACTGGCCACTGGCAGCCCCCTGGTGGTCTTTTAGTGTCGCCCCCCCGACAATGGACAAGTGTGAAATACCCCTCCCCCCATCATCGTGCTGTCAAACCCTAATGGTTTAAAATGTGTGGCGGCCCTCACACTGATGATGTCTTATTGGCGAAAGTGCTGTCCACCTGCCTCACCTCCGAATGAAGAATGAAGAAACACTGAGCTTGATTATTCACCCGCCGTTGCTGTGCAGGGGAAGGCGGACCAGGACGTGGGTTTCGCGAACCTGATGCAGCACTCGCCGCGACAGATTGCCAGCCACGCCGTGCACCTCCTGGCTTCTCTCTGCGACCACCTGGAAGGCACTCACAATTACTTCCAGGTCAGAGGGCAATATGTGTAGAATACAAATGTTTCACCTGGAAAATGCCTTGGAGAGATGGAGAATAGCGATCTTGTTTTGCTGCCGTTTGTAGGATGTCAGCCGACACACTGCAAGCTCGTGACGGCATGTGTACGCAAAGCACTTGCTACTGACTGCGCAGGAAAGCAGCTTGTAATTCGTCCTTAGCGGTACAAGATGCGCGCGAGCAGACGCGCCGCACCAATCGATTGATCGTGAGCGGCCCCGCCATCCAGCACATGGCAAACGTGGTGGATGTACTTACACGGCTTGTTCCAGGGAATTAAGGGCCGGCCTTTTCACCTTGATCACATCTTGAGCCGTGAGACCCACGCCGCTGACAGAGTGTGGAGCGTTGGCCAGCTCGTCGCGTCACGACGAAGCTCACGCGGTCAATAATGTTCTGCACCTCCAAAGTGTAGGAAGTGTGTGTGTGTGTGCGTGCGTGCGTGTGTGCGTGTGTGTGAGTGAGTTATCTCAATTGGTCAACCCGTGGCACCTGGATCTGTTCCGTGACCTCCTGTCAGCGATCCTTCGACACGTCACGTGACCTCGAGTGCACATGGCCTGGCTCAAGCTCCATGGTGACGTCACCGCCGCTTAGTGGCGAATGGCGCCAGCGGTTGTTTAGTGAGTGAGATGCTGCGTTGGGAGCGGTTGCGCAGTGGTTAGCGCACAACTAACCCGGCGACCTGGGGAAAATGGAAAGTTGAAATTAAATATTCCGAGAAAAAAAGCAAGGTCCAGTTGGTGCACCCAACAGCAGTTGGCCAGAAATGTTCCCGATGCAGAAATCCAATCAGCGGTGCGTGAAGCGCTGTGTATTGCGATCCATCATTGATCACTGATTAAGCAGGTAATTACATTTCTATGAATAATTAAGATTTCGAAAAAAATATATTAATAGAAGCAAAAAAAACAATTACTCAGAAGGCACATTTCACACTGTCGGGAAATGCTGGGGCGCTTTGGCGGAGTTGGTTACTCAATTAAGAGCTGGCGAGCGGCTCTTAAGTGCAGCGAACGGCAATCGCTCGCGCCGCGCTGTCAGTGTGATTAGTAACATTGTCCCATGTCCAATTTGGCTACAAACACACCGTTGCGCTGAGAATTTTAAACAGAACGCCACCCCCTGCCTTAAAATTTCACAAGCGCCCAATTAAAAGGCCGTCTCGTTCAGACGCTCTCGATATTCCGCGCGCACGCGGTGATCGATCGGAAATAATTAAAATCCATAAACTGGGACCTATGCCCGCGTGGGCTCAGGGATCGGACCACTAAGCTGGCGCCGCGCTGATCTCGGGGTTTGAATCTGTGTGCCAGCCACGCGGGATTAAATTGGTTAATCACACGTAATGAGTTGACGTTTAGCAGCCTATTCACTAATGACTGCGCAAAAAAATAAGCCACTGCACCGAACGTTAACGTCTTCATCTTAATTTGACAAAATCAAAGCTCGGAGAATTAACAACGTTGGTTTCGTTGTCAGGTGACGGACATATATAGAAGCATTGGAAACTAAATTAAACTAAACAATTTTGCCAGGTAACAACCACTGAGCTATTTATCTCTTTTTAAGAAGCTCCGAGACCACAAATGATAGCCCAATGAAGTGGCTTGTCACGTAGAAATGTATCTCAGCCAAATACTCTAAACGCATCTATGCGTCTACGGGGAGAGAGAACAAACTCCAAACATAGAACAGGTGTCAGGGGTGGGATGGAACCCATGACCTCCTGCATACCAGGCGAGGTGGTTAACATCTTGCCACCGTGGCACCGCTGCGGTGCTAACCATTGCCTGAAGCAGGTGCCCATTATATATGTTGCCCCTTGAGGCAGTGTTGTTATTGATGAATGTGTCGATTTTGTTTTTGTTATCTCTTCAGCAGGGTGTATGGGAACCTGCAGTGCCCCGTACATTGGCTAATAGGTCACTTTAAAGGCTCTCAGAGGTAGCTCTGCAATATCTCTTTCTGTGGGCTGCCTGGAGGACTTTGCCTCGTGGCATATCGCCGAGAGCACGATTGAATTAAATTGGGAAAACGACCGAGACAACACCGTTCATGCATAATTAATTGAGGGTTTGTGGAAATGAAGTCACTCGTGTTAACGAACGGATATTTACGGCTCGCCTAAGAAGCCTTTTAACGAGGCAGCTTGGCCCTGCTGGAGCAGCGTAGCTGTCGTGTGAACACCTCCTGCCAATGTCCACACTGCACCACAGTGTTTGTTGAACATCCATCAATGCTTTCACGTTAATTATTTGGCTCCCCAAGCGGCTCGTAATTGTAAAGCAATCTTCCCGGCTCAAGCCCATTCTTTTCCGTACTTGTCTGGTTGGAGTGGAATTCTTTCGTGTCACTTGCGACTGAGCAGCATTGTCTATCGAGGCTACGTGCGGAGCCTTTGACGTTGGGGAGCATTATGCATTGCATCGCGGATTGGAAGGGAAGGGAAAAAAGAAACCTGACAATCGTGGATGAAAACAAAACCGCACGTCGCGAGCGAGCTGAAGCCTCATTGGGCAATGCCCTTCCACCACGCGGGTACTTTGCAAAACAGGTGATCAAACAAAACGGGTAATAAGTTTTAAGATGACTTTGTTGGACCAGCTGAGAACTCAACCGAAAAGGATTTTGAAGAGTGAGACCCAGGGCATTACTCTGATTGCTGTTTGCACTCCCAATTGTGGGATTTGCAGGAAATTTTTGAATGTTGCAAATTTAGGCCAACGTGCCGGAACACAATGGCAAACACTTGCGAATGACACCATGGGATCTTTAACGTCCACTGTGAGTGAAGCAGCCAGCGCGTAGTGTTATTATGGTGATCACACACCGCAGTGCTAACCAGGGTGCCCGCTGGATTCGAACCGTGAACCTCTGCAACGAGCGGCGGGAAACACTCATTGAGATTATTCACATGATTTTGCTGCAATAAAGTTCCATGTGATAAGCCACTTTGTTGAGCCATCATTTGTGGTTGCCAGGTCACTTCTGAAAAATAAGCTAATAGCTCAATGGGCTTTACCTGGTAAGATAAAAAATAGTTTGTTTAGTTTTATTTGTATATTTTTAAAGTGATTTTTTTACTTTTCCTACGCTTTGCACTCCGACCGTGTTTTTGTATTGTTTATTGTTGTAATGTTCTGATCCGCCCCTACTGAACATCTGCGAAAAAGGGCTTAATAGTTTATCAGATTACTCCAGTATAAATAAAGGTTCTGATTCTGAGTGGGCTACCTACCGCTGAGCAACATCACCACCCTTACGCGCCAAAGTCCTCTCTGAACATCCCCGGTTCCGTTCCGGTCAAAGTGAACCCTAACAATTGCATTGCAAAATTGACTTTGGTAGGTCATGTGACTCACTGTGAGTCCTGTGACTGATGGGCAAATTACATTTCTCACGGAGGCAAAGATACCCGAATCTGCGGAAGAGACAACCTCTTAGATTGTTGTTGCTGTTGCTGCGAAGGGGCATGGAACGAGGCAACACCGTGGAACGGGGTGTCCCGTTTAGCCCGCGACGCTCGGCGAAAGCCCTCTGACATGCTGACGAGCGACCCTGTTGGCGGCTCGTCTCGAATCGCCGTGTACGCGTGTTCAGGGGAACATCACGGAACAAGTGTGCCGTCCTTCACCAGCGCATGCCCCCCCCCCCTGTTGGCTCCGTGGCTAGGCATAATCTCCCTGGCATTACCGACTTAATTTGTATGAGATTGTGGGATGTGAGTGTCTGCCAGGCTTACTCTGAGAATTACAATCGATTGTTTAAAATGTTGCCCAAGAGGAGAAGCAGAGAGAGTTTCCCTGAAAATCAGTTTAATCTTTTTTTTACGCGTAAAAGAGAAAAAAAATCCTTGGCAATGAATTACAAAAACCAATGAAATAATATTCCGAAGTGTTCGGATGTATTTCAATGTACTGGCTGTGCGAAATAATTAATATTGTAAACTATTTTTTTAAAGTTAAATGTGATTACAATGTTGTGTAATTTCTTTGTAAATAAAAAATGAAAGCACGATCGTTAATTTGTGAGCAGTTAAATGCGTAAAATAAAATTGATTTAAATTTCGATTTAAAGCTTTCGTGACTGCAGGGATTCATCTTCTTGGTTCTTTCGGTAAAGTCACGTAGAAGGGAAGTAATAAAATAATAAAAATAAAACATAATAAAACAATTCTCACGACGTTTCGGCCACAACGCAAGCAGCCGTCCTCAGGTGAAAACCAGGTCCGTCGAGGCGACAGAGTCTGAATGAAACAGCACACGAGCTTGGAGCATATATATAAGCTGGGCGCATTGACAAATGAATTTGCATATCAAAAGGAATTTAGCATATTTATGGGAAATGCAGGAATGTGATTAGTACTGCATATGCATGTGCATTATGCAGGATTAACAGCATCAAAGGGAGCAGCAGCAAGTGCAGCAGCAGCAGTAACAGCAGCAGCAGCAACTGCAGCAGCAGCAGCAACTGCAGCAGCAGCAGAAACTGCAGCAGCAGCAACTGCAGCAGCAGCAGTAACTGCAGCTTCCTTTGATGCTGTTATTCCTGCATAATGCACATGCATATGCAGTACTAATCACATTCCTGCATTTCCCATAAATATGCTAAATTCCTTTTGATATGCAAATTCATTTGTCAATGCGCCCAGCTTATATATATGCTTCAAGCTCGTGTGCTGTTTCATTCAGACTCTGTCGCCTCGACGGACCTGGTTTTCACCTGAGGACGGCTGCTTGCGTTGTGGCCGAAACGTCGTGAGAATTGTTTTATTATGTTTTATTTTTATTATTTTATTACTTCCCTTCTACGTGACTTTACCGAAAGAACCAAGAAGAAAAATTGATTTAGAGAAGGATTTTGGAAGCTATCAGAGATTTAAATGGTTATGATCGTGATCGGTCGCGGTAAAAGTGCAGCCCTTCAATTCCTTGCTCACGCCACCGCTGGCGTCAAGGGCTTCCATTCGAGAGAGCTCTCGAGAGCCGCTAATGAGGGAATTGGCCTACTCATCCACGCTGGCCGGACATCTTGGAATAGGTGTCAGTGCCCACTCTTTACCCCACGACACAGCGACCTGCCAATCAAAGCAACGAACTGTGGCGTGCGCGTTCGTACTGCTGGGCGGACAGGTGGGGAGGAGAATTTGAGAAACTTGCTAGAACCCTGCCACTGCTGGATTGGCGTTCCACAGCAGCACCTCTTACACTTAACCCTTTCCCGTTCCAAGACGTCTGCAGGGGGGTCTTATTCACTGCAGAATCTCGGAACGCACAAGCGGTTAGCATTAATTTTATTTTCAAAGCCGTAGCGCCGTTGTTTTTAAAGACATTGGTACTCACCACGGTAAACTCTAGCGAAAGCTGGCACCAAACTGCCACACATCCTCCCGCATGGCCTTGTGGGAGCCTCGGTACTACGTCTTCCGACCTGAAGACATACACTTACGTTATCGGAACGGAATTGTAAGAAAAACTGATGACATACACGTGCGTCATTGGAATGGGAAAGGGTTAACATGCTCGTCACTGCGCTCGTCCAGGAACGTAAACCATCACGCAAATTCCGGTCATCCTCGCAGCAGTTTTTGGTTAGTCATCGAACAAAGACGGCCACTGCATCGCGTGCTTTCAGATGGAGGACCCGGAGAAAAATCCACACGACCATGGGGAGAGAGACACGCAAACTCCAAATATACATGCTTCAAGGTCAGGTTCGAACCCACAACTTGTAGACCAGGAAGTCGTGGGTTCGATCACCAGATCCATGGAGACCACTCCAATGCTGGTCTCAGTAACAGGACCCTCTGCCCTGCACACATGCCCTGGCCAGTGTCGTCTTTTTCCGAATCGTATCAGCGACGATTACCTAAAGGCGGTCACTGCATCGTGCGCATTTGTATGCGCTTTTCTGGCCGTCTGGAACGCTCTTCGTTCCGATATTAGGAAGCCACTGGAGCTATGCTCTTTCAAATCTATATTGAAACTCGTTTCTTTAGAACTGCTTTTTGTGTTTAGTTTGTTGTCCTTCCTCCGCATCTCCGATTAGCACAGTTGGATACGTACGGTGGAAATATATACATATACATCTCGGCTAGCTAATATTACTTGTGATTTGAAACAGCTTTAATATTTGATATTGCAAATACCTGCGTGTGTTTTTCTTTGATTTCAGTGCGATAAAACTATACTCTGCACTTCTTAAAAAAAAATCTATAAACAATTCTGTGTATTTAGGACACTATTTAGAGAAGTTATGCACAACCTTTAACTGCGGTCACATTGATGCAACGCTGCAGATGGGCGAAAGTGCAAGTTTTGTTTTTATAAACGATAATGATGGTAGTAGGCAGGTGTTTTTTTTTTATATAATCTCGTGAGAGTAATAGTTTAGCTTTGGCATCGTACGGCAATTTAAAATCCATTTAAGAAATAATTACGTTCAAACAATGCTAATGTTTTGGAAGCAAAGCCGTTAACTTTCATCGTAATTAAAAATTGTATTCGCATTTAAAGGGGAGTAAATGCTACTTTAAAGGGAACACATGCAACACGCCGAGTGGCATTTTCCAATTACAAAAATAACACCTTAAATTCAGAAGTTCTGACGTTTATTTCTCACGAGTTTTTATTTTCAAAATAACCTTTACTCTGCGCACTGATACAATCAGTTGTTTTCTCACCCCTTGTCAATCCACTGCTGTGCGAAGGCCTTTCCGTACCACGTGGGATATGAAGGTTTTACTTTGCTACACTCGTGAAAGGTTGGGTACCTATCACCAATTCAGATGTCACTCGCCCGCCAATGATCGGCCATGGCCGTGGATGGAACTCTGTTCGCCGCGTTCATGGTGCGGTGCGCGAACCACCGCACCAGTGAACAGCGGTAACGCTGCTCAGCGGTAGTGCGCTCGTCGCTTGTTGCAGAGCGAATCTGGCAGGGGGGAGCCACAGTGGCGAGATGTTAACTACCTCGCCTGGTATACAGCAGGTCGTGGGTTCGATCCCGACCCTGTGACGCCTGTATATTTGGAGTTTGCATGTCTCTCCGTGGTCGCGTGGGGTTTTCTTCGGCTCCTCCAGTTTTTCCATCCTCATTTAGAATCGATGTGCATTTAGAGTATTCGGCTGCTATAAATTTCTATGGGATAAGCCACTTCGTTGAGCTATTATTTGCGGGCAGGTCGCTTCTGAAAATGAGCTATATAGCTCCGTGACCTTTACCTGATAAAATAAAATAAAATAGTTAATAGTTTTAATATTAGGATGCCACTGGAACTGTGCACTTTTAAACATAGATTTTAAAACTCTTTTCTTTAGAACTGCTTTTGAGTGTTTAGTTGTCCTTCCCCACGCACCTCCGATTAGCACGGTTGGCCATGTACGTTGCGAAAGGTGTTCAATGTACGTACGTACAGGCCACCCTGGTTAACACTGCTGTTTGTGCCGGCTTGTGTGACAGATGTCGCAAGCCGAGAACGATGGCTTGGCGGATGGTCCGCACGTGAACGTCCAGGAGACCCAAATCATGGCCTCCTGCTACCAACTCCTTCTACAAACCCTCAACACCCTCTTCTCTTGGTAACGTAGCCGCGTGTACCGCCCGCGTGTACCGCCCACGTGTATCACGCTGGACGTTTATCACTGCGTAGGTTTCGACGCCTTTGCTGCACGGCCGCCTCCCAAGTACTGTCGGGTTGTACCGTCCGTTGTTCGGCGTGGATGTCCACCGACGTTTCACTCCACGCGCCGCTAGAAGCTTCTTCTTTAACGGAGCAGTTCGCTTTGCCCGGGCATGTGGAACGAAACGTCGGACGTGAAGCCTGACAGCATGTTACCACTGTGCCACCCTGCCGCTCAATCTCTAAACGTTCCGTCTCTGTCCAACCAGTGCTTGTGAACTAAACTATTTGAAACTAAAATATTTTTTATTTGGCCAGGTAAGGCCCACTGAGCTATGTAGCACTTTTTCAGAAGCGACCTGGCCACAAATCATAGCTCAACAAAGTCGTTTATAATCTAAACACACGGTGATTCTAAATGTGGGGAGAAAAATCGGACGACCCGGAGAAAAATCCACGTGACCATGGGGAGAGAGACATGCAAATTCTAAAATACAGAGCGGGCATCTGGGTCGGGATCGAACCCACGACTTCCTGTACACCAGGTGTGGGAGTTAACATCTCGCCATCGCGGGCGCCTGGTACACAGTCGTGAGCTGTCTCGGCCTTAGCCGTTCACATTCGCCGCTGTCCGCAACGTGTGTCAATCCTGCCACTTTGGGCCCTGTGTCTTGTGCGTGCCCCTGTGCGCAGGAGCGGGTTTGTGCATTCGGAGAATAAGCCTCTTCTTAAGGATGCTCTGGGTACTCTGGCCTTGAGGCTCAAGCCCGGAGAGGGAGCGATGTCTATGGACGAGCTGCTTGGGTGAGTGTTCGGCTCTCATTTGCTCATGAAGACCAAATGCGTAGATTCCCCCGTGCAGCCTTAAGGCTAAATTCGTATTCATACGTACGGTGGGCGGAGTTTGGCTGCCAGTATTGTCACCCCAGATTTTTTCAGATGAGGGCAACGGAAGTTTTGACAACAGAACGATTGTCACCGGAAACTGTTGACGGTGACCATTGGCAGCGATGGTTGTCTTCAAAAAACGTGCTCGGGTGACTTGTTGTAGACAGAATGTGAGGGGGGGAAGTGATATTTGTGAGCGCCTATATTATGGCTTAGAATAAGAAGGGGTATTCGTAATAGAGGTTTTCGTAATAGAGGTTTTTGGGTTAGATCGCGTCAATATATAAATGTGTCGTTAAAACCCGCCACTACCCGACACAGCCAACTAGTAAGGGTTGCCACGTAAACAGAACGTGACCAATTCGTCACTAGTACAGCACACCGGTGTGTTGGAGAGCCAAGCCACAACAATTACAATCTGAGTACGACGTTTCGCGAGTAATTACAACTAGCTTCATCAGGCGACAGCCAGATTTGTGGAGAAGTCCTCCTGTTTCGTTCCTTGTATAGAGGCGTAGATGTGTTGACCACACTTCTGCGCTCTTGCGGCACGTGGGGGGGGGGGGGGGATTACTGAGGCAACGTACATTATGCATGTGCATTATGCGAGCCCTTTGAACTTGTCCTTCCTGTCTATTGTGTGTATTAAAATAGCCGTACCAACAGTAATCCCTATTGAAGTATGCTGCCCTTTGTAGACATACATTTAAATAACGTATTATATGATTATTCGCTTCCACGCAGCACTTAGGCGGTAGCTATCCGAACAGTTAAAGTTATTTTTATTTCTTTCAATTTTGATAGATTCTCTAATTAGTCTTGGCCAGTTGTAGCTAGTTTTGCACAAAACTTCAACATTATCAAAATCAATTGAGTGTCCTTGTTGGCATGCATGTTCTTCTACTGCTGACAGTTGTATTTGGAATAATTTAATACTTTTCTGATGTTCTTTTAGTCTCGTGCTGATCATTCGTCCTGTTTGCCCAACATAACATTTACCACACGTGCAGTTAATCCTGTACACACCTTCTGTTGATGGCTTCGGTAATACATGTTTTATACCAGATATTAATTTCTGTATTTTATGTACCGTGCCAAATCTGACTCGGATGTTTTGATTTTCCAAATATCTGGCAAGTTTATCAGTTACTCCCGCAATGTATGGTATTTTGATCGTTTTAATTACTTTGGCAGTTTCAATGCTCGTGTTATTTGATTTGGTTTTGGAATTCAATTCCCTGTTGATTTGTTCATCATTGTAACCGTTCATTTGCAGTGATTCTTTAACATGTTGAATTTCACTTCTCAGACTGTCACCATCTGATACTTTCTTAGCTCAATGAATGAGCGTTTTGATAAGAGCAGATTTCTGTGCGGGGTGATGGTGTTACTGCATTCAGATAGGCGTTTTCTTTCGGTAAACACTGTGTGTTATTTTACCATTTCGACCCCGTCTGAGCAGAATATCCAAAAATGGTAGAGTTCTGTCAGCTTCCACTTCCATGGTGAACTGGATGGATGGGTTTTGCGAGTTGAGATGATTTAGAAATGCGTTCAGTGTATCTTTGCCGTGTGGCCAGACCACCAATGTGTCATCCACATATCTAAACCAAGCAGATGGTTTTAGTGTGCTTGAAGCTATTGCTTTTGTTTCAAAACCTTCCATGTACAATTTCGCTATCACAGGAGACAAAGGAGAGCCCATTGCTTCTCCTTAGTTTTGTTTATATTAGTCACCTTTCCACAAGAAGTAAGTGTTCTTTAGACAGTGTTCAGCTACTCTTGGGATATCTTTGGCTAAACCTTTGTTCGTTACCAGAGTGTCGAGTAATTTAATGGACTCGTCGACCGGAACCCTCGTGAACAGAGAAGTCACATCAAAACTTACGAGAATATCATTAGGGTTAAGATTAATATATTTGATTATATTTACGAAATGTTCAGAGTTTTTGATAAACGAAGAGGTCCTACCGATGTAAGGCTGTATTTGTTTCGTTACATACTGTGCTAATTTGTACGTGGCAGAGCATATTGTACTAACTATGGGTCTTAATGTGACATCAGGTTTGTGAATTTTTGGTACACAAAGTCTTGGTGGTTTTGATGCCCTTGGTTTGATCAGGTATTGCTCTTCCTTGGGAATTGGTGACATGGCAATGATTGCCGTTGTTTTACGTTCCAAGGTGCTGTTTGGGTCTCGTTTCATTTTTAGGTAGGTACCTTCATTGAGTAAATCTTTGATTTTATTATCATAGTCCTCACGGGGCATCACAACAGTTGATCGGCCCTTATCAGCAGCAAAAATTTGGATATCTTCGTCATAAATCTTGTGGCTTGGCTCTCCAACACACCGGTGTGCTGTACTGGTGACGAATTGGCATGTTCTGTTTACGTGACAACCCTTACTAGTTGGCTGTGTCAGGTGGTGGTGGGTTTTAACAACACATTTATATATTTACGCGATCTAACCCAAAAAAAACTTCTTATGGATGATATTGGTCGCGAAAGCCTACATGTTCAGAATGGGTATTGTTGCCAGCACCATGTCCTGCCACCCCTGTCTCCTTTATACTGATCCTTACAGGCAAGAATGCGTGTCCGATTAAGGCTGAGTTGACCTAGGGGTAGACCAGGAACGCTTTAAATCACACTTCCCGTTGATGTGTAATTCACAAAGGGATATTGAATCCATGTGACCAGAATCTTCGTGGAGTGTGCTAACCACTGCCCCGCCACTCCTCACACACAGCTTGTGCACTGCACACAGTTTGAGTCAAATTGCCATGGGAATGTTTACATGTGAGGATTGGTTTCAAGTGTGCAGTCTATCATGTACATATTTATAATTTGATAAAATACTCTTGCATTAATTTGGACTTTTACTAAAATATTTCACTTTATTGAGAAAGTTTCATCTTTTGAGAGCGAAGGATGAGTGAATTTTGTGCATTTAATTTGCATGAGAGATTTAGTTTTTACGAGATAAAAACTATTATATTATTTACTAGCGGGAAGTACCTGGCGTTGCCCGGGGGAATTTTTTTTTTCAGAACTTCTCTTAAAAACATAACATATGCATACACAAATACTAAGCTATTGTGAAAGCCCAGCGTGCCGTTTGTCCATTTGTCTGTCAACAAAATGATTAGAGGCTTGCAGAAGTCCAAAAAGTTATAGAAAGTGGGGGGTAAATAGTTGAGCTAAAAGGTTTCAGAAAATTGTCGACCCCTCCCCAAAATACTCATACCCCCACATAGGCATATATACCTAGACACCCTACATTCAAGACTCTACAGTAGTATCTGGCTCTACAGTAGTATCTACTGACTCTATAGTCATTACTACTGACTGCAGCAGTATATCCTGACTGTAGTGGAATCTACTGACTACTATTATCTACTGGCTATAGTTGTATCTACCGACTCTATAGAAAAATATAACGATTCTATAGCAGTAACTACTGATTGCAGTAGTATCTAATCATTACAGTAGGACCTACTGACTCTATAGTAGTGTCTATCGACGCTACTAGTATCTACTGACTATAGTAGTAACTACTAACTCCATAGTCGTATTTGCTGACTGTATAATAGTATCTGCAGATTCTAGATTTGAAGTTATCGTGACTGCAAGGAACCATACTCTTTGGTTCTTTCGGTAAAGTCACGTATTTATTTTTTATTTTATTTTATCACCTACGTGACTTTACCGAAAGAACCAAAGAGTAGTATCTGCAGACTCTATAATACTATCTGCAGACTCTATAGCTGTATCTGCGGACGATAGCAGTGTCTTCTGACTCTATGGTCATATCTAGTGACTCTGCAGCAGTATATCCTGACTTTTGTGGTATCTACTGACTGTAGTATTATCTACTGACTATAGTAGTATCTACCGACCCTACAATAGTATCTATAGTGAGTTAATGAGTTAATGATGACGTCACCCTGCTGCTGCTCTATATAAGAACGGGAGACACAGGAGAGCCTCACCATTCTGGCGAATTGCTCGATGATGCTGATTGCAATTACCAGCGAAACGTCGTACTCAAATTGTAAATGTTGTTGCTTCAACACACCGGTGGGCTAAAGCAGTGAACTATTTGTCTTTGTCAACGTGACACATTTTTACTGATTGGCCGTGTCGGGTGGTGGAGGGTTACGACACATTTATAAATAAACGCGATCTAAACCCAAAAATCGTTGATTATGAGTATCTATAGTAGTAACTACTGACTCTATAGTAGCATCTACTGACTGTATAGTAGTATCTACTGACTGTAGCAGCATTTACTGATCATAGAGGTATCTACTGACTGCAGTAGTAGCTACTGACTCTTTAGTCGTATCTACCGACTCTATAGTAGTAACTACTGACTCTAGAGTAGTATCCGCTGACTATAGTAGTAACTATTAACGAGGTGGCACCTTGGCAGGCTGGGGCTGGACCGCTACCCCATCCTCCTGCCCCACCATCCCCCTCCCTCTACAGTAATTATCTACGGACTATAGTAGTAGCATCGTCGTATAGACCGACTCTAGAATAGCATATATCGACTCGATAATAGTACTCACTTCACAGAGTGTAGTGGTGAGGCCTAGTCCCGTGTAGAGCCCGCAGCCTTGCCTAGATTGCCCAGCCGGCCGAGGTGGCACCTTGGCAGGCTGAGGCTGGGCTGCTATCCCGGCGCCTCCCACCGCCCACTCCACATTAGCATAACCTACAAACTCTATAGTAGTATCTACTTACTCTATAGTAGTATCTACCCACTCTATAGTCGTATATACCGACTCTAGAATAGCATATATCGACTCGATAATAGTACTCACTTCACAGATTGCAGTGGTGAGGCCTAATCCTGTGTAGAGCCCCCAGGCTCGCCTAGATTACCCAGCCGGCCGAGGTGGCACCATGGCAGGCTGGGCCGCTACCCAGGCGCCCCTGCCCCACCATCCCCCCGCCCGCTCTACAGTAGCTATCTACGGACTATAGTAGCATCTACCGACTCTTTAGTAGTAATTGCACACATTGGGGTGGGAGGGGGGGGAGAAGAGGACATGACACTGATGAATCAACCTCAGCGTTGCGTGTATTTTTTTTTGCATTTTTAAACCGAATGGCAATTTCCCCCTCTCCCCAGCGAAGGCATGTGCGTTGCTAGGGGCAACCCCCAGTCAGCTGTGTCGCACATGCGCAGATGCATGCTTTGGCGCGCGCGCTCAGCGGCGTAATGTAATAAATAAATAATCGTTACAAATGGCTACTTTTAACTACTTAAGGTGACGGATGCGAAAATGGAATAGCGCCGGCTCACCACGGGGCCTATAGCGTGGTACCTGGGTACTTTTTTTAAACGTCAACCCCACGGTTCGCGAGCCAAATCCTTCGCAAGTTTCGTCCACACACACACAGACACACAGACAGACAAAAATAATGACGTTTATAGGTAAGATTATGACTTGTGTATTAAGAGATTATTTCTCTCGGTTTTTTCCACCATTTAATTTTCATTGTGGCAGCATTTCTAGTGGAACGACCACAGCAGCAAATAGGCGAGTTGACATTATTTTACCAATAGTTACGGTTTCTGCTTAACTTTGAACTTATCGGTGATTGCGCATTTCATTACACAGTGGCAAGGTCAGCCACTCTCTCGCGTGTGCTCTTTCACACGTGCGGGGCCGCGCGCCGACCTACGGGACAGACGCAATGTCGCGCTCGTCATTCGTGTCCTCAGGTTAAAATCTGACTTGCAAGGTCTCCTTAGCCTATCATCCATCCAGGATCAATACATCGAGTATTGATCACGTGGAAAGTCGCAGCAGAGCCTGTCAATCAGATTCGAGCGCCGATCCGCTCTCGTTTTGAGCGGTGCGCCACTCCGACCTTGATGTCAAGTGACGGCGCTGCAATTGTGCCCTCATGTGTTCTCGTCGTCTTGTTTCCTTTTCCCCCTTAGCCACGCGTTTTCATACCTGCGGAACTTTTCTGCCACGGTCCCTTCGGGCGAGTTGGCGCTCACCCTCACTCGGCTGCTCATGGCGATGGCCAAGATGAGCCCGGAGCAGAAGGAACTACGCAAAGAAATCGGTAACGGCTTGTGGTGTTGCTTTCGTGACGTCGCAACTTTCGCACTTAAATTGCTCGCAAATTACTTAACCCTTTCACGTTCCGATGACGTACGAATGCGTCGTAAGTTTTTCTTCCGATTTCGTTCCGATGACATACGCATCGGTGAGGATGATGATGATGATGATGATGCCATGATGATGATTTTATTGTATGTGTGTGTGCCGTGCCTGGCCCGTCCCACCTTCCCCTCCCCAGTATCCGTCGCACTGGGGTTTTTGAAGCAGCACTGGGTAGGGCCCACGGGAGAGCGGGAGAAGGGAAGTAACTACTCCAAGGCCTTGGAAGGCTTGCTCTGGTGAGACTGTAGTTATTGTATCCCTGATTGAAAGCTTGCTCTGTTGAGACTGTGGTGATTGTATCCCTGATTGAAGGCTTGCACTGGTGAGACTGTGGTGATTGTGTCTTTGATGAAAGGCTTCCTCTGGTGAGACTGGTCGTTGTATCCGTGATGTGAATGAGACCTCAATTCCTGCGGACAGCCATAGCGATCTACATCCCAGTAGTGCCGCGCGTCGTTCTGCATGATGTCCGACGTTTTGCTCCTTGACGCGAGATCAGCGAGGTATTGTGGTTTATTTGTGTGACGGTGAGCAAGGGAGTGCGGTGTAGCCAGGGAGGGGTGGTAGGCGGGCGGCTCCCACCGTCATGGAAAATGCTTTGCTACCCTGGCTATCGCCTCATGAAGCTGGTTGTAATCACCAGTGAAACATCGTACTCAAATTCTAAATGTTGCGGCTTTACTCTCCAACACACCGGTGTGATGAACTAGTAACTAATTGACACCTTTTGTTTACGTGAAAAACCTTCCTAATTGGACGTGGCGGGTTAACGACACATTGATATTTATGCGATCTAACCCAACAAACCTTGATTATGGATAATATTGGTCGCGATAGCCACCTACTACTACGTGTTAAGCTGCTACTGTCCGCTTTGCCCCCTTTGACGACGGCGCAGCATCTATCTGGACAGCTGTGAGAACGTGCTGGACGCGATAGAGGACATCGCTATCAAGGGCGTCACGGAGCTCGTCCACGTGGACAAGGACGGCCACTCGGCCACCTACCCCACGCTCACCAGGTCGCCGCGCGTCCGGGGGGGCGACCCACGGCCCCTGGCCATGACCGTTACGATGCACGGTTTCCCGCGGCGTTTTCACAATCAGAATCGTGATGTCTACTGGAGCAATCTGATGAGCTATAAAGCTCATTTTCACACGTGTCCAGTAGGGGGCGGGTCCGAATGTTACAACAACAAACAATGCGAAAGCACGATAGGATTGCAAATTATAGGAAACGTAAGCATATCACATGAAAAAACTAAAACGAGACTATTTTTATTCTTGATTTGAAGCTTTCGTGACTGCAGGAATCCATACTCTTTGGTTCTTTCGGTAAAGTCACATTTTATTTTACCAGGTAATGCCCACTAAGCTCTTAGCTTATTTTTTAAAGCGACCTCACCACAAATGATACCTCAAACGAAGTGGCTGATTATGTGGAAATGTATAGCAAATGATGTAAACGCACGGTTACGTGTTTAATCAGTCAGTAGGTGAATGTGTTTCATATACGTTTCAGCTTCATTTGCATTGTAGCTAAATCGTCCGCTGTGGGAAGATGGGCTTTCTAGTTAAGAACAAGTAAAACAATACAAGAGGACAAGTAAAGATAAACTGAGCCACACACCAGGTTCATGCCGAGCCAGCCTGGCACGGCTCGGGAGGTTTTCTTTTCTTTTTTCCCCTCCACTGCAGAAGCCGAAGCCGCTGTCGTCGTAATGCACCAAACGAGTGGAGACCACGCGTAGCCGACATGGGGGATGCTGCATTCGCACTGCACACCGAATCGAAGTCGCACGCCAACTAACGCGTCACTTAACCCCTGCCTCTCGGGGGCCCTGATTTTGCCCCCTTTGCCAGATGTCTTGTACGTACGTCTGCATGTATGTACGCTGAACTTCTTTCGCACCGTACGTAGCCAACCCATTGCTAATCAGAGATGTGCGAGGGTCGAAGGACAAATTGTAGAGATCCACTCGTACCGTGAGGGGCCACATGCGCTGGCGCGGTGTCGGATGTTGTCAGTGGGAGAGGGCGTTGTCTGAAGTGCCACTGCTGTGCGCTGTGTCGCGTCGCACAGGGCCGTGTTTGGAATCTTCTACCGGGTCGTGATGGAGCGGCTCGAGAAGGCCGTCAAAGCGATTCCTGCGGGACGATCCACCGACTCGGACGAGGTGACGAGGGCACCGAGCAGCGCTGCTTTACCCGCTACGAAGAAGGGCTGTTGCCCTTGAATATCACCTGTTGTGCATTTTTTGTTCTTCTAAGGCCACACTTTGTTGTTGTTGTTGATGAATGTGTTGCGTTTATTTCAAAGGATACATGCGTTTTATAGAGCTCCTTGTGTGTGTGTGTGAGTGCATTATTGTTCTGCACGATTGGTCCTATCCTGTGCATTACTTAGGGAATGCCAGGGAAAGTCTTAAGCACAAAAGTTACGAACAACGTTCAATTATGCAACGGTCCATTATGTCCTAGACGCAGCACACCGCTTCAGAGTCGGCTGAATGTGAAACGAGTTTGTTTATTTTTTCTTTGACCTGTAAGTATTTCGCCCAAGTGTAAATTAGCAATGCAAACATCTGTTGCCTCCTGCCTCCTCCGATTGGAAATGCAACACCGCAGATGTGTTGTCAATTATTCAAGTTCCACCGTTGGATGACGTTATGGAAAAACACCATGCTGTGTCGTGGTGTAATGGTTGGTGCACGCCGTGCTTGCAATTTAAATCTCGCCGGTACTAATCTCCCGGCGCGGCAGTTGAATCGACTGTGCGAGTTTCTTAAATTTTCCCTGCCGCCGCCTCTGTCCACCCAGCGGAGTAAACGGTTTTACTGCGGTTAGGTCGATTGGCAGGACGTGTGCGGGTGGGGTAAAGTGTGGGTACTCCCACCCCTTCCAAGATGTTCTGGCCAGTGTGAGAGAGTCAGCCAAAAGAGTTGGAAGAGGGCATCACTGTGGCGAGAAGTTAACTGCCTCGCCTGGTATGCAGGAGGTCGTGGGTTCGATCCCGACCCTGATGCCTACTCTATATTTAGAGTCTGCATGTTCTCCCCGTGGTCACGTGGATTTTTCTCCGGGTCCTCTGGTTTTTCCCTCCAAATTTAGAATCAACATGCGTTTAGAGTATTTGGCTGCTATAGATTTCCACGCGAAAATCCACTTCGCTGAGCTATCATTTGTGGCTGGGTCACTTCTGACACAGCTATATAGTTAGATTGGGCCTTACCTGTTACCCTGGAAAATACCCACTTGAGTTGGAGGCCCTTCCGCTTTTATAGCAGTGGTGTGAGCGAATCATTGCAGGGCTGCACCTTTACCAGTTAAGCGGCAATGGGGCCTCTCCGTGTGTGCACCGAGTGTATCTGGTCGCATGCCTTTGGGACGTCTGTTCTTGGCGCAGTGCTCGTGACTGTGCCAGGTTTCACACAGCCATTGGATTTCCAACAACTGTCCAGCGTTGAGTTAATAATTTACAGGCCGCTCGTCAATCCTCTGCTGGATGAAGGCGTCCCCGTGCCATGCTGTTGGTCGTACGGTTTGGGGGAAGCGAGGCATCCAGGATCAATTAGGATGTCGCTCACCACCGCTGTTAGCCAGGGATGGGAGTGAAACTCGGGTCGCTGGGTTTAGACAGCTTCCACTGGGGGGTCCCCTGAGCCAGACCGTCACAGGGCAATGGGATGGTTGAGATGAGATGCGATGTCAATTGTAGGCACTTTGAGATCCTGAAGCATTTCACTACTCTACAACTGCTAATCCTTATCCATTTTTGTTGGCAGGTTTCCGTGAACAAATACTGTACACGTATTATAAAACGAATCTTGGGGCAGCAGGGTGGCACGGTTGGTAACGTAGGTGGTAATGTAGGTGGTAACGCTTGTGCGCAGAATGTAGAACCTGGTTTCGATACCTGTGTGGAGTTTGTACGTTCTCTCTCCCCCTGTTCTGCATGGGTTTGCTCCAATGGCCAAAAACGCACACACAGCATTACCAGTATTGGCCAAAACATCCCAATCCTGAACAATTACCCGCAAATGACTCGACTGGGATCGCACACCGCAGCAATAGCTGCAGCAACATCAGCCCCCTCCCCTAACTGCGAAAACTTGGCAGGACTCTCCCGGATGTAGAGTCTTGAGACTCGGCTGAGGCTTTCCTGGCTAAACAGGTGTATTGATAAAATAATGATAATGAAATAATGGCTGTTACATTATCGTGTTGTTTTATCTTGCCAGGTGCAAGAGGCACTGCTGATTCGGTGGAGTGCAGGCGTCCGGAACTTCCACATGCTCGTCAACCTCATCAAGGTCGAGCCACTCGTCCGCACCAATCCACTCGTCGCTGCACACTGCACCCACAGCCGCATTTCCCCTGAATCAGAATCGGATTTTTTTTTTTACTTGAGGAATCCAATGAGCCATGAAGCTCTTTTTCACAGATGTCCAGTGTGTGGGGGCTGGTCAGTCAAGGAGGGGCCCGGGACGGCTTCAGATCTTGCTCGTCAACCGATGTTTGCCGGGATTCGAACTCGGGTCGCAGGGTTTGCAGCGCAGCGTGCTTAACGATAGGCACCGCCCGCTTGCTTCCCAATATAGCTGGTTCATGTTAAATAGTGACTGAAGTTGTTTTTATAAATTATGTAAAGCACACCAGTGTTGTTTAATCCCTCCGGAATCCCTCACGGACAAACTACAATCAGTTTCACTTCGCCATCTCAATGTGAACCGACCGCACTTATGCATTCTGTGTGCACTTCTGTTTCCTAGACTTTTGATGGAAGACAGAGTCTCAGAGTTTGCCTAAAGGTGAGTCCAGGTACATGCAGCATTGCGTCTCCTCCTCTAACCAAGGAGATAATAGGCGCTAACCGCTGGTGTTTTATTGCTAATGGTTACCTATCACCGTGGTGGGATGGCTAACAATTGCAAGCAGATGAGACAGCTCTGATATTTGGAAGTAATTCCTACAGAATAATAATACTTTCGTTTTCTACATGCGTCATTCATGCTCATTACATCCCATGACGCCGTAGATTGATTATACATTAGGACCAAATCTCATGTACAGCCACTTCTCTGCTCGCAAGAAACTTTATCAATCAGCCAAATTTCTCAAACGGTGGCCTCCTGAAAAGTGAAAAGAAAAAAGAACAGGAACGTTCTTTAGGCTTAGTGAGGCCATTGCATCTCGACGACGACGATGACGACGACTCGCCGCCGTTATGAGCACCAGCGCCTGCGGCGACACCGTCATTGTTACCATCACCGTCGCCCCTGTTGTTGCTGGCCGCCGCGTGACGTCACACACGTCTTGTCGCCGTCTCTCTTCACCCCCCCCCCCCCCCCCCCGTTGCAGTACGGTCGCCTGTTTGTGGAGGCCTTCCTTAGAAAAGGAATGCCACTGCTGGATTGCACCTTCAAAAAGCACAAGGTCGGTGGGAAACCGGCAAAGGCACTCGGGCATTACGTGCTGCGTGAATAATTTATTCCCATTGTGCCTTGCGCACATTTTTTTTTCTTTCTGCGTTCCCCCCCCACCCCCCACCAAAAGCGGATGGATTTTTGCATTCATATCCCGAGATGTTTACGCCGTTTAACCTTGTCCACAAAGCTCGTGACAATGATAAAAGGACCCGTGCGAGAAAAGTTTACGGCCGAGTGAATTATCGACTGTTTTCGACGGGAGTTTGTTGTGAGTGGATAGAAGAACATGTGCGCAGAACTGTAAAAATGCGTTCCTGCCACGCGTACAGACATCAACTATTTTTTATTTCAACAGGTAAGGCCCACTGAGCTGTATATTTTCCCGTGTTGCGAGTTTATCAGCCTCGGGCCGATGATGCTTTTAATTCGATGCCGACGTGGGCTACGCATGATGTTCTAAGCGTCATTGGTGGCTTACGCATGTGGCGTTGAGGAGGTGCTTCTATGCCCTTGCTCGCCAGGAGAAGATGTTGCAGCAAGCGGACTATTCGCCATTTGTTTCTATCCGTATGGGGATAGAGCGTTGCCCCCTCGTGAGGCATGGGTTTTCTCCAGGGTGCTCCGGTTTTAATAATAATATAATTTATAACATGCGCAATGTTGCTGACCAAAGAAGCAATTCTCAGGTGCGGAGCCGAGCTGAGTGTCAGATCACGCCACACGGTCCAGTGAGACTCGGTGGTTAAATGTCGAGCTGAAGAGATGTGCCTTTAGATGCTTTTGAACTAATAAAATTATTGATCGTTAAGGATGTGAAGAGGGATGGCATTCCAGATGATGGGAGCTGCGACGGAGAAACGACGAGAAGCAACTTTTCTCCCGCTTGTTTGATAAACACTCATCATGAGCTGAAAACATCTCACAAATAAAGGCGAATGTAGCTGGAGCAGGACCCTCTTGAAAAAGTGTGGCTCCTTGATAAATAAATTATTATGAGGTAACAACGACACTTAAAATCTCTTAAGGACGGAATATATTCAAATTCCATAGTCGGTGCCGGAGCGTGGAACTCCAAAACTACCGTTAAACGTGCAGGCTGCTTCATCTGTAAAGTGTTTGGCTGTGCAAATTTGTATGCGTGTGTGTGCGTGCGTGTGTGTGCGTGCGTATGTGTGTGCGTATGTGTGTGCGTATGTGCGTGTGTGCATGCGTGTGTGCGCGTGTGCGTGTGTATGTGCGTGCGTGCTCAGGACGAAGTGAACGGTTTGCTCAAGAACCTTCAACTGAGCACACGGCAGCTACACCACATGTGTGGTCACTCCAAGGTAACGGCTAAGGAATCATCACTGCGCCCGGATGCATCACTTAGAATGGACCCCGTGGATTCCCACCTGGGAATCAATCTGTGCACGTAGTCGTTGGGTTCACGCGCGACCCCTGCAGCTGCTGGCACTGGGCTGCACCTCAATGTTAAAAACGGCATTCTTGAACCAAATCACGACCCTGAATCGTGGGGGACGGGGCAGGTGGGCGGTGGGTGCGAATCGTTTGATGTCTCTGTCGTGTCCCTCTGACCCACGCCGGCCACCACCTCGGCATGTTCTAGAGGTTTTTTGTTTTTTTTGTAAAAATTCCCAGTGCACTCCCTCCTGTGATCGACCTCACACATTTTTTTTGTTATTTTACCAGATAAGGCCCCATGGGCTATATAGCTCTATTTCAGAAGCGACCTGGCTATCACAAATTATAGTTTAACGAAGTGCCTTATTACGTGAAGCAGTTTATAGCAGCCAAATACTCTAAACTCACGTTTATAAATGTGGAGGGAAAAACCGGAGGACCCGGAGAAAAATCCACACAACCACGGTGGGAGAGACACGCAGACTCCAAATATACAGCAGGCTTCAGGGTCGCGATCGAACCCACGACCTCCTGCATACCAGGCGAGGGAGTTAACATCTCACGACCATATCGCCCAAACTTGGCAGTCTAGCACACATGCACGTGACCAGAAGACGTCGCTCAATCAGTTCTTTGTGAATCGCTTTTGGGACCGCAAAGCACCGTAGCGTATCGAATATCTCGCGGGGGGGAGGGGGCGGCGGACTGTAAATAGTCACTTGCGTACTTGATGCGTTTTAGAGAGCAGTTTCTCGTAAGCCATCTATTTTTCCGAGATCAAGGTGTCTTCTTGGCCAAATCCGTTGATGCCACGCAGCACTTCGCCGATGCTTTCCACCCCTCTGCCAGATCCCACAGCTGCCACGCAGCAGACAACGCAGCGACCTCCACGCTGTGCCCTGACAGTCTCCCACCACCCTGCTCTTAGCTCTCTTCCCCTCAGTCTCCGTACTCATGGAGACCATTAAAGTTGTCCGTCTGCCTCTCTTGGCAATCGAGCCTGCCCCATCCTGCACACGTCCCACACATATCTGCAACACTCACCGGCCACGTACTTTCCCAGACTTCTGAATTTATTATTTTGTCTCGCCACGAAATTCCCAGCATCTGTCTTGGACAGCTGTGCTCAAATGGCAGCAACTTCTCTTTGAGCTGCCAAGTGAGATCCCCTATCCACACAGGGATGCAGATCACACCCCTGCCTGGTGTTTGCTATCCCTCTCCCCTCGCCTCAGCCGCCCGCCCGCCCGCCTGCCTCATTAATTAACCCACTCCTTCATATATCCTTGTCCCCGCTTTCCCCCGCTCCCTCCCGTGCAGGTGAACCACAACGTGAACCTCATGAATTGCGTGCCCCAGCTGAAGCGCACGCTCGAGTCGTTTGTCTACCGTGTCAAGGCCATGCTCACCGTGAACAAGTGCCACGAGGCCTTCTGGATCGGCAACCTCAAAAACCGCAACCTGCACGTGAGGACCTCTTCCAGCGATGCCGGCCGCGCTCCCTGCTTAGTTTGTCAGTTTTGTTCAAACTGGGCGTTCAGCCGCGCGTTCAACCGCGCGTTCAACCGCGCGTTCAACCGCGCGTTAAACCTGGTGTTGGCACAGTGAAGAGCACATTTGGTGCATCTTCCAGTCATCTCAGTCTACCCACGGCACCCGGGTCTGTCCCGTGACCTCCTGCCAGCAGCGAACCTTTGACACCTTCAGCCTTAAAGTGCATCTAGCACGGCACAACTACCGTGGTGACATCACTGCTGCTTTGTGGTGAACGCCGGTTGTTGTCAACCAGGGTGTGGTTGGATGCTGCCACCGCGGTGTAAATCGGTAGCGCCACTGGGCTTGCTTACCAGAGTTTGCTTGTTCAATATAATCTCCGCCGGCCCCCCCTCCGGCCCGTCGCTTGTTTCCTCCCAGAAGTACGACCGGTTAGGCACGACGGTGAGTCGATGGGAGGTCACGAGTGGAGGGGGGGGGGTGTGGATTTTGCGTGTTTATAGTATTTGGCTGCTATACATTTCCACGTGATGATAAGCCAGATCGTTGAGCTATAATTTGTGGCCAGGTCACTTCTGAAAAAGAGCTACATAGCTCAGTGGGCCTCACCTGGCAAAGTAAAAAATAGTTTACATTTTTTAGTTTAATAAACACAAGCAAGTACCCGTCTCCTTTGGTGACCCTGATCCAAGGGTGGAAATTTCACATTTGTATTTGTGGGGGGCCAGGCCATTTGTAGGATGACTACTTAACAGTCATAGGACTAAATTTAGATTTAAAGCTTTCGTGAAAACATAATATAATATGATGTTTTATTATTTTATTATTTCCCTTCTATGTGACTTTACCGAAAGAACCAAGAATATGAAGCCATAGGACTAATCACCATTGACCTCACACATGTTTCGACACCCTGCAGGGGAGGATGGGCTGGGTCGATAGTTTACCAGGATTCGAACTTGTGACCTTTCCCTTTGTCAGATGAAATTTATACCGCAGATCTGCCCAGCCCTGCGTGGTTTTGAATGCGCCCAAGTTCATGAAGTTAATCATAAGGGGTGCCGCAGTGGCGAGGTGACGTCTCCCTCGCCTGGTATACAGCACTGTATATTTGGAATTTGCATGTTCTCCCTGTGGTCACGTGGATTTTTCTCCCGGTCCTCCAGTTTCTCCCCCCACATTGACAATCGACGTGCGTTTAGAATATTTGGCTACTAGAAATTTCCACGTGATAAGCCACTTCATTGCGCTATCATTTGTGGCCAGGTCGCTTCTGAAAAATAACTTTTTAGCTCAGTGGGCCTTACCTGGTACAATCAATGCAGTTAAATAGTTAATGTGCGTGTTCATGCTCATACGGATTGAACCGAAGATCGCCCGATTTTCTTTTATCCTAAATCGCGATGTTTCTGCCGTCAATATAACTTCTCAAGGGCCACGTGTAGTTGCGTGCCGTGTTGTTATTCAATGGCTGGCCCGCACGTCGTTTTGCTTTTCATTGCTTCGTTCGTCATAGAGCGAGTTGGTGTCTCTCGCGATGTGGCGTCTGCAGAAAGCCGATTGATTCGCGTAAAAACTGTTCCCCGTTGTCTGGTGCAGGGCGAGGAGATATTGTCTCAGAATATAACGCAGACGGACAAGGGCGAAGACTCTGAAACGGAGGCATCGGTGCTTGCAGAAGATGATGATGATGAAGATGAAGAGATGCCAGAGGTGACACGATTCATAATTAAAGAAACCAAATTAATTGTTAGTCTTCCCTTGTTTAATACCCGAGGCGCGTATGAATTTAAAATCGCCTGAAATGCATCGCCAATGCTCGTCAGATCTCAGAAGCTAAGCAGCGCTGAGCCTGGATAGTGCTTGGGTGGGTGACTACTATGTGTGTCATGTTATGATAGGCTGCTGTGGTGCTTAACGGTACTGTACTGTGCCTCCACATCTATGCTCCGCCTTCAATAAGGAGCATAAACCATCACGTGAACTCCAGTCATCCTCGCAGTGGCTCATCCAGCAGTAGTTTGACCAAAAGGGCTGTCAACTTCTTTGGGAAAATATACAACGTGCACGTTTTGCTCGAGGAATGTTGAACTTTTCTGCATTCCAATTTTCAATTGTGCATACATCTTGACTTAAAGCTTTCGTGACTGCAGGAATTCATATTCTTTGGGTCTTTCGGTAAAGCCACGAAGATAGAAAAAATAATACAAATAATGACAATATCACTACGTTTCGATCGCAACACAAGCCATCGTCATCAGGTGAAAAAGAGGGGGAAAGTTGCTGACGCAGGCTGTTTATGAAGGTTTAGAGATGGGCGGGGCAGCTAATGTTAATGTGGGAGAGGTCTCCGTGCCCGGCAGTAGGTCTACACCAATCAAAGAGAAAGTCGCCATTAACTAACAGAGCTAACGGTGGCTGTGTTAGTGAATGTAACTCAGAAACGAAGCAGTTTTCCCCCTCCTTTTTCACCTGATGACGATGGCTTGTGTTGCGATCGAAACGTCGTGATATTGTTTATATTTGTATTATTTTTTTCTATCTACGTGGCTTTACCGAAAGACCCAAAGAATATGTGCATACATCATCATAGGCTACCCCTCGCAATTGAGGATGATTGTTTTCCATAGAAAAGTTGGTTCATCTATGGGTCCGAAGATGGCTGAAGAGACCAATCTGGGATTGACAGATTTTGGCGCAGCTTGGGCACACGAGTGTTGGGTGGAACTGCAGCAGTAAGTCGGGCTACAGCGTTGCTGTTTACCCCATTCCCACTCTTCCTCTTCCTGATTCTGCTGTTGAGTTTAAAATTGTTTGGATCCTTGAAATAGGTGATCCTGGGCAAGAGTCTCCCATGAGTTAGTGTCGATGGAGCACTTGTTCATGTTGGCCTTGAGGATATCCTTGAAGCGTTTTCTCTGCCCGCCTCTTGAACGCGCACACCACGACGAAGCTGGGAGTAGAACATTTGCGTCGTACCGTAGAGGAGTTACAATTTGCAGCAGGCGTAGAGACTGCATCTAGTCCAGGGGTTGGCAACCTAAATAACGAAGAACGATTTTTTATTAGGTAAAAAAAATATTTCAAGGTCGTGCAGTGCACGTGAATACGAGAGACGGTGGTCGGTCCTTAATAAATAATGTCACGAAGCAGCCCACAAAGAGCTGTGTGCGGCTCCTGATCTAGCCGCTTCACCGACCGACGTGCGAACCGACTCCGCCGTCCCCTGTTTGTGTCCAGAATGCAGAAGAGGAATTCCTGAGCGACGAGTACTGACCTGGCTCTCTTCGGCGTTGGATCGCCGATTACTCACGTTCTCCATCACACATCGAGGCGGAGACTGCAACAACGATTGTGTTTTGTTTGTTTATTTGTTTTCGACTGAGGCAACGGCGGTGACCCACGTGCCCTGCCCGAGAACGGTGCACTTGGCAGGACGCTGCTTGCTTGACGCACTTGGCTAAGTGGTGCGGGGTGGTGGGAGGGCGTGGGATGGTGGCCGGGAGCGCGCGCCTTCCTTTGCCGTTTGTTGGGCAGGTTCGCGGTGCGAAGCCACCGGCCGCCCTGGTTAATACCGCGCGCAGTCAGATTCGCAGTGGCGAACTTTAAAGGTCCTGCAAAGTTATTCGTGAAATGTTATAAATTACTCGCAGATTACTTTATTGGAGGAAATAAATTAAAAATATCATTGATTTTTTTTTTATCTCGGTTATCTTTTCACAGAAGTCGTTGCTTACCCGGTGTAATCTTTGCAAGTGTCCACTTAACCGTTATCTTTACTCACACCATCCTTGTTCTAAACATGACCTTTATCTGCCAGGGTCAAAGCAGGGACTACTTAATTAAAATACATTTCACATTTATTGCATGAGCGATTGGCTTCGTTAAAATACAGAGATACTTGTAATTAATCTTTATTTAAAAAAACTGCTTTATACTCTATGCTCATGTTGCACCTCCGATTATCACGGTTGGTTACATACGTTGCAAAAGAAGTTCAACATACGTATGTTATGCCTTAAGTTCTGAACACGTGATTGCAAACTTTTGGTTATATGCTGCATATCGTTGCCTTTTTTTTTCACGACACGGTAATTGCTGTCATGTTTAAAATAGTTATTTTTTTACTTTAATGCGCGGATTTAAACGTAGTGTGACAAAAACCGTTTAAAATAAAAATTGAAAACGTCACCGATGCATCCTTTACAAGTTTGCATTTTCCATTCCTTTATTGCCAGTAAAAAATAATTGTACGTTTTCGCAACGGATAACTAGTTGATAGCCGTTTTGTCAAACCTCCAGTCTCGTCATCACTATCATCCACGACACCCCGCACCTCCGATTGGCACATTTGTCTTTGCACGGTGCGAAAGGAGGTCAACTTACGTACGTACGTACATACAAACCACGGAGCTTGAGTCCGATATGTTCCACGCTGGTCAGTGTGGGTTGCTGAACAGCAGAGGTGGGGAAGGGGGGGTTAGACCAGATCAGATGTCACTCACCAATGATGTTAGCCATGGCCAGGCATCAAAGTCGGCTACCAAGTTCATACCACTGTGTGCTAACCACTGTGCCACTGCTCCGGCCGCCCTTGGAAAGCTTGTGAGAGAGCTTTCCGCACGGTTTTGCTACAGTATACACTGCCATTCATTCGTAAGTGATATTCATAACAGTGATATTCATAATGGTTATACAGGACAGCCTCCCTCAATCATGGGTCTTTCAAGGATAGGCCTCGCATGGGATATTTGGCCAATTTTTTTACAGGTATTATTTTGTGTGGGCGGAGGAGACGGGAATGCCGGGATAAACCCCCACGCGTATTCGGGGAGAAATTGTAACTCGACACGGTGTATAAGAAACCCGGTTCATTACCGTGGGCCGGTCCCATCGGGTATCACCCTGTACACGATCTTCTGGATTGAGGCATGCACCGTCACGCCCGGCGGATTGCAGCGAACGCTGCTGCGTGTGTCTTCGGCGTGCTCGCGTTGGGACCTCGACATCTGAGATCGAGATGTCGTCACGGCCAAATCCGTTGATGACACCCGCGCATCGCCAACGCTTTCCGCTCGCGGCCAAACCATGCAGCTGTCGCACACTCGACGCGACCTCCAAGAACTGGCCGCACAGTCTCCTGCCATCTGCGCTTAGTTTCAAGTAAACTATGAAATAAGTAAAAGATTTTACCAGGTAATAAGGCTCCTTGAGATTTTAGTTATTTTTCAGAAGCGATCTGGCTATCACAAATGATAGCTCAACGAAGTGGCTTATCGTGTGGTAATGTCAAGCGGCCAAATACTGTAAACGCTCGTTGATTGTAAATGTGGAGGGAAACATCGGAGGACTCGGAGAAGAATCCACGACCACGGGGAGAGAGACACGCAAACTCCAAATATACATGCGTCAGGGTCGGGTTCAAACCCACAACTTGTATACCAGTCCAATGCTGGTCTCAGTAACTGGACCCTCTGTCCTGCACACATGCCCTGGCCAACGTCGCCTTTTTCCGAATCATATCAGCCACGATTACCTAAAGGCGGTCACTGCATCGCGCGCATTTGGATGTGTTTCTCTGGCCGTCTGGAATGCTCTTCGTTCTAATATTAGGAATCCACTGGACCGATGCACTTTCAAATCTAGATTGAAAACTCATTGCTTTCGAACTGCGTTTTGTGTTTAATTCGTTGTCATTCCCCCGCACCTCCGATTCGGACGGTTGGCTACGTACGGTGTGAAAGAAGTTCAACATACCAACCTGCAACGTTCTTTAACGGACTTGTGCCATTCCTTAGTCTTGTCTTGCCACTGAATTCCTAGCATCCGTCTCAAGTGCCAACCCGCTTCTTCTGGAAGTGTGGTTCTAATTCAGGCTCAGATGTTTGACGGTGCTTGGGACCTGCTGATCACGTCAGCACGGCTAACCGCTGTCAGCTTCTGTGCACGTGTGCTCTTCATGAGCAAATCTGAAGAATTTGCTGCCAACTACGAAGCCATCAGATTATTCCTTTCGGGACGGCGTTGTAGCTGAAGGTCTTCTGGCGCTTAATACATTTCAAACATCATTGTTATGGATGTAAGCAGTCGTAATGTTAATGATTTCATTTAAATACATGGGCGGTATGCAGCAATATGTTGCTTTTGTCCATTTGTCTCTTGTTCTGCATTGTCCACGCTTTAAACATTTTTTGTAAAAACCTATTACAAAATAAATTGCTGCGATGGAATTTTGTATTCAATTGTACAATTTCGTCTTGTAGCCGGAAGTGTCCGACCCATATCTGTGCCATAATCGTAACATGGGGCAAAATACTATAATTTTATTGTTTAAGTTGAGTGATATTGCCCATTTTTAGGCTTAGGGAGGGGGGCGGGGTGAATATTGATTTATTTAAAAGCATTTTGCAGATTGGCGTTATCAAGAAGAAATTCCACGTATCCTTTTGCAGTTTTTGTCGTGAACTTGTATTTTATTTACAATATACGCCGACAAACGTCGGGTATTTTTTTATTGCCCCTTCAAATTAAAAGTCTCGACGAGAAACAATCATTTGCACCTATCGTCAAACGTGATAGGTGCAAATAGTCCCACAGAGCACTTGCTATTCAGTGTGAATTTCCATCCGAGTTGACCTAGGGGAGATCATCTCGAGATTTGGAGACACTTATAATTTGCTTTCGGAGTTGGGGAAATTGAACCCGCATCAATGGGGCGCATTCATTATCATCCCGTGGGGCTTCATGATTCATGAAATTATTCCTAAAAATAAGTAATCTCAAGGCTTAGTTGGCAATCCTTGGGACATGTAATGCTCCTCGCTCGTGTGCTGATAACAAAAGTTGACGTGTTGTTAAGCAACGTGTTAAATTGACGAAAACAGTCGATACGGTGGGAAATCGGTTAAATTAATTATATGGCTGACGAGCTGCTGCTGCTGCTGCATGCATGGCCGCGGTACCAACATGAGCCGTGTCTAACTCTTTAACGTTGTTTTAATCTCATTATTTTCGTAACAAAACAAACAGCAATACCCCAGAAACCGAATATATGTTGACTTTTTCTCCCTCCCTGCATACTTTCATTCACGAGATGCCAGTGCCCCCGTCCGTGATACGGTGGATAAGCTCACCCACCTGACAGAACGTCCGTGATGTTCCAATGGAGAACGCGGCACCACCCAACGCCGGGCGTCCAGGCCGGAGCTCGCCCGAGCTGCATCGGCCTCCACTTGTCGAACGACAACGACTCGCACACGAACGGGAAGTCGGCAGCAGCAGCAGCTGCCGCGGCCGACGCAGTTAACCGGCGTCAACAATTGCCCAAGCTCTGTGTGGTCCTTGATGCATCAAGGTGGTATACTGGTAGGAACGAAGTGGACCAGACCACCAATAGATTAATGTGTCCGTCCGTCCGTCCGACCGTCCGTCCGTGGTGGTGGGGGGTGGTGGTGGGGGGGGGTGGTGGGGGGTCTTTAAATCTCACAGCGTTTCTTGTCAAGACAAACACTTTTAATTAACGTTACACTAGAATACAGTATTTTTTCTTTAACTCCTCTATACCCGGTCGATATCCCTGTACCGGTACTAAGTATTATTCCTACCAGCCCACCCCGCAGGGTCCTTTGCGACCAATTAAGGATGAGCGTTACATGTGGGAGGAAACTGGAGCGCCCGGAGAAAATCGACTTTGTACGAGGGGAAAACACTCGATCCCGTACAGGTGGAACAGGTGGAGTCCGCATTTGATGTACGGCCTTCTGGCGAGCCTGGGTACGCCGCCTCCTCGACGCCGACGGGAAGGCAGTTTAAAGAACATCTGTGTGTGATCCGCCAATCCTTACTGCTGCCTCCACAGCGCTGGGCTACAGGCAGCCGCCACGTGCACAGCCACCACGGGAAGTGGCGGAAATCAACTTCAGGGAATGGATGAAGCGAATGTGGACACCTCCGCTAGTATTTCACATTGTTGCGCATGCATGATTCTATTGGCCATAGTTTAAACAATTGGTACCACCTACGTTAGCGGGGCTTGTGTGGCACATATCCGTGTGTTTATATAGGGGCGACACGCGTGAATCATTTGACGACACCATCCATTTCAAAACGGTCATCAGGCGATTCATTGGCCACATAGAGACATCGGAACCGCTAAAGCGATGCCACAGCAGTTGGTAAGGGGCCGTCCATAAATGACGTCACGCACCTAGGGGGCGGGGGGGGGTCAGACATTTGTGACGAGGGAGGGGGTTTGAGAAATGTGACGTCACATCAAAATGCGCAACTTTAAATTAATATAGACAACACGTTCTACTTAATTACAATCTACGGGAGGTGCAAATGCGGTCACACGTTCATGCGCTCGCGAAAAAAAGTTGCAGGTTTTCATTTAAATTTCATCACGGAGATTGTCGGTGCGACTTTCAAGTTGAACACAAGGTGGTAGCAGCACACCACGCATGCAGAGCCACCGCGTGTGTGTGTGTCAGGCCGTGTGTGTGTGTGTGTCCTTAGTCCGTGTGTGTGTCCTCAGGCCGTGTGTGTGTCCTCAGGCCGTGTGTGTGTGTGAGTGTGACAAGCTTGGCTGTCTTCTCTCTCACCATACCCACGCCTTACGCATGGAACCATCTCCATCTGCTCGCTGCCGTTCATGGGCTTTCAGATTCTGTTGAATGTACAGTTCTTCTGAAAGACCTTTGGTCTCAAACTTTCTCTTTTAGTTGTTGTTGTTGTTGCGAAATTTCTGGGCATTTCTGTCATAAAGAATTTCAAAAGAATGCCTGATATCCAAGTGGCACTTTTTGGGGGGTGGGTGGGGGGTGAAGAGCAAACTTTTTTGGAATTGCTCTGGCCCAGTGCATCACTTACGATCACTGTAATCCTGACAGACCTGAGTTCGATCCCCGGCAATTGCCAACGTCAGTGGCGAGTGATTTCTGAACTGGTCTTTACCCCCCCCCCCCCCCAATCACGACTCCCCCAACTGACCAACATGGCGGTGTATGGTGATTCTTGAAAACGTAAACGAAACAATTTTATTTTATTTGACCAGGTAAAGACCCACTGAGCCGACCTGGCCACACGTGATTGCTCAACGAAGTGGCTTTTCATCATGTGGACATTTTATAGCAGCCAAAACGCTCTAAACGCAGGCAACAAATGCGAGTGGCAAGAGGAGGTGGAGAATGTTATCCGGCGCAGTGCATTTTTATCGTCCTCTGGTCTAACACCGTTTGAGACTAGGCACGAAAGAAAGCCGTCTCTGGTGTGGACCAATCAGTTTCAAATACAATGCCATATACTATCAGAGTGTATTTTTGTTTGCATTCTGACCACAAGTATTGTGGTTAATGCAGACATGATTCCTTGTAAAAGGTTTCAATTTGGTGTCTTAACATCTTAACACCTGTTTAGTTGCCATAAAAAAGGGGAAAACCTATTCTCATGCCTCTGATGAATATATGCATTACCCTTGAAACGGATTAGCCTACACCTGATTTATTGCCAGAAAGGGTAAAGCCTCTTCTTGATTTTTTTTCATCATTTTGACAATGCCAAAAAGGGTCCCATAGATATACATCATGATTATTGTGGTTGTTGTTCCTGAGCAGGCTGCTGTCGTGAAAATCGTTGCTGTCGGGACGTCCGTTGATGTCGTGCCACCGTCCAGCCAGCAGGGGATGATGGTGGTCTTTGAGTTCGCCTATTCGTGATACAAATGCCACTGACTCCTCGACTTACGAACTCTCAGAGATACGAACACAGCTGTCCGTATGTCAAGTTGGCGTGTTCGGACCGAGAGTCGTAAGTTAAACCGCCGCGCAATAGATGGCAGTGATGGCGGCATCTACTTCTGCAGATCATTAATAACCAGTGGCATATACAGGATTTTATACAACTTTTACAGCTATTTCCTCTGTTTCATGCATACGCCGTCCAACGTGTTTGGGAATGGACAGGAGTAAAGTTGGACTTACGAACAAATCGACTTACGAACAGACCTCTGAAACCTAGCTCGTTCGTAAGTAAGGGGAGTCTGTGTAAATCCAACGCTGAGATCCATTCCTCGACAGCGGCGACCACTTTTGCATAAACCCCTGAACCAGTAAACGTCCCAGGGTCGTGACAACTAAAATGTAGCGAATCTTGTGCGCGTCATCATTCACCTTCCCCATAAGAGACGTGGCAATTGCCGGCCTTCGAGAAGTGCTGACACAGGGTGGCCAAATAAGCCAGGACACGTACGGTTATGTTTACATTTATTTTAACACTTGCATTGAAACATTTTTATTGTTTCATCTTTAAGTCAATATTCTATTCATTATTAATATCTATTTTTCTTCTTCCTGCGGGATCACTTCATATCCGCCGTTTTACAAAAAAACTCGACGAAGACACCAGAATGGAATTGAGACAAAACATAATTGATGAATGTTTAAAGACTACACCTGTAACTACACCTGCAATCTTCAACAACAACAACATAAGTCCTCAATTTCAAAAGAGGATTCTTGCATCATCGATGTTAATAGAAGTCAGTTTGAACGATCGTTGGAAGCGATTAAACAACCCTGTGTCACGACGTTTCGAACGCAACACAAGCGCTCATCATCATCAGGAGGTGGAAATGGGGTAAAACACAGAGCGAGGGAACACACAGGGGGACACCAGCGTACATAGCACATAGAGAACGGCAAACTGCATGGAGGCAAATACAGCAAGAAGATGGGAGACAAGAACTCAACAAACCTTAGAAACATTATGTGATGCAAACCAGTCGGCCAACAACACCTGGTTGACCACGTATTTCAAAAGACTGCTAAATTTCGTGTTCATCTTCTGGGCTGAACGTACCAACGTAGAACAGGGTGAACAGATACGAGGTACAAGGTAGCAGAGATACATACACAGAGAAGAACACGCAGGGAAAGATGTTTTGGGCAGCACAGAGGGACAACCAGAGTAACACCACAACAAGAGACATACACACATGGAGAGGCACACACAGAAAGACGCCTGGAGGGATGACGTACAGGGAAATTATATAGGCTGTGTGTTCCCTCGCTATGTGTTTTACCCCATTTCCACCTCCTGATGATGAGCGCTTGTGTTGCGTT